GGGCTTCACCTTTACTCGTTGACATATTTTTGCGAACCCAAGAACGAAGGTTATCAAGTTCGGTGTAAAACAAGCACGAGGAGTGTTGTAATGTTAGACAATCTCCTCGAACAGAGGGAAGAGGGGAAATCTTAGCCCTAAATTCATAAAGCGGTCATATATGGTAATTCTTCCCTCAGGAGGAGAATTAGCTCTCTCGGTTCCTAAAGGGGCTCTAGCTTCTAAGTCTAGGGGCAAGTCATACTTATTTTTCATAGAATTTACCTTCTCATTGGAATCTATGGTGAAAACAAAATCATCGACAGATTTCTGATCTCGGTTCCTAGCCATAGTTGTCTACTTGCAACAAAATCCAAGTCTAAGCTATGAATTAAGGGATTGAAAATAAATCAGAGATGGAGAAATCTGAGTACTTACTGTTGAAAGGGGTTTCCACTCACCTTTTGAGTAGTAGCCTCCCAGAGTTTCAACAATCTCCGGCAGCAACAACCGAAGCAATCAAAACTAGCAGAGAAAAGTAGTTCTCGAGATAACTTCCTTGGCGAAATTGCGATGGCTTCTTCGAAATATGCCGAAATTAGCACAGATGTCGAGAGAGTGGAAAAGCTTTTTTGAAGTTTTCAGATCTAGAAATGAAGAGTGTTACTTAGCCCACTCCTTCTTTTGGTATAAAATGGAGTAATAGCACCCCATGATTCTGCCGTTTCAGCTAGTTTTGAGGCAGTAATGATGGCTGGTGTCGTCGTTTGGAAAACGTGCCAAGTAATGGTGCACGTCTGCTACGATTTAAGCGGGATTCCACGTCGGGTCGCCTTCCTGGGTCGGATCATGACCCGCCAGTCACCTCATCAGGCTTACTCGATACAACATGGGCCTTAGATTCTGGGTTGTCCAAATCCACTTTGGGCCGAGTCCAAGTAATATTTGTTCTGTGCCAAGCCTTGTTTATTTCATATAACTAACACTTGGCAGAGGCACTTGACGAGTCGATATCCACCACCACGAATGGACCGGTCCATCCGCCGAGTAAAGGATCCAACCGACTCTGTTGAGGCAGTGAGGTAAGATTAAACCTAGTAGGATTCGAACACCTTTCGGATGATCCCATGCCTAAAAATAGGGATGATTATTCCACAATTACGGTACGTTATCTCTAGCCAATTATTACACACACGCTTATTCACAACCCTATTTTTGACTTAAGTATCAGAGTGTCTACCCTCGGGAGACCCCTGAGGCTCTATTTTGCATGAAACCCTAGCCGGCTTTCCACTGCTAAGCCGGCAATACAATTCCAGGCTTCGTCACTCACCCTTCTGCAGCAGCCAATCCATCAACTCAACAGCAGCATCAGTTGGTAAGTAGCAGAGTTGCAGCTGCTGTTTATCACATATTCTCCCTCTTTCTCTTCTTCCACTTGCAACAGCAGCAACTTGCAGTGATGGCAAAGCAATTTCCTTTCTTGGGCACCAAGATTTCAGCTCGCAGCTCCTCTTTGATTGATAGCAGCAACAGCTACTGCAGCAGCAATCTGGCAGCACGACAACTACCCTTCTTCCTCTTAATTGAGTGTGTTGCTGCAGATTCTTCCAAGTTGTGATCATCTGCTACCATTCTTCCTTCCTTAGCAAGGATTTCTCCACTTGCTCCAGCTCTGATCGACCTTTCAACAGCCCAATTTCCAGCAGCTTCCATTCCAGTCCTTTCTAATGCCTTTTTGTGTATTTAGCCCTCATTTATGCTGATTTTCTATATTGGCCCTCTGAGATACCTGAAATACAAAATTATCCCAAAAATAAACTAATCCTAACTAATTTATATTAAATTATGAGTAGAAACGAGTAAGAAATATCTGCTAAAAGGGTATATATTTTACTGTTATTACCCACACAACTTGATGTAGTTCTACCCACTTTCACCGGAGCTTTAACAACGACTTTTTTCCCCTTCGCTAATCTTGCCATGGCAGATTCACTCGGAATCGATCGCCGGAGGAAGATCGTACTGTGTCTGGTTAAGAAGGTTCGCACACGGTAGGACGTGAAATAGTCCACAGTGTACAGAGCGTGTTGACTTTGTGACCGTTTTCTTTTAGTACTTCCAATTTTAGTTGTAAGGAAAACAATGAAATGAGTTCGGGAGAAGACTAACTGCAACTCTGGATTCCTTCTCTCTCTCCATGGGAATGTAAATAAACTACCGAAGCGATCAAACTACAACAAAATTTCCTTTGATATTAGTTGAAATATAGAGGTAGTTTTTTTTCCTTATTATTATTACTTTTTTTTTGAGTTTTAGGTTCATATAACGCATGCAAGCTCAGAATAAACATTCCCAACAAAAAAGAATCCAGAATGTTTTAATAAAGTTCAGACTAGTGAATAACGCATGTGCAGCAATATCAGTTGCATAGCTTTATCAGCATGCAATACAACATTTAATTTAAGCTATATATAATTGGAAATGTCATCTGTTTGAATGCTATAAATATATATATATATATATATATATATATTACCAACAATTCCATCAATACTAGCTAAGACGAGGCTCACAAACAAAAAGGCAAATTTTCCAGCAATATACTAACACCAACGTTCTGTTTTGTCTTAGTGTTTCAGGCTTTGCCTCCTTTATTGTAAAAAAAAAAAGACAAATTTTGAAGATGAGGCCGACAAAAGTCCCAAATGTTCAGAAATATACATATAAGATCAATATGCTCAATTTATTGGTTTCTACACATTTTGCAAATCTTAGGACATTTTGGTGATCTGAGTAGAAAGAAGACATCCAGCTAATCCCTACTTCCCAGCACTCAACTGTTATATCCAGCAAATTTAGGGAATAAAATTAACTTATATACACTCCCGTCGAAAAATTATCTACAAAAAAAAAAATATCCCACAAAAACATTCAAACTTTAAAAAACTCAGTCGTGATTCATTCCAAATTAAAGTATGATTAAAGAAGTTAACATTAATTATTTGATTTCAGTTTTCTTGTTGGTATTACATATCTGAAAGACTACATATGACAGCTATGTTTTTCCTTGCGACGTATATAGGATTATGGATTGTTGATCAGCTTTGCATTATTATAACTGTGAAAAGTTTAATCCTATAAACCATTTATTATAAGTTATAACGTTATTATCTATACTACTATAGTATGTTTCTCTTTTTTCTTCAAAATTTCAGTAACCCAATCAATTAACAATGCACTAATAAAAACGCGGAAGTGAAAGAAATTATATTATTGTATCAATTCATTCACGTGAGAATATGCATGCATGCTACTATGCTACGACCTTCTACCTAAAGCAGTCTGATCAATTGATTAATTTAAATAGCTATCATGTTATAGAACAAATACGTTTCAATTGGCGAATAAAGTCATGAATACATTAGTGAATTAAAGAAGAATTTTCGAGATGATGATAAAAAAGCTCTCAAATGAGAAATATTACACATAACATCAATATGCTCTACACGTTTTGCAACATTTTGGTGATATGAGTACCAAGAAGAGAGAGAAGCTCTCCCTTCTCTCTAAAAAAATCCCTCTTCAAAATTTTTTTCCTCCTCCCTCATTCATCATTAATAGTATTAATGGTATTAATGGTGAATGAGGGAGCTCAAACCTTTTATTTTGCTTTCTAGTTTTAAATGTTGCTTTTTCTGTATGTGAAAGTTTCACTCTCCCTTTATAGGGTATTGTTCTTCCGTATGAAAGTTTTGGTTCATCCCCCTTGAGAGAGTTGTTTTTTTCTTTCTTTAGATTTACTTTTGACAGACTCTTTTCAACATATCTGAGCCAGAAGAAGAAGTTTCATAACTGTCTAAACAAATTGAAGATAAATGTGAGGTCAAATGATTTTGAAACTGAAGAATCTATACAGATCTGGAACTTCTAGCCACATAGATTGGATCTTTCGATTTAGATCTAGAGTTTTAGTCCCTTTTGAGCTACGCTTGGATTTTATTTTCAAAAGTGTATTATATTCTCTTTGTATTTCTTGAGCTATTAGAATTTTCTTATTCTGTCAGTAGAAATGTTGTCACAATTTAGCCAATTTAACTTAGCCTAGAATTGAATACAATGTTGGGATTGTGCATTTTTTCTTCTGTGGTTAGGTGTAGCGCGTAAGACGAATTGTATATGATTATCCTTTTGACAATATATATATATATATATATATATATATATATATATATACCAAGAAGACACTACATTCGCTAGCTGGGATGCTCATTCACGAACTGAGGGTTGTCTTTTGAAAGGATTGTAAAAGAATTTCAAACCGATCCTTCTTCATAATTATATCCAAACTATGTAGATCAAAATGGAACTAATTAAGGGATTAAATTTAAGTATATTCTCCGCCCAAAAAAAATAAAAATAAAAATTCCCCATAAAGGCTTAATAAACTATTAAACTTTTAAAAAGCCGTGATTCTTCCCAAATTATGATAAAAAGAAGTTAACATTATTGGATTTCAGTTTTCTTGTTGGTATTTACTAATGAGAGAAAGACAATATATGTTTTTTCCAGCACCACAGATGTCTAGGTCAACTATGAGATGGAGGCCTGTGCGATTAGGTGGTCCTTATGACATGGATTGCTGATCGGCTTTGCATCACAAATGAATATAAAAATATAGGGTCAAATAAGCCATTCATTATAACGTTATCTATCATATGCCAATTAATTAACAATCCACTAATTAAAACGCGGAAGTGAAAGAAGTTATAGCATTGCATTAATTCATTTACGTGAGAATATGCATCCTAAAGCAGTATGATTAATTAATTATTTAAATAGTTGTAGTGTAGTAGAACAAATACGTTTCGATTGGCCAAGAAAATCATGAAAACTTATGGTAAAAGAAAAATAAAATATATATACATATGAGACGCCTATAAATATGTGCTCACTCCATATTATCTGAGCTGTAATGAATCATTTCTTCTTCTTTCTCACGAAAAAAAGAAGAAAAAAAAATGGAGTCACTCACTAAATCATTCGATGAAAAAGAATGGGTTGTTCGAGTTAGTCGAACGTTAGATGAAGAGCTTGATGAGGAAATGAATATTTCAGTTAGTATCTTCAACGTTCCAAAACCGCTTTTGAATAGCAACCCTCATTCTTATGTTCCACAACAACTTGCAATTGGGCCTTACAATGATTACACTCCTCAGCACTGTGAAATGGAGAGGTACAAAATTGCCGCCGCAAGAAGGATACTACAAAACCAACCAGACGGAGTGAAGAAGTTTCATCACCTTGTTGATCAATTTCAGAAGCATGATCTTTGAATTCGAGCTCGATACCAGAGGTACCTCGATCTCAATTGTGACACTCTGGCTTGGATCATGGCTTTGGATGCTTGTTTCTTGCTCGAATTCCTCCGGGTTTTCGCCATTAGAGAAGAAGGTAATCATAAAGAGTTTGCTAGAATTCCGTCGACATTGTCACATTTTATTGATACTGCAGGGAAAAAAATCGCGCATAATGCGATTTTGAGAGACATTGTGATGTTGGAGAATCAAATTCCTATTTTCCTGTTGAGGCAAGCGTTGGAATTCCAATTTTCATCGTTGGATTTGGCTGATGAACTGCTGGTTTCGATGCTGATTGGATTTTGCGACCAGATTTCGCCGTTCAAAGGAACTATAGATGGATTGACTAATGCTCAATTGCTTCTAATAAAATGTGCTCATTTGCTAGACATTTTGTACCATACCATCGTGCCCAAATTTCAAGAACTATCTGTCACACCTAATATTGATACTACCGAAATTGATGATGAGGAGGAACAAGATGATGTAGAACAACTCAAAGGCTCTGGAGAAATTAGAAGATCTTTCAAAAAATCAGGCAATGTTCAGAAAGTTTTTGGTACGATTCGTAAGGCTTTCTCGTGTTTGAATAAGGTTCAGGTTCTAGTTATTAAGCGATTTGTAGCCTTGAAACCTATTCAAGTCATATAGAAATTGCCTAGAATTATTTCTAACTTGTCACGAATGAAGTCGTTGGAACAACCAATAGACAACATCTTGTCTAAGGCCGCTTTTGAGAGGCCTCTCTTGATGGAAGAAATCGTGATCCCATCCGTCACCGAGCTCTCCAAAGCCGGAGTCAAATTTTCACCGACTTACACCGGCATCTTTAGCATCAAATTCGATGTTATAACCACAACATTCTATCTCCCCATGGTTACTTTAGACGTGAATTCCGAAATCATGTTCCGGAATCTAGTGGCATACGAAGTGTGTAGCGCTTCGGGTCCACTGATATTCACTCGATACACGGAATTAATGAACGGGATTGTTGACACCGATGAGGATGTAAAGATTCTAAGGCAAAATGGGATCATTGTGAACCATTTGAAGAGTGATAAGGGTGTGACAAAACTTTGGAATGGGATGAGCAGATCGATTAGGCTTACAAAGGTTGATTTTTTGGACAAAACCATTGGAGAAGTGAATAAGTATTACAATGGCAGGTGGAATATCAAGATGAAAAAGTTCGTGACCCGTTATGTGTTTGAATCATGGAAGATTTTAACGTTGTTTGCGACTCTTCTCATGTTGTTCTTCACTGGAGTACAAGCTTTTTGTTCGGTTTACAATTGCCACGGAATTGTGAATCGGGTCCAAAACTTACATGGATGATGATAGTTCATACTTCATAGAATGATTATTTTGTTGTATCCTCCATTGGTTGTCAAGTCTCAAATCGACCACGACTTGGTTTGTGTTACTTATCCACTTCTTTTGTTTCAATGAATAAAAAGAAACTTGCTTTATTTTGTGCATGGTTAAATTCTTTGAAAAAATAAATTGTATAGCACTTGAAGGAAAGGGGGGAATCCCTTTCTAGTGTGCTTGATTTGATGTTTTAGGGCTGTTTCATGCCAATATTTTCTTTTCTTGTACAAGTTTTTTTTTTCCAGTCAATAAAGGAGGACAAAGATTCAGCCGCCTGCTAGTTTAATTAGCATCGACCATCAAATGCACTACATTATCGAACTCATCTGGGTTGTCCACGATCACAACAACTTAATGTTTAGTCGGACCGAGACCTCTTTTAATTGGAATAATATATTGTTGCTAATGTTGATCACATTCAAAAGATACATTGTTGATTTGGTGATGCAATTGGGCATAGTCTCTAGTCCGATATTCTCCATCTAAACATCATTTGTATCACTTGAATGCCCCACAGTTTCTTCAGGGAGCCGAGCTTCTTTCTCAATCCGAATCCTCGTTACTATTAAAGATGTAGTGGAGTTAGGATCTACTTTAGTGATAGGAATCTACTTTAGTGATAGACTTTATTTATTAATTATCAAAAATAATTTTTATCATCAGTGTAGTTTTTATCCAGTAGTGTAGACTTCCTATAAATATGATGTCTACCCTTTATTCGTAATCAAGCCAGTCATAATGTAGTATTCAAATATTATTCCACATTCTTCTCTTTTGTTTTATGTTTTTCAAATTCTTATTTTTCTTCTTGGTATCAGAGCAAGTTTTTTCTTGTTTCTGCTTACTATTTTTTTTTACCATAAAAAAATAAATCATGATTTTTTTGCTTTCGCTCACTATAGTTGTGCCATGTTACTTCAAATTCATCCTAAATCACTATTTTGTCTTCCTTCTCTACTACTAATTCTATACTCCAATTCGATTCTTCCAAGAATGTCCACAATCCCTACAACTCTGTCACAGATCAATCCATTAAACCACAAATTTTTTATTTTTATTTATTTATTTTTTCCTTTCACAAATCAACTTTAGTTGATCCACAAATTTCAGACAAAGAGGAAAGACGCCTTTGAGCCACTCTACAAAATTCCCATTATGACAAAAGTCAGATTCTCTCCAAGAAAAAAAAAAAAGAATTTTGACTTGCATACATCAATCTAACATTTACAAAAATTCCCCATATGGCAAAAGTCATCTTCTCTCAAAAGAAGAGCATTGACTTATCGTACCACAATCTAACCAAGCAACAAAATTTCAAGCAGTCCAAAATATGGCAAGAGTCACTCAAGGCAAATGATCGATGGTGGTCTACAAGTTTTTCATTACTCCTGTCTTGAAGGATGAGAAAACTGAACACAATCAAAGCAACGACTCAGTTTGAGGGAGGATATTAAAGATGTAGTGGAGTTAGGATCTACTTTAGTGATAGGAATCTACTTTAGTGATAGACTTTATTTATTAATTATCAAAAATAATTTTTATCATCAAGTGTAGTTTTTATCCAGTAGTGTAACAGTAGTGTAGTATTCAAATATTATTCCACATTCTTCCCTTTTGTTTCATGTTTTTCAAATTCTTCTTTTTCTTATGTTACAAGATCTTCACCTTCCCAAGTTATTATACATGTATAATAATGTCATATGTCATTTTATCTTTCTTTGTCCAAAATTTTTAGGCAACTATTGAAAATGAAATTGTGAAAATGTTTCTCGTACTAATTTTTGCAAAATACTACTGCTTATTTTGACACAATAAAACTAAGATAGTTTTAGTTTTTTTTTTTTTTTTTTTGGTTACAAAAGATAGTGATATTTTGAGTACAAATAAATAAATAAATAAAATCATTGTTAATCAAATAACCCAAAAAAAAAAACAAAACAAAAAACTAGCCCAAATAACTATGTTAAATCTAAAGGCCCAATTTAAATTCACAGCTGGGCCCTAATCTTCTTTGTTCTCATCCGATCCAGGCCCCGGTTCTGTATCACTGTATGAAACAAATTAACCTCCATGACTCTTGGTAATTGGTATCGAAGAGGCAATGCTGCCTTCAATTTCTTCTCGAGTTCATTGCTTGAATTTCTCGCATTATGTTCTATCTCACCTCCAAATTTTTCTTGGGTATCACAGTTATCCCTCCAAAATTCCAGCAAATACACGAAATCCCACTTCAGACTTCACTAAAAATGCCCCAAAACCACCATCAAAATCCAATCTTTCCATTCCTAAAACCCTTCCCAAAACCTCCCCTGATTCCCGTGACCTTCTGGATTTAAACCCCTCAATAGTTCTTGAAATGCTCTATTGTTATGGAAATGACTGGCAAAAGGCGTTGGAATTCTTCATTTGGGCTGAAAATGAACCTGGGTTCCAACACACGACTGAAACTTACAATCGGGTCATTGACATTCTTGGTAAGTTTTTTGAGTTTAATACTGCCTGGAGTTTGATTGAGAGAATGGGAACGAAGTCACCTGATTCGAAGCCCGATCGGGCGACATTTCGTGTTATGTTTAAGCGTTATGTTTCTGCGCATCTAGTTAAAGAAGCTATTGATACTTTTAGAAGAATGGAAGAATTTGATTTGAAAGATGAAGTTTCCTTTTCTAATTTGATTGATGCTCTGTGCGAGTATAAGCATGTTATAGAAGCTGAAGAGTTGTGCTTCGGAAAGAATAAGGATTTCGATGAAGTGAAGTACTATAAGTTAGATACGAAGATCTATAATATTATTCTCCGTGGGTGGTTTAAAATTGGGTGGTGGAAGAAATGTAGAGAGTTTTGGGAAGAAATGGATAAAAGGGGAGTTCAGAAAGACTTGCATTCTTATTCTATTTATATGGATATACTGTGCAAAAGTGGAAAGCCCTGGAAGGCTGTGATGTTGTACAAGGAGATGAAGCGGAAGAGGATCAAACTGGATGTCGTGGCGTATAACACGGTTATTCGGGCTATTGGGATTTCAGATGGGGCTGATGTGTCAATTAAGCTTTACCGTGAGATGATTGAATTGGGTTATGAACCCAATGTTGTGACCTACAACACTATTATCAAGCTTTTGTGTGATTATGGTAGGAACAGCGAAGCATATAATATGCTCAATGAGATGTTCAGGAAGGGTTGTAAGCCGGATGTTAAAACTTACCATTGCTTTTTCAAATGTTTGCAAAAGCCACAGGAGATTTTGGATTTGTTTGATAGGATGCTTAAAGCTGGAGTGCAGCCGAGCATGGACACATACGTTCTGCTTATGAGGAAGTTTGGAAGGTGGGGCTTTCTCCGACCTGTATTTCTTGTTTGGAATAAGATGGAAGAGCTCGGGGTGAGTCCAGATGAGTTTGCATACAATGCTCTAATTGATGTTTTGGTGCAAAAGGGCATGTTAGATATGGCGCGCAAGTATGATGCTGAAATGTTAGCAAAAGGACTCTCAGCTAAGCCCAGGGTAGAACTGGGGACCAAGCTCATAAGTAATGGGTTTGAACATGGTTGACTTTATATTTGAATGGATGAAAATTCCTGCAAAGCTCATAATGACCTGGTCGCAGGATCTCAGGCTTTAGTTTTGAAGATTTGCTTCAGTCTTCTTCCCTGGATTTGTTTTGTGAATCATCTGAGCAGCAGTTTTGCTATTTCTGGTGAACAAGCACTTATGTTTGATGAGTGCCTCTTACTTCCCTAGGCATCTTAGTGGAGGATTGCATTGAATTGAAGGTTCAAACTTGAAAAGGTTTTCTTCCTCCTATAAATCATCATCCAAGCATAGGAGAACAGTGCTGCACTGACCTGAATGTGCTTCTGGACCTATGGTGGTTTATGCTTCTGGCAGTCAGCAAATGATATATCGTTTTGAAATTTAAAGCCAGATCCTTTGCTGGACCCCGTGAACATGGGAGTTTCTATGCACCAGGCTGGCTTACATGCAAGGTTCCTCTTGGATGTGTAGACCAGACTGTTTCTCAGTTAGAAGGTGTGTTATGATTTTTGTTTAGTCGGTGACTAGTCCATAGATTTTCACTTAGAGTGGTTTTGCAATTTGATAGGCAGTACCCTTCCTGATTATATGTGAGTAGATCATCTTCTATAATCCTGTAATTTTATAATGTACGCCTGTGAATGTGATTTTAAAGCTGTGTAAATGAAAACATTGAATTAGCTGTAATAAAACTGAATAAATAAAAGGCATACCTCTTTCTTAATGGAATATAAAGCTTTCTTATTGATGTTACATTTCTCTCTAATAAATGCTTCAGTCTCCTTAACTCAAACATTTACATTTAAGTTTAATGCTTGAGTTAAGGAGTAAGCATTTTCTTTCATCTCGCTTGCAATTTTTCAGACACCTTTCTAGTTTCTTATCATTGTAACATGTCTCCCAACTTTGATAAAAACTTTGATGAACACCTATGGATCATTCAAATTCGCAGAACCCTTGAAGAAGAGCTTGAAGAAGATACAGAGGTGCCTGTTAGCATTTTCTATGTTCCCAAACCCCTCATGATAAGTGATCCAGATTGTTACAGACCCCAACAAGTTGCAATAGGTCCATACCATCACTGGCGATCAGAACTTTACGACATGGAAAGATATAAGCTTGCTTCAGCCAGAAGAACTCAAAAGCAGCTGCAGAATCTCAAGTTTCAACAGCTGGTTGATCGGTTAACAATATTTGAGCATAGGATCAGAGCTTGCTACCACAAGTACTTAGATTTCAATGGAGAAACCTTAGCTTGGATGATGGCCATGGATACATGTTTCTTACTCGAGTTTCTTCAAACTTACGCGTCAAAAGAAGGTAGAGTGTTAACTAGAGTTTCATCAAGAATGTCACATTTGGTTGATATTGCAGGGAGAAAATCAGCACATAATGCAATTCTTAGGGACATTGTGATGCTTGAGAATCAGATCCCGCTATTTTTGCTGAGGAAAACATTGGAACTCCAGTTATCATCGTTAGAAGTGGCAGATAACATCTTATCATCAACGTTAATAGGATTTTGCAAAGAGCTTATGCCATTCAAAATGATGGAAGATCTTCCAAATGTTAAAGTCGATGATTGTGTTCATCTGCTAGACTTTTTGTACCATGTTATGGTGCCCACCTTAGAGGAACAGCGTGAAGTGACTGAAATCGATGAGGAAGTTGAAACAGTCAGAGAAACTGAAGAAAGTTGCAGTGGGAAATCATATTACATCAAAAAATTTCTGCTTCTCCCCTGCAAAATATTGTCGAAAATGAACAAAGCCCCGGTAAATTTAATCAAAAGAATAATGTTTTCAAGGCTTTTTAAAGTCGCATTAAAGTTGCCTTGGAGTGTTATCTCTAATCTGCCTGGACTTAGACTCATTACAATGCCGATTGAATATTTGTGCTTTTCTGAAGACAAAGAACATGGGAAACAAGAAGATCCTATTACAGCTAATTCTAACATCGATGAACCTCCATTGGTGGAGGAAATCACAATCCCATCTGTAGTTGAGCTTTCAAAAGCCGGTGTACAATTCTTCCCTACAAAAGAAGGGATTTTGAGCATAAAGTTTGATGAACAATTGGTAGCAATATATCTCCCTACAATCAGTTTAGACGTGAACACTGAGATTGTATTGAGAAATCTGGTTGCATACGAAGCTTGCAACGCATCAGGGCCGCTGGTTTTTACTCGTTACACGGAATTAATGAACGGGATTATCGACACTGAGGAGGATGCAAAGCTTCTTAGGGAAAAAGGGATCATCTTGAATCGATTGAAGAGCGATGAAGAAGTGGCAAACATGTGGAATGGGATGACCAAATCGGTTAGGTTGACAAAAGTACCATTTTTGGACAAAGTGATTGAAGATGTGAATCAGTATTACAATGGGAAATGGAAGGTCAAGATTGCTAAATTCATGGAGCTTTATGTGTTTAATTCATGGCAGTTTCTCACGTTAATGGCGGCTGCTCTTCTCTTGTTGTTGATGACATTTCAAGCGTTTTGTTCGATTTACACTTGCTCACACATTTTGCACTTTAAAAGAACCCATTAATGTGTAGTTGAAGCTAGGAAGAATCTCTGTACCATATGTTACTATTCGAGTTTTCACTATTGTCAATTTGTCATCTACCAAAACATCATCTTTCAATTTGAGAAAGCTGTTTTTCTCATTAACTAAGCAAAGTTTAGAGATCAAACGATTTTAAGCCAAGCCTCCTCAACATTATCATCATAAGCAAGCCCGTGTTTTCACTTCTCTTTAAGAACTTACAAAATATTCTTTTCATCTCATAATAAATAATATTTCACATTATAATTTTGTGGAACAGAGAGAAGTACAACAAGTCAACCACGATACAAGTACACACGTAATTCATGTTAATCCAACCGCTTGGTAGGACTATACTTTTGAAGTTGCGTAACGGCGATATATGAACATTACCGTTTTCTTACAAAAATTTAATAGAAGTTAATTAGTCCAAGTTGACAAAGAATGGACTTACAATAAATCATGCAATCACTTTCAACAGCTGTTTTTCTTCTTCTTATAAATAGAAGTAACTAAAACTTAAAAGAAGCCCCCACCGGCATAAATTTGGCATTAATTAATTTACATCTATAAGACTAGTATTATATTTTAATTGATCCCTTAAGTAGGGGGGAATGTGGGGGCCGGCCAATCTTTCTTCCTTGTTTGTTTTGCGTTAACTAGTGTAGATTTGGAAGCTGGTAAGACCGAACAAAACCTTAACAAAATAGTCCATCGTCATATTTATGTAGTCCAGTTTGTTATAGTATTTTCTCTTTCCTAAAATAACTGTCCGGTGAAAGTATTATTATGCTAAGTCAAGTATATTATTAAAATACAGAACGAGAAGAGTATTAAACTATTGATTATCTAGACTACGCGTCTAATGTGTAACTTATACGAGAAGGCAGAAGAAGACTAGAACAGCTCATGGGATGTTGGTTGTTGGTGATTAGATACCAGTATTTGCAATTAATTATGCAGTTTGGTGGGCAGTGTCAATCAAAAGAAATACATCATTTTCACCCTTCTTGACCTTATTCTTATATATGGAGCACGTCTTGTATCAATCTCACTAGTCTATTTCTATCAGACTGCAATGGACCAAACCAACACAAAAATAAGAATCTTCTCTTGTCATCATATCTTTGATTAACTTCCAGGGGCCATTCATTATTCTATAGACTCAAAACTGAATTCTACTTTGTATTTTCTTCTGAAACATATCTTTGTGTTCTCCATATTACTCTTGTAATGATTTTTTCTGGGGTAGCGTTATCTTAATGAACATTTTATAGGAAAATGCAATAGAGATCTCCATAAGAAATTGCATATACTCATTATATACAGAAAATGTCATAGAAATCACTTGTCTATTAATCATATAAATCAGTCTGGTACAAGATTTTAATCACGTGATTTGTATAATTAACTGATAGAGATAACTGATGATAGTTAAAGACCACGATTAAAAAGATAAAGATGGGTAAAAAAAAGGTACATCAACCTTTTCAAATTTAGAAGTGTAAAAACCGAAAACACTCACCACAAAACAAAATGAAAAAGGAAATATGAAATGGTCAAAAACACAAAGCAAACTTCTCAATGTCATATTATGATTTTTTGATCTTGATCACTTTATCCCAAATTGTATCATTTTTCTAAGTATGTTCTACTCCAGCAAAAAAAAAAAAACACGGCAATGGAACAAATTTTTGTCTCCATCTATCAATTTAGCCATGTTACTTTACTTTCTCTCTCTCTCCCTTATTATTTAACTATACTCCTACTTTTAAAAGAAGGATCAAAACATTCAATGAATCTTTCAATACGTCTCTGAAAGAGCATTTCATTCAATTTATTTATTTATTTTTTTGGAAAGACATTTCATTCAATTGGAACTGGACCATACAATCGAAGCCAGCTTAGAAACTCAAAGCCGTTCAGAATTATTCTCTTCGCCATATTTAACACAAAATTTAGTTCAAAAATATGGATGCGAAAATGATGAAATTAAAAAACCAAGGTCAACAAAATTTGACAATGAGAATCCTAAACGCGGGAATGAGAACAAAAAAGACGCAGTGAAACACGTGTTGAACATATATATATGTGATGAAGATGTTTGTACTACTAAGTTGTAGTTACATGCGAAATGCTCTCCATTGTCGGCCCCCACTCACATTTTTTCTCTTTTTCAATTTCTATTTTCTTAACCTGTTTTTAGGACACATCTCCGTTTAATTATCATTATCCACGATCAATTCTTCAGTATAATTCACAGAAACTTTAACTTTACTCCTCACATTCAATTTTGTAACTGTTTTTTTAGGGTGGTCAGGTCAGAGCACCCACAACCAAACCATGGTTTCTGGCAAAGCGTTCTCTAGTAGTATTTTTCTGGGTTTGCCAGTTTTGATATTTATCTTCACTATAACTTGCTTTGTACCACAAACTTCTGGGCTCGCGGATATCTTTCCAGACTCTGCTTTTCCGGGTAAAAAAGATTGGGTCTTTATCCTTATCCCTTTTGATGCCATTCTCTTTTTGCATTGTTAACCTTCTGTTTCATTTCATCAACTTGAAGATAGTGGTTTTTTTTTCTGTTAATTTATGATGATTAGGTGGACTTGAAGAGGCCAAGTACGATGTTAATCCGAGAATTGAGAGGTCTGTGTTGGAGGGAAGCAATGGGGGAAACTCATCCCTGATATTGGCTGCTGAAAGAACTCGTCGGAAGGATCCACTTGATGACTTGAAATACTATACTGGTGGATGGAATATCAGTAACAAGCATTACTTTGCTGTAAGTTTTTCTTGCATTACTTTGCAGTTAGTTTTTCTTCTCTTTTGTTCCGGAAACTGGTTTGCTTTTGTGGCCTTTTCCAGTTTCCATGCCCCTGTTTCTGAATGTTATTCCATGTGAAGGTGGCACTTTTAATTTATGGTACTTCTAATTTTTAACCCAAAAAAATTCAAATTTTGAACCAATTTTTAACAATTTGAATTTTATGGGTTAGTTTTAGATGTATGAATTTTGTTCATGTGCGCTCTTCTTTATCATGGTTTGTGATATCCAATTGTTATTTTCTCTTTTATGTTCTGTCTGATTGCAATTGTTCTTTTGAAAGAAACTGAACCACTGAAGGTACATACTTGAGGGGCACAGAACTTCATCTTACTCTTGTCAAAACCTACAAAATTTTGGTGTATTCCAACACAACTTTTGCATAAACGTCACCATTAGGATTGATAGCCAATTAGCTAAATTTGTTGTTTCTGGTTGAATGACCCATTTGAGAAGACTGGTTCACTAGGTTGATTTTTTTAAAAATAAAAAAGGAAATTGCCAATGGAAGAAACAAATGTCAGGTCCGAAACATTCCTCTTAACAATTGATTTAACAGTAGACTATGTACTTCATCCATTGTTTGACTGGATCTGCTTTTTGCTTTTCTACAAGATTTGGAATTTTGCATAATGTTGATGATCTCTTGGATATTCGAATTTTGCATATTTAATTTCAAACCAATTTTTAACACATTGGAGTTTCTGGGTGTAGTTTTAGAAGTATGAATTTTGTTCATATGCGCTCTTCAGTATCATGCTTTGTGATATGAATTTGTCATTCTCTATTGTGTTCTGTCAGATTGCAATTGTTCTTATGAAAGAATTAGAACCACTGGAGGTGCTCGTTGAGGGTCAGAAAACTTCATCTTGCTCTTGTCAAAACCTACCAAATATTTGTGCATTCCATCAAACTTTTGCAAAAAACATCACAATTAGGATTGATGGCCAATTAGCTAAAGTCGGTTTTTCAGTTGAATGATCCATGTGAGAAGACTGGTTCACACAGGTTGAATGTTTTTAAAATTAAAAAGGAAATCTTCAGTGGGATAAACAAATGTCAGGTCCTGAAACAGTCCTCTTTAAATAAAGTTAACTGTAGACTAGTACTTTCATCTACCATTTGACTGGATCTGGTTTCTGCTTTCTACGAACTGTCTTGGATATTTTAATTTTACATATTTTAATGTTCAAAATTCATCTTAATTGATACATCTTGCCATATATGTCTTTTTCCGAATTTTCTGCATGGAGTTACAGTTTTCCGATTATAGCCATTTCACATGTTCTACATCTTTTTTTTTTTAACCCTTGGGTATTGGGTTGCTATTTGTTTCGGTTTCTGTTAGTCCTCTTCCATTGACTATAGCTGTCATTCATGACAAACTTACTTCTCTTTCAGTCTGCAGGGTTCTCTGCTTCTCCGCTGTTGTTAGCAGCTGTAATCTGGTTTGTTGGATGTGGCCTCTGCTTGCTTTTTGCTTGTCTATGTTTCTGCTGCTGTGGAAGACAAACTTATGGCTATTCTCGAACTGCTTACGCACTTTCTCTCCTCTTACTGTTATTGTTTACAGTTGCCGCAATGTAACTTTTCTGCTTCTCTAAGCTGCCTGATTCTCTTTCACAATTTGTATCGGACTGTCTATTTGTGCTTAATGTGATGTATCTTTCCGTCATCAGTGTTGGCTCTGTTGTTCTTTATACCGGACAAGGAAAATTTCACGATACAACATCAGACATGTTGAAGTATGTTGTAGCACAATCAGATTCAACAGTCAACAACCTGAGGAATGTGTCAGATTACCTTGCTGCTGCTAAGGAGGTTAAGATAGATAACATTGCCCTACCTTCGGGTGTCCAAAAAAATATTGATCAAGTTGATGCAAAGATCACCTCTGCTGCAAACACACTTGAAAGTGAAACTGAAAAGAACAGAAATCATATTGTGGACATTTTGGAAACTGTGTAAGTATGCTTATCCACTGACGTGATTGAGTTAGGTCATTTTAAGTCTCTATGACATCTATCTGTACTTTGCAGGAGGAAGATTCTAATCATAGTTGCTGCTGTAATGCTTGTTGTGGCGGTCCTTGGATTTTGTAAGCTTCTTGGCCTTTCTATTCTCTTTGTGACTTTGACTTCCTAATAACAATATCCTTACTCCAACTTTCCTAATACTTGGAGCAGTATTCTCGGTCCTTGGCTTGGGGTTCCTTGTCTACATGTAAGTTTCATCTGATCTGTCACATGTAAGTTTGTCAAATAATTGCCTGCAATGCTGGAATTTCTCATTTAAATCTTTTCGGATTCGTGGCAGCCTGGTCTTCCTTGGGTGGATTTTGGTCGCAGTCACACTGATCTTGTCGGGCATTTTTCTTGCTCTTTATAAGTAAGATTTACATCATCTTTGGGTTCACTTTATATTTAGGGATTTGCTGAGTTCTATTGTTTCTTTTCCTATTTCTATTTTGGTTTCTTGTTCCTCCACCATCAAACACATGGGGGCTGTTCTATGGTTGGACAGTTTTCAGGAACTAGTATCCTACCTCTGGGTTGTTTCTATTTGTAATGTTCTTTCTTAAACATCTTTGATTTTTCTTTGTTAACATTAACCTCTTTGGTAAGTTGAGCCATGTCCTTTTCTGGTGTATAGATATTGTGAGTGAGTTCTGAAATCATGTTTGATGACATCAACTGGCATATTTCTTCATCTAAATTGCTGTGGTGTTTACTTCTCCATCTTTTCACCCATAAAACTCACATGTCATTCTTCCATGTCTAGCGCTACTGGTGATACATGCCTTGCGATGGACCAGTGGGTTAAGAACCCTGCAGCTCATACAGCGTTAGACGATATCCTTCCATGCGTGGATGTTTCAACTGCTCAAGAAATATTGTCTCAGAGTAAAACTGTCACATTTCAACTAGTTGGGGTGGTTGATGGAATCATCAATAACGTGTCTAACGTGAATTTTCCACCATCTGCTGGACCGTTATATTATAATCAATCTGGTCCTCTGGTTCCTCGTCTCTGCAATCCCTTCAATCCAGACAATACAGACCGGAAATGTACATCGGGTGAAGTGGACTTATCCAATGCCACCCAGGTATATTGATTATCAAACTCAAGTAATTGACTTTTTCAATCATATGCGCATTGATGTATCATATACCATCGCTCTCTATATGGCTATCCATTGAGTGGTGTTCTTGTTGCAGGTTTGGAGTAGGTATGTGTGCCAGGTCTCAAAAAATAACGTGTGCACCAATGTCGGCCGCTTAACACCTTCAATGTACCAGCAGATGTCTTCTGCTGTTAATGTCAGCTACGGTCTGAATCACTACGGCCCATTCCTCAGTGACCTGTTGGACTGCACTTTTGTTCGGGATACATTCACAACCATAGAGAGAGATCATTGTGGTGGTCTCAAGAGGTACAGCAAATGGGTACACATCGGTTTGACATTGGTTGCTGCTGCAGTAGCACTGTCATTGATCTTTTGGGTGGTTTATGCGAGAGAAAGGCGCCATCGTAAATATACCAAACTCGTCGACGCAAGATCTACACAAGAATCATTTGACGGCAAACAGCAGTATAGAAGTTCCACTAATCTGTGATTGAGTTCCAGTTAGTTCATTTATTAGTATTTGATTATTTAATTTGTGATGTACATAAGTCTAGCAGGAGTAGTAAGTTTGTTACAATTATTATTGCAGGAAGTTTGAGATGAGTGCTTACCTTTTAGTGTCAAAAGCTTAATGGTATAGTACTTGCTAGTTTGCTTTATCTTTATCTTTTCTCATAGTGATGACACTATTCTTGATAATGGTAAAATATAGTAATTCATCATATTCACGTTTTGGAGTTTAAAAAAAAAAAAAAAACCAAAGTTGAAATTAGTGGCCTTTCTTTTTCAATCTCTTGGGAACAAATTAGTGGCATTCTAATCAACTATCACTAACAATGTTTAAAACAATTAGACTTTACAGCTATTTTTTCCAAAAACAGGTTTGCATCTTATCAACGTGATAGTGTAGATTTGACCAAAAAAGAAAGTGTCAATAAGACAGGCTTTTAGTAATAATAATCATGGCTTCCTTATCATTTCGATGCAATTAGAAACCAATAAATGAAAATGGTGTTATTAAGATTTTAAATATCTTTGCTAATCATAAAAATACGAAAAAAAAAAAGTAACTCGTACATCTATCCACTACCTCATTTTACTATGGATTTTACTGACCAATTCATTTTGCTATAGATTTTATGGACCAATTGTGCAAGGAGAAATAGCCAATAACGTGACAAGAACAAGAGTGAAGAGGAAGACAATAGTAAAAATGATAAATGGAGTGAAGAAAAAGAAAAGAGGCTCTGACGGGCCAAGAAGAGATGCTAGCTCAGGGTAAGCATTTTGACAAATTAAGAAACCAAAAAAAAAACCCAAGTGGATTATATATGCATGCCACTCGACAAATTAAATAATTTAAACTTCATTTAATGCCACTGGGCATGTAAAACTTTTAATTTATTATAACAAAAAAATCATACAGTAACCACAAAGTTCCAGTTAATATATTGGACGAAGAAGAATGCATTATATTGTTTAGATTGAATGCTATTATGATACGTAGTTTGATTAGTCGGGGTGAACGGAAAACAACATTGAAGTATACTTTAACCTCATTTTAGGTTATAACATTTGATTCCAAAGTAACCTAACTTTTAAATTTCATTAGCCCCTTCGTATTTCTGAAATTCCTTCAAGTTATTACCTTTCTCTAAGCTAAAGAATCAGATTGATGGCATTACAAGGGAAGTAGATTTTACATCATAGTGTAGTGACTGTAGTCAGTATCTGGGTTGGTTAAACGAAGGCAAGTAAACCGATGCATCATGCTCATATACGAAGATTACTTATAATGGAACTATCAAGTTGCTTGTTTGGCTAATTCTTGGTGGAATTTGAGCAGGCAAATGGAACATTCGGCCAGTGTGACGTTCCGGTGCTCTCTCCGCCCCCACCAGCACAATTGCCACCCTCAGCTCCAGTGCCACAAAGCAGACATTCCAGCTCACTGGTTGATTCTGGCAATTCTCTGCTTAATTTCTATTTACTGAGGTTTCAGGAGGCATGGTGTCGGACATTTAGATACATTGAGAGAGAAGTGAGATAATGTATACTACTAAACAAGAGCATGAGAAAATTTATTTCATTTTTTTAGAGCCGTATGGGTTATTCATCTCAGCCTCTCAGGCACCCATGCCGTCCTTAATTAAGAAAGAAAGTTGCAAAAGAAAAGGGAAGGTATTTACTTAGACTGAAACCAGACCATGATTAAAGTTTTGGAAATTGATGATTAATACGGTGATGTGGTAGACAACTAGATAAATATGGATTTAAGCACGCAAATTTGATGATAACCATGAGGTTTGTTGTTAGAAGGATACGCATGTGAGTAAAGGTTCACTTCAAGCTCGATTCGAAACACAACTTCTTAAGGAATTTTTAATCTTACAGGACAAGACACAACTAGTGAAACTATTGAATCACATCAAAATTTGATTCCCGCTATATGTAAGTCAACTTAAGGGATTTGAATATGTGTTCCTTATAGGGTGAATTTTTTGCAACCTTATTTGTATACCTTATGTTGAGAGTAATGTGACAAAGATTGTAAATCTCACGTCAGAGATATGAAGACATGTAAATCACTTAATAAGTAAACCGGGTTCAGAACTCATTAGTTTGAACTTTTGAGTCCAAATGGGTCTCATCTTACTTATTGGGCTCCATGTCCGGGTTCAGAACTCATTAGTTTGAACTTTTGAGTCCAAATGGGTCTCATCTTACTTATTGGGCTCCATGTCGAGTTTTCTACTCCGGATAAATCCCCAACACCTTATAGGGTGATTTTGTGCATTTTTAACCTCAATTGTCCTTTTTTTTATTAAAAAAAAACTCAATTGTGATTTTATTATTTGTACCAAAAAGGAAATAAAAATAAAATTGAACTAATTATATAGGTTGTGTGGTGTATAAAGCCCACAGACTTTAGGAGGAGGGGTAGTACGTGTCAGCTGGGGAGGGGATCAACTAGGTGGAATTTGGGCCAAAAAAGGCGGTGGTCACAACTCACAGCTGCGGCCTACTCCCGTTCCCATACATTGGTGTCAGAAACTTCCGAATAGTTATTGGCAGTTATGGTTAGGAAGACCACTTTTCAATTATTTGATTTATTTCTGGTTTCTGGGTGGCTCATCTCTTTGACTTCTGCTACCTGGAGTGCGTACTAAAAGTCATTGCAATTTACTACTACATTCTTTTACTCTTAAAATAAATTTATTCTGCTTCCGTTCGTCTCAAAATAATAGTCCACATTGAGTTTTCAAATTTGTACTAAAAACAATACAAAATTAAAAGAGTTTAATATCACAAAAGTAGTCATTTCGTCCCAAAATATACAATATTTTTAAGACAAATTTATTCTGCTTCCGTTCGTCTCAAAATAATAGTCCATATTGAGTTTTCAAATTTGTACTAAAAATAATGAAAAATTAAAAATTCAATGTAGATTATTTTTGTGGGACGGAACGAATATGTTCTTCGATGGTACAAAATTAATAAAATGTAATCAAAAGCGTGGGAAGGCCTTGACAGTTTTCGTAAAGCTCACGTATGTCATTCTACTCCTGATGCGCGGTTTTATTCCGTTTGATTTTTCTCTACTCATAATAGATTAAGAATAAACTTAGATCTTATTCAATTCATTAAGAAGTTATTCTAGATTTTTGCTTCGCTAAGCAAGCGCGTGACATTGAAATGTTGGAGAAGAAATAAGTACACCATTCATACTAGACGAGGGAGTCAAAAAAAATTCAAAGTGGTCAAAATGGCGAATGGAGCAGCTTCAATTCAAAGTCGATTTAATTCATTATTGATATTCTTCTTGCTATTACATTTTTTCTTTTTTTCTTTTTTTTGGTTAAAAAGAAAAATCATTTAAGTTGGAGTAATTAGCTTGTACTTGAAGGAGCATTTGACGACAGAGTAGATAAAAATCAGCTGCTGGTCGTTGCTGTCAACCACTGCCAGAAAAATCGCTTGGAGAAATGATTTGGTCCACTATAGCCATACGATACGTCACAAAAATACTAAATTTTGATGTGAATTGGTTGGTTCGTATCGAATTTGATAAAAACTATTACGTTATTTTTAGTATAATACGATTCGACACGTATCGATCAATACGGACGATAAATAATATATAATAGTCGAACCAAATTAGACAATTTTTCCTATTTTTTTGTTGGTTTTCAAGTTCTAACGTCCAGTAATTTCTAATTTTTTTTAATAAAAATAAATTACTAGCTATTAATTCTATGCCTAGAAGTTTAAAAGTCCACCACAGTCAAACTCCCAACCGAATCTAATAGTCTTTAGCTTCCCAAATCAAATAATTCCTTAAGTTTAATTTTTAACCATTTAGAATTAGAAAAAAAGAAAAGGGTCTCATCTCTCTGTTCTCTCTAATCGAACTGATCACCATACCCCTTCCCAAAAAAAAAAAACACTGATAACCATAGAAAAGTGGAGGAAAAAACAAAACATTTCCCCCCCAGCCATCATCAAACAAACTCCAACAGTTATATGTTTTGGGAACAGTTATATGCTTTTGGAATTAAGATTTTATTTTATTGAATGCTATTTTAAATTAATGGTTCATGATAAGTCAATCGGATAGTTAGTATAAATTTACATATATATTTAATTTTAATATCTATAAAACTAATAAAAACGTATCTTACAATACACAATACATCATATAAATTTTACGATTTCGATACGCGATATATATTTAGATTCGACAACTATGATTTGGTCCTTTCTCTAGTCCCAAGACACTACCTATAAGATCTTAATTATTATTTTATTTCACTATTTCTGTTTTACAATGAAATAAATAATTAAAAAAATACATAACAAACGAGATAGTTATTTTCAGCAATAAATTATTTCAATTTGTGTCAATTTATTTTCCATTTCGTTTATGATTTTGTTTTCTATAGCTAAAAACAACTTTGTAGACCAATGTAGAGATATTGATAACCATGGAAAACCAAGAAAATAAATACAAATTCGAAAAGCAACAGGCTCCAAATAAAGCTGATGCTACAATAGTACAATTACGTAAAACACAGAGGAAAAAGATGTGAAACTGGCTGTCAAAGTCATTAAAGCTACATAATGGAATATCTCTTGAGATTTTTCTGTTACAGTATTTAATAAATAATTAAATTAAAAAATTTGCTCATCTTGCGTGGAAACTTTAAAGACACTGAATAATTTATCAGCATTATATGTGCCTTTTCCTTTTCCTTTACTTATTACACCGAAAATGGCCGTCCATAAATATGTAAACACCGATTCCTATTTGGAGAATCACCCAATTGCATGTTTGATTGCTTGAAAAATTAAATTATTATATGAAAGAAATTTGTTAATTACATGAAACTTCTCGTGTCACGTTTCATTTGAGATTTGCTAGTGTCATACGGCAAATAATATTAAGATACCACACATAGGGAAGAGAAATTGGATTAATTGAGTCCTAAAAAAAAGAGTCCACATGCGCATTTATTATGAAAATTATCAATTTAATTACGTGATCAAATGTTATCCCTTTTTTTCCTCCAAATTTTAATTACGTGAATTAATTCCTCCAAATTTTATTCCTTTTTTTAGCACGTGTTTAATTTTAAATGTTGTCTTTTTTAATGCTTATCATGTTAGCTTTTATATTATTTTATTTTATGAGATTCTTCATAACTTCAATGCTGTGTTGATATGGGTATTCTGACAATGCTGTGTTGATTTTATTTTGGTAAAATTGAATATGGTTCGTCATCTAAACTTTTGAATATAATTTTATTGATGAATATACATGCGTAAGGTAATGTTTGTATGGTTATTGATGAACAGGGTATTCATTGTTGTTTTTTGACCGATGGTGTATTATATTATTACAATTTTACGATGAATATTTTATGTTAACTGATGAATAACGAGTTGTTATTAATGAATAATAGAAGTTTTGCTAATTGGACGATGTTTCAACTATGAGGAAGAGGCTTTTGTTGCTTATAATTCTTACACAAAGCGCATTGGTTTTTTCAATAAACAAGTTCAAAGATTGGAAAATGTCCAAATCCGGTGTTGTATATTAGAAACAATTTGCATGTAGCAAACAAGGAGTAAAAAATTAAGAGGTAGGTGCGATACAACAATGAATAATTATACCAAACTGATGAATACGACAATTTCAACAATGAATAATTATACCAAATTGATGAATAACCCTCTATATCAATATCTACACTTATTGTAGTTTGATTTTTTGCAGATGCAGATATCCTGCTTCTTTTGGCTTCTGAATGTTGTTCTTCGCTCATGCTTCTTTCAGATTGTGTCTGATATTCATCGCTCATGCTACAATATATTTACAAATTTCATGAATAACTTGTCAGATGTGATGAATCTGACAATTTCAACAATGAATAATTATACCAAACTGATGAATAATACAAATATCTAGTAATTTACCAAAAAAAAATACTACATAGTAATGGTAAACGATGAAACTGGCAATTTCAACAATGAATAATTATACCAAACTGATGAATAATGCAAAGATCTAATAATTTACCAAAAAAACAATACTACATAATTATGGTAAACGATGAATCTGACAATTTCAACAATGAATAATTATATCAAAACTGATGAATAATACAAAGATCTACTACTTTACAAAAAAAAAATAAAAATACATAGTTATGATAAACAATGAATCTTACAATTTTAACAATGAATAATTATACCAATCTGATGAATAATACACAATCTACCAATTTACCAGAAAAACAACATCCAATAGAAGAACAAAACTCGAAAATTGATGAATCTGATAATTTCAATAGTTATAAAAACGATGAATCTGATAATTTCAACAATGACTAATTATACTAAACTGATGAATAATTCTCATATCTTCTAATTTACTAAAAAAAAAAAAAACAAATCGAAGAACATATCTCTAAACAATAGTGAACATATATTGGATCTACATAATCCAAACAAAAAAACCACACCAATGATTGAAGAGAGTAGTTGCATTACCTTGTTTCCCCTTCATCCTCCGATTTGCTCATACTTGGTTCGGAATCCTCAGCCATAAGCATCTACATGAATATTTTAAGAAAAAATAACATTCATCAAACCAGAATACACCTTAATCCCCATCTTCAGTATTGTAACTTGTAATCAGAATTACCGTTTTTTATGAACGATTCGATTCAGACTTCGGAAGTCCCGCCGATGGTAGCTTCTCTGAATGTATCGCCGCAGGATTGATTTTTTGGGGTTTCGTTTTTTTTTTTTTTTGATTTGGGGAGTAATGAAATAGATCGAATGGAATGTTGGATCATCAATAATGGCTGAAAATTAGGAGATAATGGTAGTTATCAAGATTTGAAAATTAAAAAATCGCACATAAAGGGGTATTAAATGGGTGTGTGTTTTTCACTCGGGTGGCAGTGACGTAATTTTTGGAAGTCCCCATTTTTTTAGGAGCGTTTCTTACACACTAAGTACACCTTGCTAGGTGTACCTAGGATCCCTATATTCTTGTTTTTATTATAATATATTTTGATTTCTCATAAATTTTACTTATTATGTTTTTTTTAAATGAAAAGAAAACCTTAGATATCTACATTTTCATTTTCATTGTGATCTTCTAATTATTAAAAAATATTTTTAAATTTTTTTTCATCAATTGAAAAAACTTATTAAGTGAAATCTATAATAAATCAAAATGTCTTATCGGAGGGAGTATCAAATTAGCAGCAAAGATTGAAACCGATCTTTATACATCACAAGAATATTTCGTAAAAATTCTAAATCCTCGATTAACAGTTCGTTCTTAATTGAGTTAAAACATTGCTTGTGGTGTTGATGGCTCACATGCACAAAACATAGTAGCTGTCGACATCTTAACCTGAACCTTTAATCCCAAAATCACGCTCTTTGAACACTAATATTACGAGATTTTGACAAATATGGTCTTGAAAATTCACAAACATTTGGACAATTGTTATGGAAATTGCTAAGCAAAGTGGAGCTGGACCATTAAACTTACATTTGTTCTAAATCTTAACCATAAGAAAAGATCTGGTCATTTTAATCTTAACCATAAGAAAAGAAGAGACCAAAATCCTAAGAAATGACAACACACAAAGTACGTGTGCGACAACTGACCGGCTCCCAAAATCTAGTGACAAATGTCCCTATTTCGGGCAGTCCTAAAGCTTTTTCACCACCCTGTAAAACCAATTCTATTTTCACTCCATAGTGATTGTATCACACGCAGAGATCATCCTAGGGGTTATGGAACGATAAACGGCGCGTCAGGGACAAGCGCGCTGCTCGAGTTTGTCTCTACTTGGATCCAACAGCCCATAGCTTTTGTTGTTTTTTTAACTTTTAACCCATTGGAAAGCCCAAACCTCTATATCTTTATCCAACGGCCGGTCCACCGTCAAATTACCAGAATAGGCCTAATTCCCGTATTCAATTACCAGACTTTGCCATCGTCTTCCCTAACTATATAAACCCTCTTCCACTCTTGCTTTACGTTTGCCGAAATAGAGAGCCAAAAGGCACTCTTTAGAGAGAAAAAAAAAAAAAAACAAAAAAAAAAGGTTTCATAAAAAACAACAGAAAATATTTTGCTTTCATATTTTAATCCATTTCATCGTAACTCCTGAGAACAATGGTGACGTCATCGTCGTCTTCCTCGAGAAGCAAGTCCGGCGGCGCCGGTTTTTCGAAGCCGTTCCAGCGTTCCCTGTCGCCGATGGGACGTTTCTGTTCGTCTTCCTCCACCTTCGCCGCGCGGGGCGGAAACGGGCTGATGACCCGGTCCGCGTCTCCGACCCGGGTGAATCTGTACAGATCCGTCTCGCCGACGTCATCCGTTCGGTTGTCGACGTCACCCCGCCGCTCAATCGTGGCGTCTCCCCGGCGATCCCCGCAGAGTAACAGGGCGGTGGCGCCCAGTCAGAAGAAAACCTGTATGTGCTCTCCGACGACCCACCCGGGATCATTTCGGTGCAGCTTGCATAAGAGTGTGACCCGGAATTATCACCAGGCAAGTCCTTATGGGAGGTCCAGTCATCAATTGAACATGCGGAGATCGGCAATGACGAATTCACTGGTAAGAATCGGAACCGTTGAAGGCGATTTGGTGAAGAGAGCTTTGGCCGCTTTAATCAGGCCGTCTTCCCATAATCTCCGGCGCCGTGGTGATTTTCAACCGCGGCCCAGTCGGTTAAGCACCATGTCCAAAGCCGATGATTTATAACGGTTTTTTCTTTTTCCTATTTCTCGCCCATGTACATAAGAGTTTTGGCGGTTTGGTCTGTTTCATTTTCCTTTTTTTTGGGGGTGTTTCGACTCGGAGTGCCTGATTTCTTTTGTAATGGCCCCACAAATGAGTCGAAGAAGAAGATTTAGAAATTAAAAAAAGTTATAGCCGTGGGAGACCGAGTCGAAGAATTTTTTTGACAGACTTGAGTTGTGTACTGTAGTTTACTTACTACTAGTAGATACAGAAAATGAACATTTCATGAAATTTTATTTTTTTTTCTAATACAGATTTCTTGATTTTATTTAGATTTGCGTGTGTACGATATTTTTTAAGTGGCGTATCTTCCATAAACTAAGGATTAAGGGAATGTTTAATCTTGATTTGACTTTGGCTTTACGACAAATCTGGCTACTGCTCAGTGACAGCCAAAAATTAGCAACAAATTTTGTCACAAATCTGGCTACTGCTCAGTGATAGCTAGAAATTAGCAACTCACATTTATCAGATTTAGAACTTTTGGAGATTGGATTAAGGATGGTTATTAAGATTTTTGATACGAAGGTTATCTATCTATCAGATTGGATTCTTAAGTCCAACAAATTATTGAACAATTGACAGAGTTGAAAGCACCCTAAAATCACTAGAGATTTTGTCATTTGTTGCAATGTGTTATATTTGCCGGCTACCTGTGTTTCTCGGTTCCATCGTGACTCATGAATATCTCAGGTGACTAAATCGAAAATGACAATGATGCATGATGAACTCAGAATCAAAGGACAATGTATGGCAGCGGAGCCAGAAATTTAATTCACCTCCGCGATGTTGCGTGAAAATAATGAAATTTCATACCTTCATTTTACATTTAAAAAAAGAACAACTCTAGAAAATTCTTTAAAGGTGGTAGGGGATGCCTCGTGACAATTGTGTTTCTTTGTTTATACCATTAGTTTGCACTCTAAAATTATACAGTTTTGAGGTATGAAGTTATGAGATAATTTCATCTTTCTCTGCGTGGTATGACGATTGTGTTAATTATTTTTTTTTCCTCGGTAGTTTAACGTTTGAAGGTGGTGACGGATATGTCTATGTTATGTGTAATTCAAAGCTTGGTAATGTTTTGGCTAATTACAAAAATTTAACGCCATGATCACACATGTTACGGGTTTAGTTCATAAATAACGTGACTGTGTTACTAATTACACAAACGTAAATAATTTCATTTTCTTCCTAAAAGGAAATTATAAGTTCAAAAGTGGCGTGATTATCTTGGTATTTGCATAAATGAAAACATTTTTTCGCTAACCCTGTAATCTTAACGCAGTGGTTCGATTCCGAGAACTGGTCCACAATTTCTCTAATTCTGCAACTAAATGAAAATTCTCAAGAATATTATGGTGAATTGCTAATTTTGATACCTTTATACTTTGGGTTGAAGGCGTAAGCCTTTTGGGCTTCTTGTCCATTTTGGATTTTGTTCTGGATTCTCTTTTGTAGATGGAACTTGAACCCAATACAATTGGTGCTTCTGAAAAGAGATGAGGAAAGTGTGCCATTCACAAATTTGCGGATACAGTCTTATTTAAGAAGTGATCCTTTTAGCTCATTCAGGTTTCTTTGTTGCATTGTAGTAAGGCGTTTTTTATGGCTCATCAAAATCTTACTAAGCTTTATAACACAACTCTGGCCCTTAAAACTTTTAGTCCGCCTTTTACCATATTTCTCCTAAATAACACAACTCTGGCCCATACTTGTTCTTGATTGGCAAGATTCAGTAGCCATACCCGGCCTCCCAATAATGCCGTGACGGATGCATTAGCAAAATTTAATCTATCTTGTTCTCTAATCTTCACATTTTGTCGATTCCGCCGTCTACAATCAAATAAAGTTTACTAGATAGCTCCCCTTCATCCCATCAACCATATGGATGTTTCGTAACAAATCCGTCGGCTTCCTTCGTATTTAAAAACAAGATTTACATTTTTAATACATAATAAATTACTCTATATGACAATTATTTTAGGATAAAATAAGTATATATATTTTTTATAAAATAAAAGAGCTATAATAAACTACAATCGAGTACCCTGTCTCACATTGTGACGAAATGGTTTATACTCCCATCTTAAATGTGATAGATACATGGAAAAATTAAATAAAAATTTTCAAGAAATGATTAGTCAATTATCTAAATTATGCCCTAACTTTAAATGTCTGAATCTTAAATAAAAAGTGCTAGACAAATAAAAAATGTTAAAAATAAATAACTATGATTAATTCCTTATCATTTTTTCTCTGTACGTATCATTATTACATCTACTTATGGCATTCATTCACATTCAAATGTATCCATCTTGTGAAGAACTTCAAACTTCAGTTAGGATACAGATCGATAGTTGCAGTCGCGCCATTTCTATGTTTGATGTAAAACTAGTATTTTTCATTCCAAAACATAATACTCAGTATCCAAACGAAGTTTACTCTGTCGGTCCATCCTATGTTTTTTTTAAAAAAAAAAATACATCAATCATTTGTTGCACAAAAATGGGGTATCATTATACACCTATCCGTCGTCCCATTTTGCATTTTCAACTCATTTTACCTCTTAAACACAAAATCCAATACAAATAAATCACCGTCCAAATAACTTTTCAACTTATATTTTGAAATTTAACTTAAACTACATTTTAGCATAATATTTAGTACAATGATTATTTATGAAATTGAAATAGTTCAGTGACTAAATTAAAAAACTTTACAACAGTTTAGTGACCATCGGTGTATGAAATTGAAATAGTTTAGTGACCAAATTGAAGACTTTACAATAATTTAGAGTGCCGATGGTCACTATACTATTGTAAACTCTTTCAATTTGGACACTGAATTATTTTAATTTCATAAATGGTCACTATCCTAAAATACCACCCAAACAATTTTTTCATCTTCCATTACTTTTCCACTTAAACCATTTTCTAGATTTAAGTAAAAAAAATGAAAACGAATATGATGTCCAAACAAGCACTAAACACTAGGAAAAAAACAATAAACCTACGGTATGGGGCTTCCATGGGTCCTATGCATTCAGTTTTAGAAGTTTTTCGCATTTGCCTAAGTGATCATGAAAAGGTTTTCTTTTTCCCTTAGGGAGTAGTAGATAAATTCACATGAATTCTAAAATGAAATGGTCACCACGAGAATCTGATGTCCAAATGCCGTTAACTACCCTGCTCGATGGCAAAAATTTTGGGTGGGAAAACACGTAACTTGACATAATCCATTTATAATACTTTTTCATTGTTAAACATATCATCTTCACATGCCAATGTAAACACTCAAAGTGAAGATTCACATTAATTTAATTTTTAGTACCACTTTTTGATTTCGATTTTGCTACTTTAATAATGGAATGAAATATGCATCTACTGATCTTTGTTTCATTTGCGTGATATCGTAGCAGCCTAAGCAAGCCTGGGGGCCCAGGTGGATCTGACAAGTCAAAACAGTAACACGTCTTGCAGATTCAGTTCACTAGAAATTTTCTTTATTTTAATGGTAAAAAAAAAATCAAAGCGATTTGCACTTTTTTAAGTGTATGATAATAACCTTCAAACGTTGGATCAAGAAGAGGTTGTCTTTTCATTATCTTCGTCATTATTAATTTAGTACTGCTACAAAAAGTTAAAACAGTTCACGTCTCCTCCCTCTGTCCTTAAAATCAGAAAGCTTCCTAAATTGTTATTTTTCCTACATTCTGAATTCATACCACACACTTTCACGCAAGTGGGTAACCCAAAAAGTTTGCATTTTTAATTTTTAGGACTAATTTCTTTTTGGGTCTACAAAATTTTAAGTTGTGGAGCTTTTTTCAGTTCAGAAAAGGTAAAAGATGGCAGTTTTGAAAGCTGGAACTAGACCCCCATGGGTGGGTTTAGGAGCTGCAGTTTGGGTGCAAATTGCTGCTGGGAATGCCTATACTTTCCCTCTTTACTCCTCTGCCCTGAAATCAGTTCTGGGTTTTACTCAGCAGCAGCTCACGATTCTTGGAGTGGCTAATGATTTTGGTGAAAACGTGGGGATTGTTGCCGGCATCGCCTGCAACAAGTTGGCTCCTTGGGCGGTTCTCCTTGTTGGGCTTTGTTTATCTTTCTTGGGATATGGTGTTTTGTGGCTTGCTGTTAGTGGAACAGTTTCCTCCTTGCCTTACTGGGTTGTGAGTTCCTTGAACTACCTACCTACTTTCTGCTTCTCTTTTAATTCACTAATCAACATGATTCGATGAGCTAATGTCTATTGCGATCATTTTGGGGACGATATCTGTTACACTCTAATAGGACGATTTGTATTGTTTGGCATTCATTTTCGATGCAATAGTTCTGGAGGATTGGTCGGTTTTAGTTGCGAATTTCAAATTCATAGATATTAGTCTATGATCGGGTGATTCCTTTTTGGCTTTTTTTCTTTTTTCTTTTTCTGTATTATTTGAATGCCGTATGTAGTTCAAATGCTTTAATTTTCCTGGAACGTAGGGTAGTTAGGGATTACCAGATTAGTCTTTTATTATTGTTTTCTTTTGTTGTTTAACAGAGGGGATTATTCAATGTGGGCTATTTTGACAAGTGGATTAGGTTGAGTTGGGTGGCTTTTCTTAGTTTTTGGAACTTAGGTTTACTTTACATTGCAGTCCTCTAATTCTCTAAGATGAATATCCCGCAAGCATGTGTTTCTACTTGTTTATCCAAAAGAAAAACCCAGATACTTTATTCTATTTCTTCAGTAAGAAAACCCGTGAATCTGGTAATCCATTTCCTACTTTTTGCATAATTAATAATCCATCCCGGGGAGCAACATAGACTTGGGAGAAATATCTAAGAAAGTTTGAAGACAATTGAAGTTAAAGTTTGATAATACTTCTCTAATCTGCTTTCATGAAAGTTAAGTCCAAATGTCTTCCTGTTCGGATTTAAATTTGACTTGAGAAGACAATGTTTTGGGAAACTTTTTTTTGGTAATTATTTTTCATGACTGTAGCACTGGAGCCTACCAAAGATTTCATTAGTAACTTCGAGCAACCTTCTTTCCTAGAAGGAAAAACCACAATTTACTTTTCTCAGATCTCAACTTCTAGCAGGCGAAGCCGTCTCTGGTGTCTATTATACAGCTCGCACTATTCAGTCTTAGTATTACTGTTTAAAGTTTCACTCAGATTGCCAGTTTTCCTCTTTACTTAGGTACAGTCTTGTAGGTTCAACTATGTTTATTGTACATAATTTTGAGGTTGCACATTGCGGCCGCAGATGCTAGTGCAATTTCCTAAAAAGATTTGTCAAGGGGCAGGATATTTACCAATTTGTCGGAAAATTCGAAAGAATTTAAAATACATTAAAATGCGGTGTGTCATTCCTTGCAGTTGTTATGCTTCCTTTCTCCTTAATGCCGAGTCAATATTGATTTTAGTTCAACATTTCTCTTGATCACAGTATTGTACATCTGCTATCCTACACACTATTATTGTTTCACCTCTATTGCATCTGTGATCATGTTTTTTAATTATTGATTCTGTTGGCAGTTGTTTCTTGCACTCTGTGTTGCCACCCACAGCAGTGCATGGCTTGGGACTGCTGTACTTGTAACCAACATGAGGAATTTCCCAGCCAGTAGAGGAACTGTCGCTGGAATTCTGAAAGGCTATGTCGGGCTTAGTGCTGCAGTTTTGACGGAGATATATACCATGTTGCTTGATGGTTCGGCTTCAAAGCTGCTGCTGTTCCTTGCATTGGGTATTCCTGTCATATGTTTGGCCATGATGTATTTTGTCCGGGCTTGTACTCCTTCGGAAGAAGACTCTTCAGAACGTGTCCATTTCCTTTTCACTCAAGCAGCAAGTCTTTTTCTTGCCATTTATCTTCTCACAACCACAATTCTAACAGATACAGTATCCCTAAGTATCTACATCAAGTATGCTTTTATTGCCATAATGGTCATTCTCTTGATGTCTCCTCTTGCAATTCCCTTGAAAATGACATTATTCCCAGCACAACGTAAACAGTCAAACCAGTCAAATGGTTCTGATGCAATCTCAGGGGAAACTAAATCAAGTCAGACCGATCCGCTGTTAACTACTTCTTCATCAACGGCGAATCTTGGAAGCTTTTTTGAGAGTGATGATGTCTCTGAAGTAGATATTCTTCTAGCTGTGGGTGAAGGTGCTACAGTCAAGAAAAAAAGAAGACCTAGAAGAGGAGAAGACTTTAAATTTGCGGAAGCTATTGTTAAAGCTGATTTCTGGCTTTTGTGGGTTGTGTACTTCCTTGGGGTTGGGTCTGGGGTGACTGTTCTGAATAATTTGGCTCAAATTGGAGTTTCTCTGATGGAACTGGATGATCCTACAGTATTGCTAAGTCTATTCAGCTTCTGCAATTTTCTGGGCCGTCTTGGAGCTGGTGCTGTTTCGGAACACTTTGTCAGGTGATTATATGGTTTAGTTATTACTTTTTCCTTTACAACTGCACATTACTAATGCAAAAGGCAAACTAAGGCAGTTTTCTTTTGACAGTTGAATCTCTTACTTTGTCGTTCCTTAGTTTTCATTAAACTATTTTCTTGATAATTCCCTAAATAATCAGGATGTTTCCTAGGAATGTTGAAATACTTATTCTATTCAAGAAACTCTCCGGCTAAGTAATTAAAAGTAAACATGTTGATGCCTTTAAGGTTTGAGTTGCATTAAGGCTGCATTTCTTGTTGATGCATTCAATCTACTCATAGGATTTCTTTATAAATATACTGAAATTTCTTGCGTCAAGAATCTCTATGTTTTCCAAGATGTAACAGGTCAACAGTTTCAGTATGTCTGATCCAGAATTTACTTTGTTCAGGTCAAAGGCACTACCTCGAACAGCCTGGATGACTGTCACACAGATTATCATGGTTATCGCATTCCTCTTGTATGCTTCATCTCTGTACGGAACTCTATATGCTGCAACAACATTACTCGGCATCTGCTATGGCTTTCAGTTTGCCATAATGATTCCAACTGCATCGGAACTTTTTGGCTTGAAGCATTTCGGGATCATATTTAACTTCATGCAGCTCGGAAACCCTGTAGGTGCATTTCTATTTTCTGGTTTGCTTGCCGGTGAGGTATATGACGTAGAAGCAAGAAAACAAGCAGTTTCTACTTGCATCGGTCCCAGTTGTTATAGGCTTACATTCCTAGTTTTAGCTGGAGTTTGTGGTCTTGGTGCTTTCCTGAGCCTAATTTTGACAGTCAGGATTAAACCAGTCTACCATATGCTCTATGCTGGAGGTTCTTTCCGTCTGCCACAAAGTTCAGGTCATTAATAGCTTGATGTATCTCTGAAATCAAACCACAAGGATAATCGGGCATCTTTTGCTGCCCTAGAAAGGCATCACAGTTTTCTATTAGCTGGAGGCATTCAGCCATTCACATTATGCATCAAACCATGCTGATTTGCTCAGAAATACATCTGAAAGAGGTATTCCTTCTGTCATTGTAGCTCGAGGGGCATTACCAATGTTCAATGCTCCATGTTATGCTGAATACACAGCTTCTTAGAAAAGCAAAATTTTGACTCTGCCTCAGGAGAGTTTGAATTAACCTCTTGCCGCCTGAACTTGTGTCAACTTTAAAGAGATAATGTGTATCACATCTTTGCGGACTTTTTACTTATTTTTCCTATCTCTTAACATCTATGAATGAGGAACACAAACTTCAATCTCTTGTTGAGTTTGTGAAATGATGCGATCTGTTTTTTGTTAGTGGTTTTGAGCTTGCATTTGTCATGGAGAAGTCCTCTTTCTCCGGTTGACCTTAATAATGATAATGTTTTAGTTGTTGACAAGGGTTTAAATAGCAAATAAAAGAAGGGACCAAGTCAGCTCACCCATGTAAGCTTGCTCAAAGACTAATCAGGTCAACTATGCATTGTAGTTTTTATTTGGTACCATGAACTATACTCTTTCCGTCCCAGAAAAAAGAGATATGTTGGGTGATTGACAAATTTGTCTTTAATTTCAATCTCCCGGATGAAGAAAATATTATGTCCATATTCACTGAATCGAAGGTTGGGGATAATCTAAACTATAACATGGGATACCGTGCTTAATTCAGTAGTTCTAGTTCACTACCTAATGAGACAGTGTTCTCCACTCGGATCCTTCGAATCTGCAGGTTCACCGCACTACATTCTCCGGAAGGTGCGCATTTCAGCGTTTTAGTTGTAACTAACAAAGTAAGATATCCAATTAACATGAATTTAATCTTCTTAATAAATTATATTACTATCTTTTATGTACACATCCATCAGGTACCTAATGCTTTTGTCTGATCATCTAACCTAAGTAGATGAACATGATCATTTATAGTTTACAGGGGGTTAAAACTTGTGACAGAGGAAGATATGAACTTGAACCTGAAATTTTACAGGTTTATAGTAATGCAGTAATAAGGATGTGAATAAAATAATTTAAAATTAATCACTTCCTGACTAGCAAACACAAAATTCCGCTCGATTATCACCTTAATAATTTTACTAATCAAAAGATTGGATGGAAACACCAGGAGAAGAATTAGAGATCAAACTGAACATATTCAATTACAGGCTATACAGCAGAGCAAGGGAGCTAACCAAAAAGATTATTAAAGGAAAATTATACTTACATAAGGACAACTTGAATCACAAAAAACACATTAAACACTGATTAGTCTAAGTGGGCTTCAATTGCTGAAACATCATTTCCCATCTCAGATCCTCTTCAATAGGCAAGTTAACCTTCCTAATCTTGGGAATTTCTTCATGAGAATCAGGGCTTGATGAATCAGTATCACTGCTGGAACTGGAATCAAGTGGGCTTCCGTTTGTAAGCATCAAAACTTCTTGCTTTGATGCAATAACAGGAGTACTGTCAAGGTTCCCTTTAGTAGTACTACTCTGTTTTTGCCCAACAATTTGTTGCTTTGTTGCTGTGATCAATCTCTTAGTATTCCTCTTCAACATGGATGTCTTCCATCTTGTACTATAATTCAGCCGTGGCATCATTGCGGATGTTCTATTCAGATGATCACGGCCAATGTGGACGCAATTATGCTTAGCCACATAGTTTTTGGCTTGCTTGATTGCAATTTGAAGCCAGAAAACTGGGAATAGGCCTCTGTGCTTCTCCTTTCTTGCGAGTTTGAGAATCTCAAGCCTGTGTTTGGCCACACAGATTCCCATGCTTTGAAGGAATTCATGGTTGAAGTAGTTGATGTCGTCTTCTTCGAGCTCGTTGTGAGCAAATGTAAGTGCATATTCATATGAAAGTGAAGGGTCAAGGCCTGTTTTGGACAGCCATGAAAACCAGTCCATTCTTCGGATTCACTCAAGAGAAAATGGTTGCTTTAGTTTTTGGAACTTCAGTTGAATGAAACTAATTTATACATGCAAAGAGAGAAAGAGACGAAAACCGAAAATAATGCCTAAACTCTAAATAAAGAAGTGAGAGCATCTTTTTGGGTCAAAACCAAATTGTAGGAATCACAATAGTTTGGTGGTATGTCTTTGTAACATTAATTTTCCAATTGGTGGCTCAAATAGTTTGAACTCGGTGCCACACGCAAATTATATCAATGCGTTCACGGGCGCGACTATGTTCACTTGACTAACTTCTTATAAATCAATTAAAAAAAAAAAAAAGAAAGAACAAAGGTGGTTTAGCCAAACCTATTTTAAAAAGAAGATACAATAAAAGAAGTCTTCAAAGACCATGAAAGGTAATGGATTCATATTGATATGACGTACTCTCTGATCAGTTAGAAAACTTCTTCGTATCATTCTATTACATTATGTAAATCTATTTTTACATTATATCTGTGACGTGGACTAATGAGAAAAACACTAGGTTTACAATTTGGAAACCCTTCCAAGCCTTGGCAAAAGAACAACAATGCCTTAGGTTCTACTAGAGCCTAGAGGGAACAATAGTATTAAGTGAACCGATGATTGAGTTAGGTACTTAGGTGTAGAGACACAAGAAAGTTGGGTTAAAAGAATGGTTTCCAATGTAATGAGTCCTGCTTGGAAGGGAAGGTAGTTGAACTTGATGAGATTGACAACAAAAGAAAGGTCCCTGACCTTCATTAATTAAAGCCATATTTCTTCAAAATTGGGGCATAAGTCGACATAGACTTCTAAAGGAGTAAGCCGGAAGGAATTGAAATTTCTCATCTAATTAACCATCATTCACGGCTTCAGGAAAAAGGCTTTGTGGGTCATCATCGTCTCTGGCTTGGTTTATTTCGGGAAATTCCACGTAAATTATGAGAGGAAAAAAAATCAGGCGCATTTGTCAATATCACCAACTCTAAATCTTTTGTCCAAAATATGTTTTTTGTTACTCCCTCCTTCCCGTAATTATTGTCCAGTTTGAGTTTTCATTTCTAGTTCAAATTGTACTAAAAGTAAAATCTCAAATTAAATACTCCCTCTGTCCCATAATTATTGTCCACTTTGCTCAAAAAATTTTGTCCCAAAATTATTGTCTAATTTGACTTTTTATGAATCAAGTTACACATTTGTCCTTAATAAAAACATTATCTATAAAATCTTAGTAGTTAAACAATTATTTATGTAGGGGTATATCCGGTTGTTTAAGGTAAAATATAGTTAAATTTGACCAAAAATAAAATCTTTCATTTTAGTAAAACTGGACAATAATTATGGGACGGAGGGAGTAATAATTTTAGGATAGAGAGAGTACATAATATTCCCAACCACAAATTCTGTGAGATTGATGATTAATTTGAAGAACCCAAAATGGTGTATTAGGATAGTTGGCCTAATAAATATGACTTTTCCTTTCTTTTGCTTTTCTTGTGGAAAATTCAATGGGACTTATAAATTTTCTTACCTATTTTCACGAGTCGACACGTTAAACCTGAAATTAAAGCACCCATTCGATCCCGGCAATCTTGTGTGCAAAAGTGGTGCCGTGTGAATTGATTTTTTCTTCCCCTTTACATCTTAAGATCTCCATTAATTAGTAAGTGCCACAGAAATCTTTTTTTTTTCTCCCTGAATACTGTTTTTAAATCTACATTTTGCATTTCTTGGAAGGAACATTTTTTTATGTATCCCGATCTTCGTACACTTTTTTTTTATATCAAAATAATATTTTTTTGTAGTGGAAGTAATTGCTTGGTGCCAATTTGTTTGAATTTGACATTCTCCTTCGCCTCTGTTTGGTTCCTTTTTACTAGGTTTTTTTTTTCAGAATTTTTTATTAATAAATGTCGCTTCTCATCGTATCTTTCTATATTTTTTCAATACATATTTTTATATTTTTAATAAAAAAACCTAAAAAGGATATATATTCCGGATATACTGCTGGATTAGTCCATAACTCTACCCGTGCGTATGGAAGCAATTGACGCAAGCCATGTCAAAGTCACCTTGGGCTCCTATCTCAAAATCAATTGGTAATGAGTGAGGTGGCATTTGACACTTATAAACAAGTGACAGATCCTTCACGACATCGATGTGTGATTCTTTGTCCCAACATATTTTGATAATTTATTATAATATATGTTTTTATTTCAACGAAGAGATCCATTAAAAAGGGATAGAGAAATAGTATATACGTTTTTAAGGATGTGGTGTAGCTTGAAGCCTCTAAAATTAGTGGTCAGGGCACTTTGCCTTAATTAGTTACCGAATATGATCTTCTCAACAAATTTTGGCTTTGTTCTGAAGGAACTTTTAATTTCCTCAACCTAAATATTGCTTTTGGATCTTTCGCACGATTAAAAACTGTTTAAATCAAAATTTCAATCATCCGAAAGACATGATCACCAAGCGATATGATTGGTTTTCTTCACACGAACGCCTTCTCATAATCCTCCCCAAATCATTGCATATTGATTTATACGTGTGTGATCAACTTTATTTTAAACATCTAAACGAAGGGAGGGGAAAAAAAAATCCCTAATACTCTTTATCCCAATATAAGAATCATATATTTAATCTATACCAGTATTTTGAATCAATACTTCTATTTTGGACGAAAAAAATATTCATAGTGTACAGACTTGTTGCTCAGTCGAGCTAGGAAATATGGTAGTGTAGCAGGTAAATTATTGCAAGGCATTTATTATGGTCACTGGACTAGTGAGCAATACATGTGTGGTGGCCAAAATAATGGAAACAAAGAACTAAATTTGGTTCCACCAATTTGATCATATCTTGAAACAGGAGATTTTTTATGATCCATTTGCATGTTCTATTTCAAAGGATGATTGAGTAAGTTTTCTCAAGTTTTCTAAAACCTAATTATTTTGTCCAATTGAGAATCCTTGTGTGAAATGTCTCGTGTCCAATGATTAATTTGTTCAGTTATCGATCACTTTCTTTTTTTTTAAGATCGTTTTTTTTTTACATGAAGTTAGCGGGTTTTAAATTTATGTAGCTGCTCCAACCCCCTCACAAACCACCCCCCCCCTCCTTTGTTTGGGAAAAGGTAAACGGTAGAAAGGATTTATACAAACTTCAAGTTTAGCGACGACCATTAGGCTGATTTACCACACTACTCCAATTCCATTATTTAGCCGCCTCAACTATGTTTTAAACCATCTTTCATAGTAATAATAATAACAATCTATCCATCTCTTAATTCGCTCACTAGTAACAATTTTTAACTTTCTCCTCATCGTTCCTTATAACTATATACTTTTGGCTCTTGCATATGTAATAACTGAAATTTGAAGTAAATTTTACTAATACTAGGTAGGATCACATTGTTCCTTGATGCACGAAGATTAAGAACCGAATGTACAATAAAAATATACTTCAAACTAAATCATCAATCAATTGTTTTTTTCTCATAATCCATAGTATTATACAAAGAGAGAAACCAAAAAGAGAAAACAAAAAAAAATTCTAAAGGTGCCACATAGGATAAAATACTATGTGTCATTTTTCTAATGGTTGAGTCAAAAAATATTTACAATAATTATACTAATAGTCCTTCAAATTTTATGTAAATAAAGTTTTATCAAATAGCATTTAAAACTATAGTTTAAAATAGGAAAATAAAAATTAAATAAATTTAATGGACGAGATTAATGAACATTAATGCACCAGAATTATTCCCTCCCAAAAAAATCCCCAACTAGTATTAATTGATTGATTTAAATTATAAGTTCAAAGGGATAAGACATTTGTTATTTTTAACATTAATTCACCGGGATTTTTTACCCCAGTCAATTCGAATAAAAAAAAAATCCCTCTACAAAATAATCCCTAAAATCACTACTTGATTGATTTAAAACCTAAGTTCAACGTGCGGGAAAGTGGGAATTCTTTAGTGATTAAAAACTAATCAAATTTAATTGAAAAAGACTAATCAATATTAATGCAATGGAAGTCATTTCCCCGCCAATCTTATCCCTTAATCAACGTGACGTTATCATCTTTATTCCATAGTTATGAATTTTACTTTAGTTACTGGTTATGATATCTCATTCAGACATTCACTATAAATATCCATTTCGGTATAACTCTAACATGTACAATGATAACCGGTGAAACACTGAAACGAAGCATCTTATATACTTTACAAAACATCTTTGCGGCGACGACCTCACTCCGATCATTGTTTTATTTAACATGTAAGGTGTCTCTTTCTCCAACTGGTTGCAATCTTGAATAACATGCGTTTTTAACCGTGTAGACATAAATTGCTTTGATTTATATGACATGTAACATCTGATTTATTATTTTGGTGGTCTTCTTTACTTTTATTTGTATATAATCCTTATACATATTCCATTATTTAATTACATTTTTGGCACACAATTTATAAAATGTTGTCATTTCAAAGTATATATAACAATTTTATTTATCACGATCTAATTTAACTTTAATCATATATTTATTATTACAAACTAGTTATTTTATTTGTATTAATTATATTTAAAATTTAAAAATATATTTTAATAGATATATATGTATAAACCCCGCATATCGCGTGGGTTTAACATCTAGTTATTATTATACCATTATTATTTTAATGAAAGACACGTTACAAAAGGACGTTAATTGTGAAGGAATGGAAGAGCAGGGGGCAAACCATGCAGGATCCACGGCTCCAAGCAATCCATTTGATAATTAAATAACCCTATTTTCCTTCTTGAAATTCGCAGGCTTTGAAGTTCGATGGAGATGTTAATTTAATTTAATGCATCCACAGTCCTGAGTCTTCCCATCTGAAAATGCAGAATGGGGTAAAATAAACAAACATTTTATCGAAGAAACGTCCAGATCGGGGGATGCAGTCTCCGTATTATAATTTTATTTATGCAATCGTATGCATGGCAGAGCCACAATGCGACAATATATAATTTGCAGTAACATAATAATCCAATCCCGTAGTTATTATTCTTTTCGTGGAATTGATTTGTTACAATCTAGGACGGGGGGAGGGGGACTGATATTTATTTGTATTCATAATGTCTCTGACCAACTCTTTAAACAAGAAGAAAGTATTCCACAAACATTTTTAACACTACAATTTTAAACTATAATAGGATAATAAAAAAGGAATAGCCCCGGAAATTACCGCTATCTTAACTTATTTCTTTCTTCCTAAAGATCCCATAAGTTTTGTACATTCAAACAAGAATCAAATTCGTGACATGAAGAATAAAAAGAATTAAAGTGAAATGATTGTTAGAGCCGGGAGAGGATGCAAAAAAAAGGGGGGAAAGAATAATAAAAGTTTGGGAATATTAGACCATTTATGTTATCTTTTAATTTTATTGAATGTTTCCGTCAAAAGACACAAGTTTTGCACTTTCTCCGTCCCATAAAAATAGTCCACATTGAGTTTCGAATTTTGAACTATTTTTAGTATAAATTTAAAAACTCAATATAGACTATTTTTTTGGGACGATAGTATATAAAATGATTGCTAGAAGAATGAAAAAAGGGATAAAGAATAACAAAAGTTTGGGAATTGACCACTTCTTTTTAGTTCTTTTGCATATCAAAATTTACCCTTTTCTTAGGAAAGAAGGAAAATAGGTTAGTTACTATTGAGTATTAACGCTACAAATATCTTCTAGTTATGAACCAGATGTCATTTAGTAATGTAATGTTTAGGTTGAAGAAGACTTTTGTTTCAACCGGATGAACTAATCGCATGTATGGTCAAACCCTGCGAGAAGAATCATTTTTCTTTCTCTTTCGACATGGTAAAAAGAACTAAAACTTGATACTCTTTCCGACAAAAAATAATTTGTTTCTTTAATTAAAATAATACTACTATAACAAAACACATTAGTCTTTTGAGAGGAATGCAATAATAACAAGGCGTGGATCTTATATTCATTGTTTAGTTTTCTGAAGAAAACAGTTACTCCATCCACACTAAAATAAATGTTATTTTTACAAAAGGAAGAAATCCTAAAACAAATATCGTTTTTTTGTCATTGTTTAGTTTAAAGGAGTTAACAGAAGATAATCTAATAATTTAAGTAACCTTATTTCGTGTTTTTTTAATATTTAATACTTATTTTAAAATGAGTCCTTGATTTGTTTTCTTTGGTTAGCAATTTAGCATGATGTTTGAATTGTTCAAATTTCAAAGCACAAATCATGCTTTGAGCTTGACTATGTCCCCAAATTCCAAAATCACAATCTGAAACGAAAAGGATAGTCACACACACACACACACACACTAGATTATACAGTCAAACATTAACACAAAGTGAGAAGGCGACAATCTCATTACCAAGTCTGACTCTTATGCTTTTTGGTGGGCTAAAAGCTCCAAACAAACACAATCACCCCATCACTCAAGAGGAAAAAAACATAAGATTACACCAAAAAATCATACATCATTTTCCCTCTTCATTTCCTAAAAAGCAATTAATCTACTCAAACAACACCTAAACTAAATCATATTAATTACTCCAAACACTCAACACACTATTTGAAGATTTTTTTCTTTTCTTTTTTTTTTTTTGGTGGAAGAACACAGAAAAAAAGATTCATCCCTCACCAATATTCATTCAAATTTGTCTAACACAATTAAGATTTAATGAAATCAATGAAGAAGAGAAAGTTTGAGAATTTATTACACATCTTCTCTAAGTTGGCTTCAAATTGTGAAACATGGAATCCCACTTGACCTCTTCAAAAGCAGGGCTCCAATATTCTTCATGATCCTCTGCTGCTCCATCATCCATCATCATCTTCTCATCCCCAATCACTTTAAACGAATCATACACAACTGGGCTCGAAAAGCTGTCGATTCTCGAACTGGGCATCACCATCGGGCTCCCATTTGTAAGCAAAAGCCTACTACTGTAACTGTTATTCAAATTGCTCTGTTTATTTCCACCATTTCCATTAGCCGCCCCCACCAAATTGAGCCTTTTATTCCTCTTCACCATTGCGTTCTTCCACCTGGAACTCGTACTGTACCCGCGTTTGGTCGGAACAAGAGCCAGCGCCGACGAGGAATCTTCTCGGTGGACCCATTTGCCGATGTATTTGGTGAAATTCTTCTTGGTTTTCCTGATGGCTCCGATTAGCCTCGAAACGGCGTGCGGAATGTTGTTGTTGTTGATGATGATGCCTAATTTGTGGTCTTTCTTTGCCAGTTTGAGGATTTCTAGCCTGTGTTTGGCGATGGAAATCCCCATGCTTTGAAGGAATTCGTGGTTGAAGTAGGCTATATCGTCTTCTTCGAGTTCATTGTGGCTAAAAGCTAGGCCGTATTCGTATACTAAGGATGGGTCTAGGGTTGTTTTTGACAGCCATGAGAACCAGTCCATCGCTTCTTGTTTGTTTGTTTTTTGAGTTGAATGAGATGAATGATGAATGGAGAGAGTAATAAGTGGAGAGTGTTGAAAGATATGAGCTTGAAAAGAGTAAAGAATTATGAGAGGGACGAAGGAAGAAAGTATGGATATAATGTCTCAGTGAATTGCACTAAGACCCTTTAAGTTTGACCCTTTCGCTGCCGTCTCAGAAAAATAGTTCACTTGAATCATCATTAGTTTGTCTCCGGAATAGATTTTACAGAAATTTTATTTGATCAATGATGATGAATAATAAAAAATTATGTTAGCGCTAAACATAGTGATGAATTTTTTTTTGCAACTCCTTCAAACTTATATAAGATTATTTCGTACTATTAAAAGTATATATTAGATCTTTGTTTAAAAAAACAATACTACTCAGTAGAAAAGATTAAAACAGACGTACCGAATAAGAGACTATCAAATTTTCTTTCACACATATTCGAGTAAAATCATTTTGAAACAATATCAAACGGATTTGATTTGGGTTGAAAATGTGGAAATGTGAACCATTAGAATCAGTTTCAGAAATTATGGCTTAATAAAGAAGAGTCAAGCACTAATTTAAGCAATTTACTGTATAAAAGTTGTGCCTGGGAGGGGTGGACTTTGGAAGTTAACAAGACTTGGAGATTACAATTTCTTTTTGCCTTTGCCTTTTTCCTTTTCCTTTCCTTAAGGGAGTGGTTAAAATCAAAATTAAACAAAAAAAATTTTAAAAAAAAACTTGAAAATGACATAAAGGAAATAAAGAATGGGGGAATTGTGGGACACTCAAAAATTCTGAACCCATGTTAGTGTTCTGTACTTTGGGAGAGCAGAGCACATATGAAGAAGTAGCAATAAGTTACATCTTTTTTTAAAGCATATGGCAGCATGCATTTGAGTGGGAACTAAGAAATCTTACAGTATCGAAAATCTATCGGCATCAATCACGGGCGTGACAAAAAGCACAGTCAATGGATCTTCCACTTAATCATATTCTTTTTTTTTTAATTTAAAAAAATTGTTTTATTTTATGGTTTCTACTTTCTTGGCTCTACATATTATTAATTGGGAAATTGTACAGGAAATGGATTGATTTTGTCGTCATCGTAATTTTTCCTCCTTTTTGGCCGACCTTTTTCACTAAACAAAACAACGAAAAAGTTTTTAAAGTAAAGTTGTTGTAGTAGTTATAGTAGTTACAAAAAGAGCTAGTTTCATGAGGAAAATTAATAATTTGTAAGTCCACTTAATTAAGAAAATATATGTCATACAAACATCACTTTGGTTCAGATATAAATCACGATCTGCTTGGTACGCTGATTTTGAACAAGATTCGTGGACAATAAGATGACACTAATATTATTACAAAAGACAATGGTGATAGTAGGTAACTGACACACAACTCAAACAGTAGAGAATGAAGCCAACAAACTTCAGAAACAACATTAGCAACAACTTGGTATTCGGCCTCAGCACTGGAACGAGAAACATTAGGTTATTTCTTGGAAGAACAAAAAATAAGATTAGGACCCAAAAAAATATAGTAACCAGAGGTAGAGCAATGAGTAAGAAGACAATCGGCCCAATCAACACCTGGATATGTTACTAACTTATTAAGGGGCATACCGAAGATAAAGAATTATTGTATTAATACAACGAGTATGTATAATATAATACAATCATGGACCTAATTACACAAATATAACCTCGAGAAATTTACACACTAACAACTAGAATCCTAAATTGCCGAAATGCGAAAAAAAAAGGGTAAAAAGTGAGGATAGATAGATAAGGAAGTTTAAAATACAAAACGCAATATTTATCTATTTTAGAGCACGCACAAAAAGAAAAAGGAAAAAAAAAGCTTCTTGGACTGAATTGCTTTTTGGGCTAACTCATCCAAAACATTACAACATCTGGGAGGCTACTAATCTACCTTGGACTAATCGAAGTGAAAGCCTAGTTGGCCACGAATCATGACTTCATTTTACCTTAACATAATTTCTTTTCTTTTTTTTTTTTTAAAAAAAGAATTAAGTATCGTATTTAGCGTGAAAATAGTGGGAAAAAAATTACCATCCCTCCACAAAATCCACATCGGATCATCAGAGATATTCAGAGCAAAGTCATAATAAATGAACAAAAACTTCACGGCCTGAACTCTGGAAGAAGAATATTACTCAACCCTTATTCCACCAATAGCAACAAGTTATTTTCTTATTGGCTCGTGAAATCAAAGTCCACACTTTGACCTCGAGATCTAATCCGCACAATACGACTCCTCTTCTTCTTTTCTTTCTTTCCTTTCCTTTTTTCTATGTTTTCCTTCCCTTCTCAAAATTGAATCAATCTGTTTAAATTTTACAATCCGTTTTGGATAATCGCAGATTTCTTATCCATGCCACGGTTCTATTGAGTTATGTAAGTCCCTCCTTCCAATTTTTAGATTGATTTTTTTGATATCTGAAAAATTAGGAGGATTTTTTGGTTTCAGATACATTCGTGTTTTGTTGTAGTGTATGATATAATATACATATATGGATAGTAATTATTCAGCTCTAGCCAAGGATTCTGATGTAGAATTACAAGTCAAGAATGGGATTTTGGGATCAAAGATCGAATCTTTAGGATTAATGTCTCAGGATGAGGAGTTTGGGTATGTGAAACCTCACAATGTAGGTGATTCAGGGGATCGGGAGGACCATGATTTTGATGATATTCCACTTGTTTTGGGGGAAACTAAACCTGGGTCAGGCATATATGGCGCTGTTTTTAATCTTACCACCTCCATTATTGGGGCTGGCATTATGGCTTTGCCTGCCACCATGAAAGTTTTGGGTTTGGCTTTAGGTGTTGTGCTAATATTCTTGATGGGTCTTTTGTCTGAAGTTAGCGTCGAAATGCTCGTTCGTTTTTCCGTTCATTGTAAAGCCTTATCTTATGGGGATGTTGTGGAATCTGCTTTGGGTAGGGTAGCTAGAATTTTGTCCCAGATTTGTATTATAGTGAATAATGCAGGAGTTTTGGTAGTGTATTTGATTATAATGGGGGATGTTTTGTCTGGTTCGATGAGGCATGTTGGTGTTTTTGATCAACTATTAGGGAATGGAGTGTGGGATCATAGGAAGCTGTTGGTTTTGGTTATCTTGGTGATTTTCCTTGCTCCTCTTTGTGCTCTTGACAAGATTGATTCCCTGAGCTTAACTTCAGCGGCTTCTGTTGCACTTGCTGTTGTGTTTGTTCTGGTTGCTTTTGCCATCGCGGCTATTAAACTTGCGGAAGGGAAGATTGAGGCTCCAAGGATGATGCCTGATTTTGGTTCCAAGAAGGCAATCTTGGACTTGCTTGTGGTGATTCCCATAATGTCAAATGCTTATGTTTGCCATTTTAATGTCCAGCCAATTTATAATGAGTTAGAAGGGCGGACACCTCAAAAGATGAACCGTGTAGGTAGGATCACCACAATGATTTGTGTTCTGGTTTATGCTTCAACGGCCGTATCTGGTTATTTGCTGTTTGGAAAGGATACTGAAGCCGATGTGCTGACTAACTTTGACAAGGATCTAGGTATTCGGTTCAGCTCAGCCTTAAACTTCATTGTCCGGGTTGGATACGTGCTTCATTTGATTCTCGTGTTTCCGGTTATCCATTTCTCATTAAGGCAAACAGTGGATGATATGGTTTTTGAAGGATTATCTCCACTTCAAGAGAGCAGGAAGAGGTGCCTCTTCCTAACCTTAGTACTCTTAATCCTCATTTATTTTGGATCAACTATGATTCCCAATATTTGGACGGCTTTCAAATTCACTGGAGCAACAACTGCAGTTTCATTAGGTTTCACATTTCCGGCTCTTATTGCACTCAGGTTAAACAAAGAAGGAATCAATTTGAGTTGTGGGGAGAAGTTTTTGTCATGGTTCATGTTAATATTAGCAAGTATAGTTAGTGTTGCAGGAATTGTTGGCAATATTTATAGCCTTGAAACAGATTCTTCATGAGCTTCCCATTTAGCTTTAAAAAATTGTACACGTTTTGAATACTGATAAAGATATACAACTGATTTTGTTGCACTTGTGTTATTCACTAGTCTGAACTATAGTAAACAATTCTGGATTCCTTTTGTTGGAAACTTTTATCCTGAGCTTGCATTATATGAATCTACACACAATTCTATCCGTAGAAGAGAAGCTAGTTTGACATTGCAGTTTCTCGTCTTTCTTTTAGCAGCATATCTCCTTGATTGAACAGAAACTTAAATGTTGTTTTGTTATCTGTAGGAGGAAGAGCACTTATCCATTTAGTTGGAGGGGATGAGCAATCATCAACTCAGAAAAAACACGTAATAATAATAAGAAAAAACCTGTATTCATGAGTTGAGAATCTTTCGACTAATATCAAAGGAAATTTTGTTGTAGGTTGATTGCTTCGGAAAGAAACTTTGTTTATTTAACTTTCCCTTGGAGAGAGAAGGAATCCTTAGTTGCAGTTAGTCTTCTCCGGGAACTCTTTTCATTGTTTTCCTTGCAACTAAGATTGAAAGTGTAGGTTATTTGCATTATTGGTGGCTGTGATTTTGAAAACATTTTTGACAGGATATATTAATCACGTAGTGCTGAATATAAGCACATTACAAAGAGTAAAGATCTTTAAAAGCATCATTACAAACACAATGCATCATTCACTAACGGGGAATGCATAACAGTTTTTAGGCTGCAAATGGACCGGGAAAGAAATATTGGCTATATAGGGCATATCGGTCGCAGATGATCAGTAATCTTCATTGTCTCGGTTTATATGAGGGCATTTGCAATGTCTTTTTGGAAAATTTCTCTTGAAGGAAATATTAGAACCCGGCAAGACCCATAGAGTCACAGAGAGTGGAAGATTAGGAACAAAAACACAAGCTTCAATTGTGGAAATAGAAAATTAGGAATACACTATAATGGAATTGCAGAGTCAGACATTGATGAAGAATACCTGATCCTCAATATTTTCCACTTGAGTCCATCTTGAATTTGTCTGATCAAACTTGCAGACGCTAATATATCTCAATCTCTCGGTTGTTTCCCCTAACGGTGACATTACCACCCAACAAATATGACCACAAGATCCAACAAAACAAGTACGCGCATCCATAAATGCTTCATCAATTTTATTTTGTTCATTTTCTGGGCATGGAGACTTGTGCGTGGCTGATGCTGCAGAATTACGATTGGTAGCCCAAAAGAAAAATATGCAAGATTTGGTGAGCTATAAAACCAGCTCATGTGAAGCATCAATATTCTTCTGCTGGGAACCAAGGTGTCCAGAACATCATTTCAAAAGCATATCACTCCTTATATCTCTGGAGTCTGGATAGCAAAATTTGAAGAGTTGAAACAAGTCACAGGAACTCTCTCCCAGGTTATTATTTTTTAAAAAAACATGCAAGGATTAACAGGGCTGGGTAGAATTTGATGCTAAAGAGATTCTGAACAACTATCATTTGTTGAAGACATCAAATTGAAGAAATTGGGTTTTTTAGCTCAACTTATTATATGATCGCCAAACCTAGTTTTGTACGCATTTTCTTTGGTTCTAATTACAAGACACAAAATTATTGTTATTTTGTGACTTATAATTAGAACTAGAAAGAGTGTTTAAAATAAAAAGTACAAATTGAACAATCACTTGGAATATATTGAACATTACTAAAAACAGAGTATAACTTACAAATTCATAGCACAAAATAAGTGGGGAGTAACCCACAACATCCATAGGAGCCTAATTACCGGAGCGATTTGCTTTCCTCTCCGTCGTCGTGTTTGGGAACGGAAACGTCTGTTTGCTTTGTTGTGAGAAATTAAAATTAGAAATTGAAGAAATTGGGGGTTTTTTTAAAACCAAACGACTGTTTGTTTCATTGTTTCAATGGTTTTTTTCATAATAATAATATAATATATGTCATATCTTAACGTATCTTTTTATATTTTTAATGTATTTTTTTACATTTTTAAATACAAAAAATAACTACACACTAAAAAAACAAAGTAAACATGAGTTGTTCTCTACATTAGACCGAATAGGACAGGCTAATCATGGACAGACGATCTGCCACATCAATGATACAGTTAAAATGAAGCGTGTTTTTATCGGATGACGATAAATTGGCTTTAGATCCGCTGTCATTTTCATCAGTACATCTCGTGCGATAATGACGACAAAAGAATTGAATGGCAAGGAAAGTCTTTTAAATTGTGGTCAAAACTGAACCAAATAAAACCCGCCCCGACAAAATATTAAAGATTACTTATATTAATTACTTTGAAAAGATCTTAAATTCCTAGACCAACAAAGACAAAACTCTCTTGGGGTTTTCATCCACTGCATCTCGGCTGCATGCTAACTCACTCTCTGACCGTCCATTTCTAGTCATTTTCGATTCCAAACATCATCCAACGGCTAGGAGAAATCAAGATTAAACGTCAAAATAAGACTACGGTTCTGATCTTGTGCACGTTTAGTAACAACAGCTGTCAGCAATAGATTCCAAGCCCATTGAGTCAGACAAATTATAGCCGGCTCACTAGGTGGGGGCCCGCTATGCATGCAGGACTACTTATTGAAATAAACAACCAACTTATCAAGATAAGCTATTCTGCTTATCAATAGAACGTTTGACTTATCTCTTCCCCATCTTATAAAATGAAAGCATTTGCTGAGATAATTTTAAGTGCATTTTATCATCTCCAACTCCTAGATTGGGTAGTGAGAGAAAGTAGTGATAGAAAATTTTAGTATATTTATTACCTGAAGAAATAGCTTTTAAAACTTAACTAAAATTGGCTTTGTTTGCTCAGAGGTTAGGTTTTTCTCTCTCCGAGGTTAAGGTTTGTTTCTCAACTTTTTCCATAATTTGTTTCTTTTTTTGGAAGATATTTTTTTAAAGATGAGTGAAGAAAAGCAATTTTGAATCGCTTTATGTGTTTTATTCATCTGCTGCTCCTTTTCCTTTTCAACCTTGGATTCCAAAGAGTGTTAAAGCAACTTTCATATCACTGATTCTTTAAAGTTAAAGTCTCAATTTTTATGTAGTTTCTTTAATCTTTATCCATCATGCTCTGCTTTTTTTTTAGCTCAAATCTGTCGGTGCATGCTCCAACTGTGTGAAGATTTTCATGTAGTTTCAGTTTTCTGTTTTAGGTTGAAGATCAGTTTAATGATCTGATCTGGGTTGTGGGTTTTGATAGTTTGAGAAGAGGGTTGAACTGTTGAAGTTTGAAGGTGGGTTCTTTTTTAAATTCTTTTATTTGGGGCTAGTTTAATTTTGTGAATTTTTTATTGGAGTGTAGAAAGCTGTGTCTAGCAATAATTAAAATGCTCACTCTTTTAAACTTAAAAAAAGTTTTAGTTGTATCTTACTCTGTTTATTGATTTCCCCGTTTTTTAGGCATATTCTCTAAGATTAATTTATGGGTTTTGCAGATCTGCCATGGTATAAGATTTTATATTTACTGAAGTGTTAAAAGCTGAAGGAAGATTGAGGACAATGTCATCGCTTAGCCGAGAACTTGTGTTCTTGATCTTACAGTTCCTGGATGAGGAAAAGTTTAAGGAGACTGTTCACAAGTATGTCTGGTCTTTTGCATTTAATAATTATGTACTCGTGTGTGTGCTTCATATGCTTTTTCATTGACTTGATTTTGGGATAATGCTAATTTTGGGCATTAATTCACTTTTTCACCTCTTGTTTTGTTTATGGTTCCTTCTTAATAATAGGCTTGAGCAAGAATCTGGGTTTTTCTTTAACATGAAATACTTTGAGGATGAGGTACATAATGGGAATTGGGATGAAGTTGAGAAGTACCTTTCTGGTTTTACGAAAGTGGATGACAATCGCTATTCCATGAAGATATTCTTTGAGATTAGAAAGCAGAAATATCTTGAGGCATTGGATAAGTAAGTCTGCCTTTTGATTATATTGTAAAACTTCAATGTTGTCCTTTAAGTTGGGTACTGTTATTACCACCCAGTTTCTTGGAAGTATATCGTATGCACTGATGTGCTATGTCTGCAGGCATGATCGGACCAAAGCCGTTGAAATTCTTGTGAAGGATCTGAAAGTTTTTGCTTCCTTTAATGAAGATCTTTTTAAGGAGATAACTCAGCTTCTGACACTGGAAGATTTTAGGTACTAACCTTTACTGATTGTGTCATAAGTAATGCCAGGATGCCTTTCTCATACCATCATTTTTTATGTAGAGAGAATGAACAGCTTTCCAAATATGGGGATACAAAATCGGCACGAGCTATTATGCTTGTTGAACTCAAGAAGCTTATTGAAGCAAATCCTTTGTTTCGTGACAAGTTGCAATTCCCTAACTTGAAGAACTCGAGGTTGCGGACTCTAATTAATCAAAGGTAATCTTTAGCACACTCAAAGTTTTGGGACTCTATGCCTACCTTGAAGCATTGTCCTACATGTTGAGCATGTAACTTGTGCATATACACATGAGCTTGCAATAGACATATCTTCTCGTGTAAAGAAAAACTTTGTTTACCCTGAAAATTTCCTCAAGAAAGCATTTAGATTTTCGTGTATTTGATTCTGTGCATGTATGCTCTCAAAAGAATCCATTATGTATATTGGAAGAGAATCTTTGTCCTCTGCGAGCATCTGTTTCCTAGAAAAAGAACCAACACATTTCTCACAGGACATCTTCACGTAATTTAGCATAGTCCAAAAGAGGATCTTACTCACCTCATAGATGCTTCCACATCAACAAAAACATCTAAGTTGGTATACTTGGAGACAGAAGCTGACCTCTTTCTTTGATATTATGAGAAGTAGACTTTGCTTTAGATATTTAAAAAATTTGCCGTTCGAAACATGGGGGGAGAGAGATACTTCTGGTTAGAAGATGAGAAATACGGGGCAGAGAGGTACTTCTGGTTAGTAAGATTGATGCCATAAAGTTGACATATTCTGCTTGGCCTCCTCACATTAGAGACTTAACTGTTTCTGGAAATATTTCAGCTTGAATTGGCAGCATCAACTGTGTAAAAATCCCAGGCCAAATCCAGACATTAAAACTCTATTCGTGGATCATTCATGTGGGCAGCCAAATGGTGCTCGGGCTCCGTCTCCTGCAAGCAATCCATTGATAGGTTCTGTACCCAAAGCCGGAGGTTTTCCTCCCCTCGGTATACATGGGGTGAGTATCACTTGCTCATTAGCTTCTATGTTTAAGGTTTTATTCTTATGTTTGATTGGATTGTACCTTCAGCCCTTTCAACCTGCTCCATCACAAGTTCCAGCTCCTCTTGCTGGTTGGATGTCTAATCCACCTGCGGTTACGCATTCAGCTGTTTCTGGTGGACCTATTGGTATTGGCCCGCCACCTGTGCCTGGTGCGCATAATTGTTTGTAGGTACTTTTTGGTTGTTAAGTTGTGCAGTACTCCTCTGAATAGAACTGTTTGCCTTCTAGCTGTTCTTAAACATCCAAGGACTCCTCCAGCAAGCTCTTCTGCTGACTATCCATCAGGAGATTCTGATCAGTTAATCAAACGAACAAGACCTTTAAGCTTAACTGAAGAGGTAGATGGTGAAAATCTGTCTGGTTTCCTTCTGGGCTAGCTTCTTTCATGGTGTTGTAATCAATTTCTATTGCATGTAGGTGAATCTTCCAGTTAATGTACTACCAGTTTCCTTTTCTGGCCATGGTCATAATCAAGCTTTCAGTGTGCCTGATGACTTACCCAAGACTGTTGCACGAACTTTAAATCAAGGATCATCCCCGATGAGCATGGATTTCCACCCTATCCAACAAACTTTACTCTTAGGTTTGGCTTCATTGGACCTTATCTTTCCGTTGCATATGCGCTTTATAAACTTATCCTCTATATGATGCTCCACTATCCTTGTGATTAATGTATTTCATGCAACTGGATGCAACAGTGGGAACTAATGTGGGAGACATTGGACTATGGGAAGTTGGCTCTAGGAAGAGATTGATATCAAGAAATTTCAAAGTTTGGGACCTGACTGTGTGCACTATGCCCCTGCAGGTTGTGTATTTCCTTCCATGCATTGCAATTTTTCTGCAGATGCATTAATCTTATTGATATAACCATGTTAATGCCTGACACCTTTGTGCATTTTTTTGAAGGCTGCCCTAGTAAAGGATCCCCATGTCTCAGTCAACCGTGTGATTTGGAGCCCAGATGGATCTTTGTTTGGTAAGACCGTATAGTTGAATTTCGCATGTAGATCCTAAGAGTTGATGTTCTTTATGCATGTAATTTTTCCTGTCTTCTTAAATAGGAGTTGCATATTCAAGGCACATTGTACAGATTTATTCTTATCATGGGAACGATGATGTTCAACAGCATTTGGAGGTACTGCAAGGAAATTTTTTTTTTTTTTTTTTTTGAAAACTAGGGAACAATTTCATCCTTAGTAAGATCATCGTTCAGCTGCTAATAATTGATCCCCTTCTAGATTGATGCTCATGTTGGCGGAGTCAATGATCTTGCCTTCTCTCAGCCCAATAAACAACTTTGTGTTGTCACGTGTGGAGATGACAAAACTATCAAGGTTGGTTGGCCTGGAATAAACTTCAGCTATGTAGTTTTAGGGACTTTAAATATTCTGTACTTAACGTGTCTCTAATCTCTCCTCGTTGTAATGATTGCAGGTGTGGGATGCTAAAAGTGGAACTAAGCAATATACCTTTGAAGGTCATGATGCTCCTGTTTACTCTGTATGCCCCCACTACAAGGAAAATATCCAGGTATCAGAGAGTCTTTGTGTCAAAAACGTCCTTTTCTATTTACCAGCTCTACTATCTTAGTTGTTCGGATAATATGCTTATACGTGCTTCTTTCTTTCAGTTTATCTTTTCAACGGCATTAGATGGAAAGATCAAAGCATGGTTGTATGATAATATGGGATCGCGGGTCGATTATGATGCTCCTGGCCGTTGGTGCACAACAATGACATATAGTGCCGATGGGACTAGGTTAAAATTTTATGCAATTAGATGTGAACTCTGCATTTTTCGCATTTGACATGATCTGACCTCCTGTTTTTATTTCCTTTTTGTTCGGCAATTGGGATGAAATAACTTGCAGGCTGTTTTCTTGCGGGACAAGTAAAGATGGAGAGTCTCACATTGTTGAGTGGAATGAAAGTGAAGGGGCTGTGAAGAGGACATATCAAGGTTTTCGAAAAAGGTCTCTTGGAGTCGTGCAGTTTGATACTACGAAAAACCGCTTCTTGGCAGCTGGAGATGATTTCTCCATCAAATTCTGGGATATGGACAATGTGCAACTTCTAACAAGTATTGACGCTGATGGGGGCCTTCCTGTAAGTGTTTGTTTAAAGTTCAATGTGGCAGCACCATGATTCTGATACATTTCAGGACTAAATCTTAAAATTTTTACAAATCAAGGCAAGCCCACGAATCAGGTTCAACAAAGAGGGTAATCTATTGGCTGTGTCTGCGAACGACAATGGAATCAAGATTTTAACCAACAATGATGGTCTTCGGTTGCTGCGTACATTTGAAAATCTGGCTTATGATGCATCACATGCTGAGGCTGCAAGCAAGGTATACATTTGAAAGCTTCCTCAGTCTGCGAGACAACCTGATCTTGAGTTAATCTTGGTAATGTTGCTCTGTGCTTCTACATCTTGCAGCCAATGTTGAGTCCACTTGTTGCAGCCGCTGCGAGTAGTGCTGGATTTGCAGATAGGGTAACCTCTGTTGTCAGTATCTCTGGAGTGGTTTGTATTTAGTCTCATTTCTACGTTTCATGATCTTTAATGACATATTACATGTAAATGTGAGTCATATAAGTATATAACACATGTCCCATCTGCTTGCTATATTATCATTCAGAATGGAGAAGTTAGAAACCTGGGAGATGTCAAACCTCGGATAACTGAAGAAGCCAACGACAAATCCAAGATTTGGAAGCTCACTGAAATTAGTGAATCTTCTCAGTGTCGGACATCGAAGCTCCCGGAGAATGTGAGAGTACCAAAGGTATGCTAAATACGATTTAAGTTACTCGCTTCCAGTAATTGGACTACTGTTTACACTATCTTGATCTTTTCTTAAGCACATAAGTGTAATGATTAAACTGATGTGTACCTTACAGTCGTAAAGTAGTAAACTGTAGAATGATAACTAATGGGTTAGCACAATCTTTGATCTTCTAGTAGATTTGAAGCCGAGCGTGAAGTAAAATTTTGATTATGTTGATGATAAGTCCAAGTGACTGACATTAGAGAGACTTCAGGTATTAAAATAGGTGCTTACTGTGATGCTGTTTGAGGTGTAAGTTGTTTAACATGGGAATCTTGTCGGACCCTGATATTATCTGAAAAAAGTCGAATAAATTTGTTAGAGATGAACAGTGTGCAGCTTTGGCTCAAAGTTTCTTCTTTTTATTTTGTTGGCTATTGACCCCTTTGCTGAAAATCTTTCATGATGTCAATTGCTTGTTGCTATATTTTGCTTCATGAATACCTCCCTTGAACATGTGATCTTCTTTTTCTCATTGGGACGTTAATCATTTGTTTTGCTAGATATCGAGACTGATGTATACAAACTCTGGGAGTGCTATCTTGGCATTGGCGTCAAATGCTGTTCATCTGCTGTGGAAATGGCAGCGAAATGACCGAAATCCAAATGGCAAGGTAAACTGAAAACTGAAACCTTGGTGCAAGTAAATCATCAATATTATACTGATTTGCATCGCTCAACTGTAGGCAAGTGCCAGTCTTTCACCTCAGTTGTGGCAGCCGGCAAGTGGTATATTAATGACAAATGATGTAGTTGACACGAGCTCCGAGGAGGCTATACATTGTTTTGCATTATCCAAAAACGATTCTTACGTGATGTCAGCATCAGGAGGAAAGATATCCTTGTTCAATATGATGACATTTAAGGTTAGTGATAAATCAGGGATTTTATTGTCCTCAACTGCTGGTTCATTTTCTCTTTTTGCTGAAGTCCATTTTGTGGCCTTTATGCAGACAATGACAACTTTTATGCCTCCACCACCGGCAGCTACTTTTCTAGCATTCCACCCTCAAGATAACAACATCATTGCTATCGGCATGGATGACTCAACAATTCAAATATATAATGTGCGGGTGGATGAGGTGTGATAAATAGTAACATTATTAAATAATTTGTATAGTTATACAAAGCTCAATCTAATGAAAACTCTATGGTTTTTAGTTGTATAATTCAAAGAAAATAGTTACTGTGATTTATTAATAATTCTCTTCTACTTGTGTAGGTGAAAAGCAAGCTAAAAGGCCACTCGAAGAGAATCACTGGCCTTGCCTTTTCTCACGTACTTAATGTACTGGTCTCATCCGGAGCAGATGCTCAGGTTAAACAATTTTTCTATCATCTGTTTTTATTAGTTTTTATGCTGCTTTGTAATTAGACGGAATGCACTCCATATTCATTCTAATAATCACGATCAAGTGCATCTTGAGTCTTAATTGTTTCATTACACCTGATCCTTTCCTAGCTACAGTCATTAATATGCTTCTCATCATCAGCAGTTTGTTCTTTTGTGATCCTAATGTTGGTGTCATATTCATTGTTCGGGAATTTGTTGAAAATTGCTCTGGCTCAAATCTTCGCACTTAATGTTGAACTAACATTAACGGATTATTTTTGTATGTAGTTGTGTGTGTGGAACACGGATGGATGGGAAAAGCAGAAGTCCAGATTCTTGCAACTTCCTGCAGGTAGGAATACGGCGACGCAATCTGATACTCGTGTGCAATTTCACCAAGATCAAATTCACTTCCTCGTTGTCCATGATACTCAGCTTGGTATATACGAAACATCGAAATTAGAATGTTTGAAACAGGTGAGTTGTTAAAGCGCTGAAAATTCAGTTATTGATTCTATGTGAGACGTCAACTAACTTCTCTTTCCTTCCAGTGGAGTCGTGAATCTGCCGCACCAATATCCCATGCAACTTTTTCATGTGATAGTCAATTGATATATGCTAGCTTCTTAGATGCGACTGTATGTGTGTTTACCGCTATGCAGTTACAGATGAGATGTCGAATTAATCCTCCTGCATATCTACCAAACAATATCAGGTATTTATCTAATATGTCAACGATGAAATGCCATGTTAGGAAATCTGCTATAAATTGCATAACTGGTTGACAATCAGAACCTATTAACCATCTACGTGGTTAGTAATAATGTTCCGTTCATATTGATCTCTGCAGCAACTCAACCGTCCACCCGCTTGTAATTGCGGCACATCCACAAGATCCAAATCAGTTTGCCGTCGGTTTGTCTGATGGTGCAGTTCATGTCTTTGAGCCCCTCGAGTCTGATGGCAAATGGGGTCTCCCACCAGTCTCCGAAAATGGATCTACAAGCAGTTTACAGGCAACCCCTGCTGGAGCCTCCGGATCTGACCAAGCACAAAGATGACTTGTAAAATGGGAGTTTCAAGGGCCGTAGATTCTTAATGAATTCTATTATATTCCTCACTATTTTACTCTAGGAAAAAAAAAAGAAGAAGCAGCTTGTAGATTCAGCTCTAGAGCATCATAATGCCGCTTTGACACAACTTGGAGGATTTGTTGAACTCAGATTGAAAAGCTCTTGGTGTTTTATTTCTAGATTTAGCTAACTATTATTTGACACGTACTGTTAGTTCTTGCATCTTCTGTGTATATATATTCTCTGTTTCCGACCTTGATGTAGGTTTGTGAAATAGTCTTATTGTTGTTAATCCGTGTGAAATGTGAAAATATCGACTTGTTTCCAGATTCTTGGTTCCATTAGATATTATACTTAATTGGTTTGTCTTCCTCTTAAACTAGAAGTACTTCTAAGAAACTGAATGGAATGTCAATTGAATTACTGCAACTAGATTAAATTAACAATCATCAAAAAGATTATGCATGAAAAACATGTTATTTTTTTAGTAGCTGAAGAAAACCGTGATCATAATTCTTCTTATTGAAGTTGAACATCAAGCAAGCACACTTTGACAACAAGGCCAAAATGCATCCCCACAACAACTAAATCCACTCCAGATTCAACGGATATCTTGAAGAAACAAATCATATTCATAATAATTCTCAATAAGTAACAAACACTACATATTCATAATTTTCAGATGGAGAAACTTTTAGTACATCCATGTCAAGTCCTGCCTGAAAGAGACAGACTTCGCAGCTCCTTTTACGCCTTGAACAGATATCTGAGGACAATCTTCCACGGATAAAATTGTCAATTTACATGTTCCAATGAACAGCTTTATCCCATCATCAGTGACACCCAAACATTTGCTGAGCCGTAAAACTTGCAATCGGGGAAATTGTCCTACAAGTTGCAGCCCCTCATCGGTAACTTCTTGGCATCCTACAATTTCCAAGACTTCAAGATACTTCGCTGATCTGAGAGCATCCATACCAGCATCATCAAAAAAATGCACTTGATCTAGAATGAGTTCCCTTATTGGACACATTTGTATTAGAGTAATAATTGCATCTAAAGTAAATGAGGACACTGAAGGAAAGTGTGCATCTGAGAAAGATAGCTTGACTGAATCCAGATTTGAGCAATTCTGTGCCAGTGCCCTTAAGCTCTCGTCTGTTAACAGCAACGGACTGTTCATTGAAAGAGGCAATGAAAAATCTGAAGGAACTCGAAGTGAAATGGATCGAAGACTTCTTGCATTCTCAGCCAAGCGTACTATGTCAGAGTCTCTCAAGCCAACACACATGTCCAAGTGAATCTTCTCTAGATTATCGCACACCCCCAAGACACATGCTAGACCCCTACCAGTGCTGATAATGCAATTCACCAAAGTCAGTTCTTGCATGCTAATACAGGGGATCCATTGTCTCTGCCACCTATCTATGGCCAACCGATCACAACATTTCATGTATCTGTAATTCGCATCAACCTCAAAATGTAACCTTTTCAATTTCCCCCAGCTAGATCCAAGCTTATACAGGTCACCTTCTCCAATTGCTCTACAATTTTTAATACAGAGATCTTCAAAACTTTCGAGGTTGTTTAGATGCTCCAACCACTCTGCACTGCCGACATTGAAACACCGAATAAGGTGAAGTACAGCAAGCTTCTTGCACCCCATCACTAGCGATAATATCCCACACCCAGTTATCCTCGGGGCAAACTTGAGCCTCAGTGCCAAAAGGTTGGAACAAGAAGTAAGTGAACTAAGACCGGCATCAGTAATAAAGGTACAGTAGCTCAAGGTAAGATCATTCAGAAAATGGCAGTTATTTGAAAGGATTTGGAGCCCCTGATTATCCAACTGTTTACCTAATTTGGACATCCAACCAGAGTAAACTATTTCAACCTTTTCCAGAAAAGGAAACCTATTGCATATGCAAGCCAAGGATTCAGAAACAGGATCTAATCCACACCCAACACGGATAAACTTTCTTTGTTCACAATCCAATTTGTTGAGGCGTTTGCAAGTTAGTGATACAGAATTTCTGTCTGCAGTTTTGTTAATCCTATCCATAATCTCCCAAACTAACTGATCAGGTAAGCAATCCATTCTTAACCAAATTGCTTCTATCAACAAGGATTCAAAAGAAAATATAACATCAACCTGAATTAAAGCAGAATAAGCATATGTCAAAAACCCGGAAAGAGTTCCAATCAAATCTGGACAAAAGGCACTTGTGTAAATATAAAAATGGTTATCTGTCAAGGAAGCTGAAATCTGTCCAAAATTCAATCTTTTTTGTTCCGTAATAAATACAGATGCTAACGAAAAGCAGAAGCTTACCTCTTAATAACCTGAAAACCTCCTGTGTTAGCAAGAAAATACAACCGTGAGAGAACTCTTTGGGGGAGAATATTTTGGGTTTCGTTGATGATCTTTTCTTCTGAAACTATAGCATGTCCTACTAGTAATAAATATCCAGAGATATTTCTTAAAGGACCTTCCTTTTTTAGTTTTTACTGCTGATCACCGCATTTCAGGATTTACTTGCAAGTTGCCATTTTTTTCTTAACTTTAATTTTTGTATTAATGCATGTAAAACAAACAATCACGATTTGACGGGGTATCGATGAAAATACCTTTCTTTTCGGTTTAAGTAGAATGCTCACATTCCACCTTGTAGATTTAACAAATTAATTTGCCTGCTTTTCTGCGTCCATTTTCTCAGTTGGAAATTTGTATGGCTTAACATAAATGAAGGGAAGAGTTTTGATAGATCCATGAATATCTCTCTCTCCATTATTTAAGGATACAATACACTCCATTGCAGTGTTTTTTTTTTTTTTTTTCCCATTACAATATCGGAGGCAAAAGCCTAAACAAAACTAGATAAAATATCCTTTTCCTATCATGAACTTCTTACTCAAACTCTAGCAAACATTAAAGCTAAAATCTAAGACAACTTGCACCATCTTCAAAGTTAGCTCATTTAGGATCTTCTGCAGAACCCAAAGTTGAATTGATTATACTGAGGCCGGGATCTTTTTTTCTATGGACTTCAACACTTCTTCACCCATCTCCTTGCATCCCACCAATTTCTGATTGAACACAGCACAAATCCGTTAGGCAGATAAAATGTAGTACAGCTTCATGAGATAAGAAAACACAAGGTAACATCAATCACAAAATACGACTGGTAACAAACATTAGATAAACACTTCCCATCCAAATGGAACCCAATATAGAAGACAAATAGATAACTATACTTAGGTTTTCAATGATACTAGATAACAGTTGGAAAATAAGGGATCTTCATCAAGTGAATCTAAAATCAACTTTTGTCTTAGGCAAGATTATCCCAATTTATCCCAAGTCCTCAATATATTGGAAAAGTTAAAGAGCAAAATTATTGAATAAGGGGCATACATATCCAGCTGAGTGTATGTCACCAGTGCGCAGTCCTTTGTTTAGAGCATCCAGTACTGCAGCCTCGATTCTCTGGGCAGTTTTCTCCTCTCCAAGGCCATACTTTAAAAGCATAGCAGCACTTAGCACTGTTGCCAAAGGGTTTGCTTTGTCCTGCAATATTTCAATAAGTTTAAAATACATAAAATTGATCTTCACATCTTATTTACACAACAATTCACAGAAAGTGATCAGTAGCCATGCCAACCTGTCCAGCAATATCTGGAGCAGAACCATGTATAGGCTCAAACAATCCAGGTCCCTATAGGAAAAATTACACAGAACTATCAGCTACTTCTCTATAAGGAATAAAAATCGGGGAAGAAAACTTGATGCATACAGATTCACCGAGGCTAGCAGATGGAAGCATCCCAATACTTCCAGTAATCATGGAAGCTTCATCTGACAAGATGTCACCAAAGATATTATTGGTTACAATCGTGTCAAACTGCAAATATAGAAATTGGAGGGTCAGGTCTACAAGTTCCAAAGTCTTCCGAAGCATAAAATTTTATCAAAATATACCAATAACCAAGTAAAGACAGAGCCCACCTGCTTTGGAGCACGGACTAGTTGCATGGCAGCATTGTCAACATACATATGAGAGAGCTCTACATCAGGGTATTCAGAAGCCAATGCGGTTACTCTCTTCCTCCACAACATAGATGCCTGCCCAAAAAAATGAGAAAGAGGGGAACAGAATGCAACAGACAAAATTGCTAATGGCTCCCCCAGAAATTGACATGAAAACAAGAAATGGAAAAGAAGCAGCCCTAGAATTTATTTAAAAAAAAAAAAAACAAAAAAACCGACAAGCATAACATAAAATCTCTGTAAATAATATCACCTCACCAAATATTTAGTTTGTCCCATTAGCGAGTATGATAACTCTAGGCTACTACAATGAAGTTCTTATTTCATTACGTACATTTCATAGAACAAAATTGAAAATATTTATGATATTAAAAGTAAGAAGATTGTATGGAAGGATATTAATGACAGGAATCTGAAGTACAATATCACTGAAGCAAGCATACCTCCAAGACATTTGCTTTATCAACAGAGCAAAGCTTTCCACGACGCTTCCTAGCAGTTTCAAAGGCAATACGAGCAATTCGATCAATCTGGAAATGTGACATTACTTTCATAAGCTTCAGAACTTGTAAAAGAAAGAAGCTACCAAACAGACTTATGCCATTCCTACAAATTGCAATAGTCACGCTTGTTTATGCAATAGGCGCTGAGCATTAGAAGCAGTAATGACCTAGGATTTACGAGCATGAAGAGAGTAATATGTGCATTTCCCCAAAGCAAGTCAATGTTAGGAGAAAAAATCGATCAGACATACCTCATAACCAGCATAAACCTCGGTGTTGAATCCAACTTCCTCTCCGTCTTCGTTTGTGCTAAAACCCCTCGGTTGTCCAAAATAGATACCTAGTTTCATATTTCAAGGAGGGAAGAGGATAAATGCACCCATGAGATTGCAAAAACTGAAAAGGAACATAATATTTTAACAGATAGGTGAATAATTTCTATCACGAGCTAACCTCCTGTAAGCTCCCTTACAACCATCAAGTCAACACCTTCAGCGACTTCTTTTTTCAACGTCGAAGCATCAACTAACTGAAACAAATAGAATTAACGGCAATCTGTGAGTTTGAAGGATAGGCGGGGCACACAATTCATGTGGACATTTTGAAGCCATTAGATATCCAAAATCACTCTTTTCCATCAGAAGCAAGAGTTGTAAAATATCAATATAATCTCTTTCTACGATCAGATCGATCCATATAAAGAGTTCAAAAGAGTAATCAAAAGAACAAACTTTACCTGTGGTAAAACAGTAGCAGGCCTCAAATTGGCAAAGACCTTCAGACCTTTGCGGAGCTGAAGCAATCCAGTCTCAGGTTTTAAATGTTTCTCATTGTTATCCCATTTATACCTTTACCAAAGAAAACAAAAATAATGAAAATCAAAAGAGGGGAAAAAAAAAAAAAAAGACTCTTATCACTACTCTAGGTGGAACGACTCTCCATGCGTACCCTCCAATAGCTCCAAGCAGAACAGCATCAGATTGTTGCGCAGTGGAGAGAGTTTCCTCTGGCAATGGTACTCCCGTCAAATCTAAGGCGGCACCTCCCATGGGCATCTCCTTAAACCCAAATTCAATCCCTAGCACATTCACAATTTCATTGACAGCCTTAAACTTTAACCCCTTGATATTGAATGACAAATGAAAAAAAAAAAGAAAAAAAGTAACTAGCTGAACGAGACAACAACCAATACTTTGAAAGATTGCAAACATAATGAAAAGTACTCCTAGGTCTCAGGAAAACATTCCACTTTGTTGGACGGAAGGAATAGCAAATTTTATTACCATCAAGTTCTAGTATTGCTACATAACTTGACCTGAAGAACATTAGAAAACTATGCTAAGGCTTTCCATCATATCATCAAAATAAATGTGGAGGTTTGTAAGATTAAGTGAGGATTATATTGTGGCAATGCATAAATGAAGTTGAAAAAGTAAACGTTTCAACTAATAATGAAGAAGCACCTTCAAGAGAACCGGCGAGTTGAAGGGCAGTTTTGGCAACGGAGACGACTTCGGGGCCAATTCCATCGCCAGGGAGAAGTGTGATGGTGTAGCGCCTGGTTGATGAAGTGGCGGCGGCGCACCGGACCACGGCCAATCTCGGGGAGCGCTTGGAGAAGGATTTTGATGGGAACTGAATTTGGTGGCTCAGGGGATTGGCATTAATGCGAAGTGACGCCGCCATTTTCCAGTGAGGGTAGTAGTACAACCAGTGAGAATGATACTGGAAAGCCATAATCAGTGGAAACAAATCAGCAAAAAAGCCATAAGATTCTTCTTTATTCTAACCATTCGTCAGCAACAAAATGCTTACAAAACATTTGCAAGGTGAAGTGAACCCGAAAAAACTGCGGCAAACTCACCGGAAGTACTTAAGGAGTAATTTTTCAACTCACCGGAGGAATCAGCAGGGAAGCTCAAGGAAACCACCGTGGCGCCGCCGCTCAGGACTCAGAAGAGAAGAGAAAGCGATTTTTGATTGATGGTCGACGTGGTGGATGAGAGCATTTTTGCCAGATACTCCCCTAAAAAAAGTTAAATTGTCAAATTTAACCCCTTAAATAATGAAATTAGAATAAGCGGCTCCTCAAAGTCAAAACAGAGCATTAAAATCCTAGTATCCTACTACTTAGAATCTCATCGATCAGAAGATAAGTGTTCTGTGTTCATTTTATGAAGTTTCTCTATGAATCAAATTTGTTTAAAACGATTTTTGGAAGTCCAAACTAAATTGACGTCGAATAAGTCCTTTTCATATAAGAAATTGACAAAATTACTCCCTCTGTCCCAAAATTATTGTCCAATTTGATATTTCACTTTTAGTATAATTTGAACTAAAAATGAAAATCCAAACTGGACAATAACTATAGGACGGAGAGAGTATATCCACATCATAGAAGTAAAAGTATCATTTTCTGGGGTTATTTCCGGCCATTTCAAAATTAAACGTGGTTTCACTTCACCGATATGAATTGATAAGACTGCTGAGTGCAGACCCAGTTAACATTACCAAGATGGGCTAGTAAAGAGAATCTATTCTACACAGAGCTAATAGCTAAGCAATGAATGTTCCTTCGACAAATCATGTTTTTTCTTTACTCACATTGGACTAAAATCAAATGTTGCCAAGGAAGCTTATTTACAGTTCTTTCATGCTGCGTACACGGAATGAAAGAAAGCTTCTCACGGGGCACGCAATGGAGGATTCTACAGTTCCAATGGGAAGGAGCCATTTTTGTGGCGGAGAACATTTAGGAACTAAGATATGTACATTTCATGAAATGATCGGGCTTATTTACTTATTTACATATGCACAGCCACCAGACATATCCCGCGAATTTAACAACTGCACAGGCATCCACTGTTATTCTGGCCGAAAGTTCACCAGATTGGGGAGGTCAGTTGACTGCAGCTTCTTAATATCGTTGGCAGTTACTTTGCAGGCCTCCAAGGTAAGTGATTTCAAATTCTTCAGAGACTTCAAATGTTTCAATCCAGCGCTTGTTATCCGGGAATTGGATACATTCAATGACATGAGCTCTGTCAAGCCTGAGGCAGGTTCCAGTTATAAGAAAATAAGAAACGTGATCGAAGCAAAATCTTGCTAATGATTTCAAATTTCATTATTCAATACATGGTTCCAAAACCCAAAAACAACAACCGCACATGTACATGTAAGATGCAGATAAAATATGTCACAAATACCAGAAATTGCTTCCAGGGATTTATCAGTCAGGTGACCGTTCTGGGAAATATTCAACAGAGTAAGCGAAGCCAGATCTTTGATATTCTTTACACCTGCATCAGTTAATCCACCTCCACATATTTCCAGAGACCGTAGATTTTTGAAACCTAAATTTAGAAGAAGGAAAAGTTCATCACAACAGAAAGTTAAACACCTAAACAGCCGCCCACCCTTCCATTAAAAAGAATAAGTAAGAAGTGCAGCACACAGCATTTGAGGATGTGTGAAAGATAAAAAGTCAACCACATACATTTCAAATAATTAGTTCCAGAATCGGTTATTCGAGCTCCAAATAGATCCAAATGAGTCAATCCAGTCAAACCTGTGTCAAGGCAGAACATTAGCATCTACGACAAGCAAATTTATTGTTCTGTCCGTCCATCCTCCATTTTCAGGGATAGGAAAGGGGGACAGCCAAGCACTTCATTAGTATTTTCACACGAAATTTTCCCCCAAAATGCTGGAAGAAAGAGTCAAGCACCAAATTTACTTACTAGTGAGAGCTCCAAGGCCAGCGTCAGTTATCTGACGAGAATCCAGATTAAGGGATTTCAGATTTGATAATCCCGATAACCTTTTTAAGCCAACATCAGTAACAACAGTAAATGATAGGTTCAAGCTCTCCAAATTTCTTAAACCTGCCACGTAAAGAAAACAAACAAATGTCATCCTTCAATAGACAGAATTAATGCCTCCACATTGATACATCATGCTGTGGCAAATGAAAAGATCATAAAAATCCAAAATTAACTTTATGATAAAGAGGAACAACAATACTGAGAAAAGAAACTATACAACATGACAAGCAGCACAATTGAATGACTATTGACATCTCAAACAGCTGCCCAAAAAGCCCTCCATAACCAGAGTCCGAGGATAAGAATCGTGACACAAATAGCTTTCTTGACTAAAAATATTTCAACCATTTACGAAAACAGAACTGCTAGCCTGATATATACGTGAAAATGAAATATTGCTGACCAGAGAGATGACGCAGTCCATTGCTTCCCACCTCGGTGTCTGACAACTGTAGAAACTTCAACTGATTTAGCCCTGAGAGTTAAAAATGCATTAATGACCCACACGTTGAGTATTAGCATGATCAGGTGGTGTTATAGATAGACAGAACATTTACTAACCGGCCAAGTTAACCAGTCCATCATCATGGATCTTACATGAATCCAGGTTCAAGCTCTCCAAATAAATTAAACCTGCTTGAGAAATTGAAAAAAGCATATGGTGAGGACCAAATCGTAACCGAAATTATCATTCTACAATAAATTGAAACTCAAATATAATGCAGATGCATAGGCAGTAATAAATTTTAGTACAAAACTTAGACGGAAAGTGTAAATAGCTTCTTCCAAAATGTATTTGCCTTCAGTTTATAGCTATTGCCAAAAGACTCAAAGAAACCGAACAGAAAACAGCCACCATAGGGTAGAATCAATGATGAAATTTTCATGATTAACCATCATCAGAACTTAGGGGAAACCAGCAATTTGCGCATGGATCCAGAAGCATGAATAATCTATGCGTGAATTTAAAGGAAACCCACCTTTCAGGTGTACCAAGATAGCATCTGAGATCTCATTGAATCCCAAATTCAGCACTTTCAGAGTGTCCAGCTCTAAAATATGACAAGTAACAGAAGCTTAATTGTAATAAACAAGCATAATAATCATTGTAAGCACAAAAAAGCTGAGATTCAAGTCAGAAACCATCTCTACATTGAACTCACTTGAAAACTTGTCACATCCATCATCAGTCAGATTACATCTGCTTAGATTCAGATACAACAGGGCACGAAGGGCTGCATAAAACAAGTAAAATACATCAACTGTAAATACAATAGTTGGGCTAACAAAAAAATAACTCAAGATAATGAACACATGACTTGAAAAAACAGTTCATGATGGTAGGCAAGTGCTTATTGTAAAGATAATATGATCATACTTATTTAGAGAGAGGGAAAAATAGCCGGTAAAAAATTGATGATGAAAATACCAGTAAAAAACCAGTTGAATGGATACGACTACAAGCAACTAAATGTTGAAAATAATGGTTTTAGCTACATAGATGAGAACCTGAAAGAGATTCCAAGCATGCTCCTGTCACGAGGCAGCACTCCATGTTCAACAATTCAAGCTTGTGTAATGCTATAAAGACAAACAGAGAGCAACACAAATTACTAGACAATTCTACCGAACTCAACGGTAAACGAAACATGGTGAACTGAAAAGAAAACGGAAGAAGAAAGTTACAATACATGCACACATAAATGTAAAACCAGATGGTGAGTGACTATAAAGTAGGGAAGCATAAATGGAGATAGCCAAGAAGAGTTAAAGAGATGAACAAACAAAGCTCCCTCTCTACAGTTCAGGGAACAATACACCACCTCTAATTTTTAACAACCACCAAACAAACAATTACAAAAAAAACTACCATAAACTAGAAGAGACCGATAGGTTTTTGTTTCCTATTCTCTTTTTAACCCTGTGCCTTCTGTCCAACATGATATAGTGAAGACTAGAGACCAAATAAGCAAGGTGATTCTTTTAAATATATAAAAAGCTTGAACAATAATACAAAACATCACACAGTACTACTAAGTAATCAGGACGCATGCTAGTATTGGAAAAGGTTTCTGTTCTCAAGGACCTGGGTTTTGCACCAAGACCTTTGTATCAATTTCAGCACATTTGCTTCATCCACAACAGAATGTTTTACACACCGACAACTCAAGCGCCAAATTTAGATGAAAATCAAAACATATGATACAATAAACTTTTAGGAGTTCTTCTAGACACAAGTCCAAAGTGTAAACAAAGTAAAGCCAATATAAAGTACCTCTCAAAAAGGTCACCCCGTAATCAGTAATCTTGGTGGATGAAAGTTGTAACGCTTTCAAATTTACAAGTCCTGAATGGAGCAGATTATACCATAAATGATTAGAATAGCAAGAGCTAACGAGTAGCAAATACTTAATCAATTACGTTTTCTCTATCTATCATAACTGTGATAAAAGATACCAAGCATTACTAAGCCAAATGCCACTTCACCATCTCTTCTGATCCAAATTTCATATATCTATAAATAGAACTCATCATAAAAACTGAAAATTATCCTAGAGTTGATTTATTCCCTAGTCATCAAGGAGTTGGTTTTGAAGGAGAAGAGTTACCTTGAAGAGGTCTCATGTCAGAGTCTGTAATGCAATTGCAACAATTGATATTAAGAGATTCAAGCTTGGTTAGACCTGCGAACGTCTCATTAGAAGAAAGCAAAATATTGAGTATAGCAAGGAGAAGGATGCACAGATAGAAAACGTCAGAAGACAAGTCGAAATGTCATCCTCAGAAGAAAATGAAACTACATAGATCAATTTCATTGGAATCTTAAAAAAAGAACAGAAGAGTACAACACACCCTTAAGATGAACAAGTCCTCCGTGGATCTTTGGGCATCTCTCAAGGTCCAACTTTACAAGGTTAATCAAGTGCGATAAAGCAGCCATTCCTTGAGCTGTAATCACGTTATTTCTCCTGAAACTAAGGGTTGACAAGTTTGAGAAACCTGAAACGTTCAAACATAAAACAACATCACTATTTATGTGGGATGCTTGCCTTCAATGTCCACCCACAAAAAGTACTTCATAGAAAATTTCAATTACTGATGCAATAAATCAAAGATGGGTGAAACAACTCAGGCACAGCAGAAAATGATCATTAAAAGTAAGACTCAGCAGAATCTTAGCCCAATAACACACATTCTAGTTGAATACAAATATCCTACAAACAACACTTATCAACTTGTTAAGGTCAATGGGTTGAATCTTTTAAAAACTTTCGTCGCATTTCTTCACATGACAAAGTGCTAAAGATCTCCACTCGGAAGATGTCACAGAAGTTAACACCAGTATAAATAAACGCAGAAAAGCAGCTAAACAAAAGAGGTAACTCTTATGGAATTCCAATACAACCAGATAGAAAATTACTTCGCGGGAATACCATAATTAAGCCACCTATGAATTATACATGCATACAGGCAAACACAAACAACCACTGACTCAAAAGCAATTTCAGAAATTTATACTGGTAAAATAAGATTCATGAGCACCTAACATCTGTTTTAGGAGGTCAAAAAGAATGGGAAGCTGCACAAGGAGCTTCTTATTTGCCAACTTATAGAAGGAACAAATGACATAAGGCTAAAGAGGAAGCAAACCAGCTATATGCTCCAGCCCATGGTCTGAAATCCGTTCACAATAATTAAAGGCCAAGGTTTGAAGGCTTTGGCAGTCCTTCAGACGACTCAATCCAGAATCAGTAACATCAGGGCCTGCGAAACTCGCAGAGAGTAAAGATGAACCCTGTGAAGTAATTACATCCATCCAAAAATCACTGAATCCTTCACATTCTCCCAGATTCATATCCTGCATGACAAGAGAAACTATTCAGTTTGCCGGACGAATTGACACTAGGAAACTATTAACAAAGCAAATCCAAATAGATGCAGCAAAAATTCGGTTGGTTATACTACCTGAAGAGCACAATCTCGAAAAGCTTCAAGGTTGACATCATTTAACCGTCGCGAATAAACCAGTTCGTCAAATATCTGTTGACTTAGGTCTCTAGGCAACATAGAAAAGGAGTTATATTTATTTATGTCCTGCAATAGAGAAAAAGGGAAAAATTAAACAATTTCAGTAATGAGCCCCCACCCTCCGTCCAAAAGAAGCTCAAACATATAATCAAACCTCGCAAACTTTATAAATACATAATTCCATGAGCGATGGTGTTGTGGTTCGGCGTTTAATATCAGAAAAAGATCGAGAAAATGAATATGCAAGCCATTTAGAACTTCCACTTTTGCAGTATCTGCCTGAAACTCCATTGTGTTGGCTATCCTCATCAACCTGTTGATCTCGTTTCCTTGAACACGCTCCTCCCATTGATGACAACAGTGTAGAGTTTAATTCTAAGGTCCCAGAGGCAGCAATTCAATTACTCAATGACTCTGTTATTCACATAATTCACCACTGTGGGACTAAAGACCAAATACTGCATACTGCAAACCTGCACGTCAAAATACAAAAATGTATACTTAAAAATTATATGCTGGACACACTAGATATCAGAGAATAAGAGAGCTGATAAAATAGATTGCCTTGATCAATGTATACTTAAAAATTATATGCTGGACACACTAGATAGTAGAGAATAAGAGAGCTGATAAAATAGATTGCCTTGATCTCATCGATGAGAAATACACCCCTTACTAAATTCATAATCAAGTTCCACAATCAAAATACTTTTGTGCCATAATTGAGCAGGTTTGTCAAAACAGATGTCCATCTTCTAAGAGCAACATGGGTCTATACCCAAAAAGCATTTCACTCAATATACTCAAATGTGGAATTGAAAAGAGCCAAAATACTTCAGAATCAGATTATATTTTACCATCAAACTCATCACTTACAGATACTTCCTACAAAAGAGAATGCACAATGTCGAAACGAAAATCCTAAAAGTTAGATTATACCATAGAGTTTAATACATCTAAAAGAAAGGAGAAAAAAACCTCATGAAGGAAAATTTCAAACAGTTTAACCCACCAAATAACCTCGGCAACAACAGTTTAACCCTTCAGTTTTCAAACACAGAAACTCAAGAGAGTGTCTGAGGAAAGTCCTCTACTATATAAATTTCCCAATTCACAGAAATTACCCCAAATAACAAAGATTCATCCCGAACAAAAATAGAAAAAATCTTCTTTCGTCCAATCACAGGGGAAGCAGAAAAAAACGAAGATAGCATACCTTGCGTCAATAATCATCATCATCAGCGTGATCATCACTCCATCTTTCAAGACAGAGAAAAAAAAATGGAATTGCTGACTTTAAGAACAGTGCTGACGAGGCTTTGAGTGAGTCTACAAGAAATTTTTATATAAAGAAGAAAACTGGAGCGTGGCAGAGAACACAGAAACTCAAGAAAGAGCAAGAAGAAGAAGAAGAAGAAGACTGAAAAAGAGGGAAAGCAGTATTAAGTTCGGGCGACTCCGAGCCTGAAATCAGCTGCCACGCAGGACTAAATGAGGTTCGGAGTTAGGTGATAAGACTGAAAATGGAGTGATTTTCGCGGTTGAAGATACTTGGTTCGGGTGGGGTCCATCAGTGACGTAGTAATATTTCTTTTATTGCTTTTAATTTTGTTTTTCCTTTTTTATATTTCGGCCTGCTTTATCCGTTCGTGGATTGGATTATTGAGGGTCCAATATTTGGAAGCTTATGTACGCAACGTTTTCATTAATTCATTATTAATTATAGTAAATCATAGTACTGTTTAATTAGTGGAATAAGCATCATTTGATAGTGAAGAAATTATTAGTATTATCTTTCTCTAACTCCTTACCAGTTACAAGTTTAGCACCAAGAAACTTCTATGCTAATTTATGCTTTTCCGAGGTTAAAAACTACTCTTTTTAGTGGTTTTTCCTTTTTATAACATTAAACCATTACATGAATATGACGGGAGGATAAAATATTGATTTCATATCTCAATGAAGTTGTATGAACTTTGTTAGGGTAATCTAACCAATGAAAAACTTATGGTTCGAGTTGAAATTGCTAAGACATAAAGATTTTTCTTTATTTTGTAGGTCTAAGTACCTTTACCGCATACATTCACAGGTTATCATCTTTTGTTAGTTATGGTCATTCTATTTGGAAAAAAGATAATTAAAGTTGTTAGTCTTTAATTTTAGCTATGACAATAAAGACTTGTTCATGCACGTTTGGTTCGTTAAAATTTCCAAGTTCATATACTCTTTCATCTCGAAATAATGATTCAATTTCTAAAAGTAAAAACTTCAATAATAAAATCGTTTTAGAATCGAGAAAATACAAAATTATAGGAAAGCAAAAGGGGTAAGATCGAATTGAAGAGGTCAAAATGAAGAATTAAAGGCGTGCAAGGTATGTGGTGGTTATGGTACACTGACCATCTCTATTAACCTAAAATGTTACTTGTGAGGAATGTCATATGCTCTTAGTTTAACACCAAAATTCCAACCCAATTAAGCACAAAACTGCAAAATTTTTAAAAGCTTTTTTCCGGCAACCATATCAACTTTGTTAGTAGAAGGATACACATGTTGTTCTTAGCTGATTTTTGTTTGATTATTTGTTTTAAAGGGTGGGTGGGGTTGGTGATCAAAAGTTTCGGCACCGAATCCAAAATAGGAAATTATTACTATCTGATTTTTTATTTTTTTTTTGCCCACTTCATTTGTTGGCCTTATGTGCTTGTTTTGGACTATATAAACAAAGCAATAGAGCATTGCCACTCCTTAGGGAGGAAAAAGAAAAAAGAAAAAAGAGCACTCCTTCAAGAACATGGGGCACTCAGGCACAATCTACAAATAAGATGATGATTCTGATACATTTACATTGGATTGGATTACTCTGATCAGGAATGAAACAAGTACATCTCTATTCGATTGAATTACAACCCACCAAACCATAATACTATGTGATTTGTTTAGTTATCAAAACTTGATGTGTTGATATCACAATTAATAATAGAGTTGCATAATTAAAGTTTCTTGTTTAACAAGTCACTTGCTAACTTGCAAATTGAATTCCAGATGTTCCTAAATCAATGATCCATCAATTTCATCCATCGTTATTTAATATGATGAGTTAACACATATTTGCTCACGAAAATGTTCAAGAAATCAGTAACGTGTCATCCTTGTTTCATAACCATGTACTCCCTCGGCACCGAGATTTTTACTCTATTTTCAACCAAATTAAAATGAGCCGATGAATTCATGAACTAATTTGTTTGCTATCATCTTTTTTTTTTTTTTTTTTCTCTTTTGTGGGTACAAGAACACAGTACTCATTCTGATCGCCCTACAAAAATATCTCCGGGACAAAATGTTGCATGTTTAAGACTTTAAGCTCGATGAATAAAAAATTCCAAAACAACAAATCTAGGGTCTTGAAAAGGACTTATCAAGTTGCATCTCAATAATACTCTTGCCTCCCTTTTTAATAATTCATTGTTTTCTTTAGATTTTTATTTTTTTTTTTTGTTTTGTTTCAATTGTGGATGTGGGACTAAATGTTAAATATCCATTATACTACTTGTTATGGATGCCGCCAACAACATTCCATTGATTTTCTTGCATACACCTTAGTATTTACTATTCACCGTCGAATATACTCCCTATATCCTTAAATTATTATCCAGTTTGAGATTTCACTTTTAGCACAATTTGAACTAAAACTGAAAATCTAAACTGGACAATAATTATGGGACGGGGGGAATATATAACTAATTTCTTCGATGAGTTTTCTAGCTATTGCCTAAATGTTTCTTATTTTTCATCACTTTTACAGGTTTATTCAAAAATTTTATAACTAAAAACTAGGTTTTGGACCCCTGCGTTGCACGGGTAGGTAATAGACGTAAAACTATTATAACAGAAATTATATCATGACAAAATTACTACTCCCTCCGTCCCATAATTATTGTCCAGTTTTACTAAAATGAAAGATTTTATTTTTGGTCAAACTTAACTATATTTTACCTTAAACAACCAGATATACCCCTATATAAGTAATAGTTTAACCACTAAGATTTTATGGATAATGTTTTTTACTAAGGACAAATGTGTAACTTGATCCATAAAAAGTCAAATTGGACAATAATTTTGGGACAAAATTTTTTGGGCAAAGTGGACAATAATTATGGGACGGAGGGAGTACATTATATCATGATAAAATCACTATGGGGATTTTGGTATTTATTTATGATCTCCGTTTGGGTTAGAAAATCATAATAATGCAAATCAAATGATTCGATGGAATTAGGGAGTGAAGATAGGATAAGAAATTAATTTCTTTATTTTCCCATCCAAAATAACTTAATTGTCAAAAGCTGCAGAAGAAAAATCATTCAGTGCTAAAGAATATGACAAAGAAGATAAGCACAAATATGCATGAGGAAAGCGCAAAACTGAAACAATTAAAATGTAGTAACATGACTAATTACAGAAAAGAACGCAACCTTTCATTGAAAATCACAAATACGAAGAACTTCAAATGAAACATCCTTATTTCATATGCTTACAACCGGTGGTAGTGTTTCATGTTCATTGTGCGCTGCATCATACATACAAGGTAATTGGGAGTTGGATACATAAAAAATTATGGAGAAAAACTTAGATATGATGAAACAATTACTGTATACATTTAATACCATAGGTTCAATGACTTGAGATGAGTCGCAAGTAGGATCATCTTCGCACCCTCATAAGCAATTTTCCGTGGAGGAGGAATGATTTTGTCGATTTTACATTGACTTACAAAATTAGCAAATGCTATCCAACCGGATTTGTTTACACTGATGAACAACATAACTTCACATTGTATGATAAATTCCCAGTGCAGCAATTCATACCGTTTGAGACTTGAGATCCCCCGTGAGGGGGTAGGGGGTAGGGGGTGGAGTAGGAACTGACTCAGTTTCCTTATAAATGTGAAGGTGAGGAGAGGTTGTGAAAATTTGGGATATTTGAGACTTGACTTTGAAATATATTAATTAAGAAAAAGATTTGATGAAGAACGTGGCTTTTGCCAGTGTTTATTATGGTTACGAAATTATTTGGGGTGGATTGATGTCTTACAAAAACGTGCGGGTTTAGTAACCGTCATTTACCATTGATTTTTTTTTTGAGAAAACCATTTACCATTGATTATTGATTAATTAATTAATGTAATTAGAATAGTTACCATGAATTACTTGTATTTTTGGCGGGATTTAGAGTAAGGAGAGTGTGCCATGTCAGCTTTTAGAATTGTGTTGGTTTTTCCCATAATAGGATAGATAGATAGATATATAGATAGATATATATTTTCCATCTAATCAATTTTTTCTATATATATTTTCAATACAATGTTTTTCCAACCAAAAAAAAAAAAATCATGATTTTAATAAAAAAACCGGCCCAATAAGACTGAACAAGCTCTATTTCAGCCACCGGCAAGGTAGTGACTGGAAATGGCGGAATCCGGCAAGCCGCCGGAGATGGGAAAGGAACGGGTCAAACCCGGAATTGGGAGAAGCTCCACAACTATTCTGAAATACACTTCAATATCAATCTTCTGATTAATGATTTTACAGACCCTCAAGACTATATATGGTCCCACCAATTTCTAAAACTACAAACAGGCCCCTAGACTATCGATAAGTCCCAATTAAACCCAAGGGCGTGACACTCTACCCACAAACTTTTCAAGCCCACCATCTCTGTCGATGAAGCCCAATCATATTCTTCTTTAGGAGCTGACGGCCCAAGACAGTTTCCTTCTTCTTCTTCTTCTTCTTTTTTTTTTTTAATAGTTTTATTTGCCACCATTTTCTTCAACAAAGATATCCTCCATCTTTCTCGTTCCTTCAGCGGAATACGGAGAAAGTTGCAATTTTTCATATCCTTAATAAAACCCCCCAAAACCTCAAAATTATCAGCCATGGCTACACTCTCCATTGACATTGGAACAACCTTTCTGGGCTTAGCCAAGAGTCAACCCGCCTCCCTTAACCGTTTCGGCAGAATATTCTTTCCTCAGCTATGGAGGAGGAACAACGTTTCTCAGAGTAGCAGTTATTCAGTAGCTCCTGCAGCTTATTCCAGAGTTGAGTCATGTAATTACACTTCATGGAGAAGAAAAAGGTCGTCTCGCAGATTCAGTGCCTCTGCCGCAACTACATCGACACCCCAGAGTGAGGATTCTGATATTTTGACGAAAATCCCTCCTGATAATAGAATTCCGGCTACCATTATCACCGGGTTTTTGGGCTCTGGAAAGGTACTAAACTGATTTTCTATTTTTTTTATGGGCCGGCAGAATAGTTATTTTAAATATTCTTGTGTTGCTGGCTCTTAGGCATATGGAATATTTTGAAATGGAATTGGGTAAATCCTAAATTTTTTGACCTTGAAGTTTAATTTTACGGGAGGGGATTGCAATTGGGATATTATTGCTGCATAAACAAATCGTCTAAGGTGATAATAGCATGATCAGTAAGTTGTAGTGGAATTCTTTTGATTTTGAGTTACTCAGTAGAGTTTCTCTGCAAGAGATGCTCTAACGTTGGTTCATAATGATGTTAAAGATCACTTGATGATTAACGGAATGATTAATCTCCTTCATCGCTGTGATGAGTTGGTTCGAGAAATGTTTTTTCCCTTTTAGGATCACACTATGAAATGTTTGGTTTTGTGTACCCAGCCAGTGGTGTATTCCATCTCACTCGCCTTAATTTTTCTCCCTATGATAATCTTTGTAATGCACGGGCTGATTGCAATTGGGGTGTAATTTATGTTCTTCTGTTTGTTATTTCTATTGCTTGAGGTCAACCCTCATTTTGATGCTAATGTGCAGACAACGCTGTTGAATCATATATTGACTGCTGATCATGGAAAACGGATTGCAGTCATTGAGAATGAGGTAAGGTTCTGAGCTTCTTTTGTTAAGTATACTGTTTGTTTCTCATTACCATGATATTGTTTTGTATGCAAAGTAATCACTTCAAATTTTCTCGCCTTTAAAGTTACTTGAAATTATCCAATCCTGATTTTATCATTATTTGCTTGGTTACAGTATGGAGAAGTTGATATTGATGGTTCGTTGGTTGCTGCTAAAGCAGCAGGAGCAGAAGACATTATTATGCTCAACAATGGGTGCTTGTGCTGCACGGTGAGGGGTGATCTCGTGAGGATGATTGCAGACCTGGTCAAAAGAAAGAAGGGGAAATTTGATCATATAGTAATAGAGACCACAGGTAGGTTATTATGGTTTGTTTGCATAGTTGACAAACACAGTAGGGAATGCAGGACGCACTTTTCCTGATTGTCTACGTAAATGGGTCGTTACTATTTCTAGTATCAAGTTCTATTTTCTTCGAACTTAGTTTCAATGTTTTATTCTTTCATTGAATTTCATTGTTTTATTGTCCTATAGGGCTAGCAAATCCAGCGCCAATAATTCAGACATTTTATGCCGAAGATCAGGTTTTTAACGATGTTAAACTGGATGGTGTTGTCACATTAGTTGATGCTAAACATGTTGGTTTACATCTGGATGAAGTTAAACCAGAAGGAGTAGTCAATGAAGCAGTTGAGCAGATTGCTTATGCTGACCGCATAATAGTTAACAAGGTATATAATGTTCCTGGCTTTGCAAGCTGTGGTCAGACTTTTTTCTGTATTGTCTCCAGCTCTCCCAAGTATACAGTCTTTCGGATATAATCCAGGCTCTCATTCTGAAATTCCCCCTCAGTGCCAGAGAAATTGTCCACTTTGTTGAACTAAAACAGTATAACAAAGTGAGCTATTTTTCTGGGACAGAGGGAGTAAATGAATTTAAGAATCACACTGCACGAAAATCTTAAAAATAAGTATACCTCAGCTTGAGAGCTGACATCCTTTCGCTGGCATAAATTACTTGCAGAATATACTGTATGTATATTTCTTGGAAGATCTTTTTGATGTTTACTATAGAACTATGGATCAAGTGTTGCCTACTCAACAACTTGTTTCAAATTCTTGATTTTTTATTCTTTTCTTCTTGCAGACAGATCTTGTTGGCGAGAAAGATATTGCCTCTTTGGTCGACAGAATCAGGGTCGGTATTCAGTTCCTTGATTTTAACTTTATTATTCTCACTAGGAAACATGGTTAGTTAGTGTGTGTTAATCCCTTTGTATTATTTGGTGAAAGTTTACTTTGTTGGAAACAGAACATAAATCGCATGGCGCAATTGAAGCGAACGGAGTTTGGGAAAGTTGATTTGGATTATGTTCTTGGCATTGGGGGTTTTGACTTGGAAAGGTAACTTTTGTTATCTGTTTATATTGTGTTTGATTTAGTTCTGACTTCTGCTTGCACCTTCTTAATGTTGTTACTGATAACATTCTTCTTATGTATCCATGTAAATTGAACTTGCAGAATTGATACTGCTATTGATGCTGAAAGTTCGGAGGATCATGATCATGATCACCATCATCATCAGGAACATGAGCATGACCATGATCACGACCATGACCATGAGCATTGCCACGACCACAAGCATGGTAAGTTTATTTGCATGCTTCTCCTTGTTGAAGCATAATCATGGGTGAAGAAGGAAAACAGAACTATACTTTGGAAGTTCACTGCAATGCTTTTTTGTTATCATGCCACCAGTTTGGGAAGAATATTATTATTGAAAAAGCTAATGTGATACTTCTTCAGTCACATGTAGTTAACATTGCATTCTTTCTCAGTGAACTCACCATGGATATTCTGGAAACGAATTACCGATTGTGCTCCATCTCTGTTGAGTGTACATTTTTTTTTTCAAAATTAAAGTGTTTGAACTTGCTTTCTTCTCTTTTTGGACCATAAAGTTTTCATTTGTTTTTGGTATCATAGAGTTTAAACGTGAACCAAAATTGTCAATAACCATGCAGAACATCATGATCACCATGCGCATGATCACACACACGACCCTGGTGTTTCCTCTGTCAGCATTGTTTGTGAAGGAAGCTTAGATCTCGAGAAGGTTTGCTCATCTTGATATTTTCCTTTTGATGTTGTCTTTTTTTTTTAGTGCGCTCTTTCTTTTCTTCGTCTCTTTTTTTTTTCTTTTAAAAAATGTTTTGGGTAACAATGAAAGCTGAGTTTGATTAATATCTCAAAAGGAATAGTTATTAATTGTTGTGCAATTTCACAGGCTAACGTGTGGCTTGGCACATTATTGTTGGACCGAAGTGAGGACATATACCGCATGAAGGGTCTTCTATCAGTCGAAGGAATGAACGAGAGATTTGTCTTCCAGGTGACTAAATTATCTGCTAATATAAATCGGTTTTTGGACTCATTTCGGATATCTTCCACTTCATCTGAGCGAATGTAAGCTGTCCATGTTGTCTTGTGAATGGTATTAATTATGCCGCATTTGCAGGGGGTTCACGACATTTTCCAGGGGTCGCCTGATAGACCATGGTTTCCAGATGAACCAAGAGTGAACAAGATTGTGTTTATCGGGAAGAATTTAGATTCCGAGGAACTGGAGAAGGGATTCAAGGCTTGTTTGTTGTGATTCACTGATTCTAGGAATTCTCCCTTCCTCTACGGATGACAATTTATACAAACACTGCTTAGTCTGAGCTTTTCTTCAGACAAGTCTACTCTGTTTACTTGTGATGCTAAAGTAGCTATTTTTCTGTGTTTGTTATGTGTCCATTAACTTCCATGTATTATGTGAACCTTTGGTTCAAATCAGCCATACTATCAGTTACAGGGCAAGTACCGGCCGGGATACAAGCTGGGTGAAAGATGACATGACATGACACTATGTTCTGGTAATGGTTATCTGAAAAAGAAAAGGAAGTTTCATAAATTTTTAGACATCAGAGTCTGCTCTTTACTCTTTACAGTTAGTACATGTAATCGGAGTGAAAGATTTACAGAACAATTCACTGGGGCAATTTTCCAGACAGGAAAGTGGCAAACTTATTAGCCTTAGAATAAGAATACAGAATTCCATTGCAGTTCAACAGCTCTTCAAGCAAAATCTTCACTCTTTCAGGCTCAGAAGTCTCGCATTCAATCTCATAACACGTCCCGAAATCATAACGAGTTTCATCCAGCTCCAACTTCAATCCATTCCATTCATACACTGCTCTCACATTTCTGAATCCTCCCAAGCAAACCAACTTCTTGTCATAATCATCATCTCTAATCCCGTATTCTTCTTTCACCCTCTTCATAATTTCCGACGATTGATCCATCTGTAACAGCCGCCACGGCTCCGCCATACATGCCCTGCCAATTGCGGGGTCCAGGGGCTCTTCGTGTTCTTCAATGCGGCTGATTCCGTCGGCCAATACCGGTTTTGCTTTGAGGGAGAGGACACATCGGGAGTCGAGGTCGTAGAAGCGGAGCCGGAGGGCGGCGAGGTTGGTGGAGAGCTCTGAATTGGAGCCGTCGAAGAATATGTTTTCTTGGATGTGGGTTTTGAGATGGAACGGCGAGAGGACGGAGGATAGGCGTTGGTGGGCGTTTGCGTCCGGCAACCGGAGCTTGACTTCTACTTCCATCGCCGTTAACGCGGCGGCGTTGGAGGTTGATTGTGGCTATATGGCTAGTTTGTTTGTAAGTTTTGTAGGAGGGAATTTAGCGCTCTCGTTTCTCTCATCTGAAAGATCAGATTAGGCTCCCTTTACCAATAATGCTTTTCACCCATTTCCCCCCCTAACTAAAGAAAATGCTAAATTTCACCCATTTTCTCCCTTGGTTTTTACGAGTTTGACTTAAATATATTTTCATAGGGCTAAACTAGACAGAACTGTTTTCCGTTGGAAGACAAAACTATGTCTATCAAATTTGCAAAATCCAAAATCGCGAATCCAAAAGTATAACAGACTGTGTATGTCTGTCCTTAAGATCGGATAGGAATTTTGAATTTCTGTAGTCCGATGTTTTAATTTAATTAAACTTTCAGATTTCAGGAATCCAATACATTTTTTTTTCTGACAAATGTATATCTGCCCTCAAAAAAGAAAGTGTCCACATAAGATTTAATTGATTTCTTTTCCAAAGCACCCTGGTTTTAACACAATGCATATTTTTCCTTAAAATGTTTAGAACTAAATATCCATTATAGAGAGCATGTATCTCACATTATTTCAACAAATTATCTCCATTTAGCTCCATTTGTTCTTTCCCTTAACACTCCCAGAACGATTGTTGCAACAATGGATTTCATTATCCTCAGTTTTAGAAAACAGTGCCCTTTTATTATTTTGTTACCGAGTTCAACTGTTTGGGTGAGATAATTTGAGAGAGTGATTCTTGTTCCTTTGCATAATTTCTTAAGTTTTCTTACGTAGTACTCCTTCTATTCCAAAATAAGTGTCATTTTGACAAAATAGAGAAATTCTAAAATAAGTATCGTTTTTGGATTTCAATGCAATTTTTGTTAAAAATTTCCAAACATACCCTCAAAAGAAATAATATTATTGGTAGCATTTATTTTAATGGGGTGATTGAGGATGTTCTAGTAATTTAGTTACCTTATTTAATGTTGTACTCCCGCTATCTTAAAATTATTGTCCAATTTAAGATTTCACTTGTAGTATAATTTGAACTACAAACAAAAACCAAACTGGACAATAATTATGGGACGAAGGGAGTATTAAACTATGTGCAAACTCTAGAATGACACTTATTTTGGAATGGAGGAAGTATTTGTCAATTTGAAAACAAGTCGGTGAGAGTTTCAATTTTTATATTATTCATTTACTCCAAAATTAAAATGGTCTAATTTCTACCAAACCAAAAAAAAGAAAAGAAAAAACAAAACAAAACAAATCGTTTGATTCTTCTCCTTCCTTTCTACGCCAGGAAACACACAGTGCCGCTGCCGCTACCGCCGTCGCCGCCGCCGTCGACTTTATGGTATGAATTCCACATGCTTCTAAATGTCAAAAATACCCAAACTTTTCTTTTCGAGAATTTTCAGCAATTGGGGTGACTATTTTCTGATGTGCACTCCATAGAAACACACCCATCTAAACCTTTTTTTTTTTTCGTTCACTGGGTGTGCCTAGGCTTCTGCGGGCGTATACACTGGATCCGCCATTTGTGTTTATTGCTTGATTAGTTCTCTAGATACACCTATATATAGTTGTTTTATTTATAAGAATAAGTTTGCATATTGCTGCAGTTAGATTTGAATATCTTTTGAATGTAATAATAACGGGCTATAGATTATCCAGGATAATATGATGGAGGTAGATGATGATTATGTTGAGTATATCCCGGTGGCAAAGCGCCGGGCTGCCGAGGCCCAGAAAATATTGCAAAGGAAAGGTAAATCTTCTTCCCTTGAGGAAGAGGAAGCCGAACAATCCAAGCTTGTAGAAGCAAAACCTAGTCTTCTTGAACAGGCTACTCAATTGAAGAAAGACCAACCCGAGATAAGCCCAACTGAGCAGATTGTGCTACTGGAGAAGGAAATGATTGAAAACCTAGCTGATCGGAAAAAGTTGCAGTCTGTCCGTGAGTTGGCCAAAGGTATTACCTACAATGAACCCTTGTTTACTGGTTGGAAACCGCCATTAGATATTAGGATGATGTCGAAGAAAGCATGTGATAAGATTAGGAAACTATGGCATATTATTGTTGAAGGTGAAGATATCCCTCCTCCGATTAAGAATTTTAGGGACATGAGATTTCCTGAACCTATTCTCAAGAAGCTTAAAGAGAAGGGGATTGTTCAACCAACTCCTATTCAAGTTCAAGGTCTTCCAGTTATTTTGTCAGGGAGAGACATGATTGGGATTGCATTTACGGGTTCTGGTAAGACTTTGGTGTTTGTTTTGCCCCTCATCATGATAGCGTTACAAGAGGAAATAATGATGCCAATTGCTCCTGGAGAAGGACCGTTTGGTTTGGTTGTCTGCCCTTCTCGTGAGCTCGCCAGGCAGACATATGAAGTTGTGGAGCAGTTTCTTGCTCCCATGAGAGAGTATGGGTTTCCGGAGATTAGGCCGTTGCTTTGTATCGGTGGGGTTGATATGAAATCTCAGCTGGACATTGTGAAGAAAGGAGTTCATATAGTGGTTGCTACACCTGGGAGGCTCAAAGATATGCTTGCAAAGAAGAAGATGAATCTTGATAGTTGCAGGTATTTTGTTGGCTTCATCACTGAGTTTTTTTGCTTTCAAGCTGAATTTTTTCTCTCTCTGTCTCTGCATGTAAACTGGATGGTTCTGAATTGAATTACTGTTGAACATAATATGCTCTTGTTGCTGAATGGGTCATAATATCCTCATAGTAGAAACATATCGTACTTACCTCTGTTATTTCTTTGTGTAGGTACTTGACATTAGATGAGGCAGATCGATTGGTAGATCTTGGATTTGAAGACGACATTAGAGAAGTATTTGATCACTTTAAAGCTCAACGTCAAACTCTCCTATTTTCAGCCACGATGCCCGCAAAAATCCAGGTGTTTGCCAGAAGTGCACTGGTTAAGCCAATTACTGTGAATGTTGGAAGGGCTGGAGCTGCAAATCTGGATGTGATACAAGAGGTGGAGTACGTTAAACAAGAGGCTAAAATAGTCTACCTTCTTGAATGCTTGCAGAAGACCCCGCCGCCTGTTCTAATCTTCTGTGAGAACAAAGCTGATGTTGATGACATTCATGAGTATCTCCTTTTAAAGGGAGTTGAAGCAGTGGCAATTCATGGTGGAAAGGATCAAGAAGAGAGAGAGTATGCCATTAAGTCCTTTAAAGAAGGGAAGAAAGATGTGTTGGTCGCAACTGATGTTGCTTCAAAAGGTTTAGACTTTCCGGATATTCAGCATGTCATCAACTATGATATGCCAGCAGAAATCGAGAATTATGTTCACAGGATAGGCCGAACAGGAAGATGTGGGAAGACGGGAATTGCAACTACCTTTATCAACAAAAATCAAAGTGAAACCACTCTTCTGGATTTGAAGCATTTGTTACAAGAAGCGAAGCAAAGGATACCACCAGTTCTAGCGGAATTGAATGATCCAATGGAAGATGCAGATGCAATCGCAAATGCTAGCTTGGTCAAAGGATGTGCTTACTGTGGTGGGCTTGGTCATCGTATTCGTGACTGCCCCAAGTTGGAGCACCAAAGAAGTCAGCAAATTGCAAATTCAAGACGAGACTACTTTGGGTCTGGTGGTTATCGAGGTGAAATTTGAGTTGTCCTCATGGCAAATGTGCTTCAACATGAATGCGGAGAATCTGAGCTGTGTAGAATGGAACTTTTATAGCTATAGGAGATACACTAGTGCTCTAGAACTGAATTTTGTGCAAGTGATGTAAAGTTCCTGATTTTGACGGGTTGAAACTGTCATGTATTATGGTTAGAGATGCGCCTTGTGATAAATATTGGAATCAGGAATTTAGGTTTACTGTCTAAGCAAATAGATTATCTTACTCTGGAGGTCTTGCTGTTTAAGATTCATTGAGATATTTTCAGTAGAAGTTTGGTAACTTATGTCTAAGATGTTTACCGTTTCGTGGCTGACTTTCCCTTTTGGAACTAGGGAAGGCGATACCTTAGCAAGTTTGTTTTTGAGAAGGCATACCGTAGCAAGTTAAACTTAAAAGCTTGCGTTCATATCTTCCCTGTTCTTTAGTACAAAACTTCTCTAATTCTCCGATCTCAAACCATATCATCCATTCATAGCAAGCAGTAAATTAAATTTAATTTGGGAACTGGTTTTCTGGGAATGGGTATCTGCATCATCATCAATCATGTCCTGCAAAGAACTTGAATAATGTGGCGTTGAAAAAAATCAATGGACTTTCTTCCTGAGGTTTCTCGAATATGCAGCAATCAAGATCTTCATAATCATAGGGTTGGGTTGGACATTAAGGACTTTCTTCAGAAGCCGATACCAGTATTCTCTTAGGGACATTAAGGTTTAAGGACACTGCTGAAACTTCTGACTAGTAAAGGTCTACGCATCTTCATTGTCAAGGTTTATAGAGAGCCATCAGCTTGCTTCTCTCCCATGTATCCAGAAGAAATATCCTTTACAAGTCCGACTCTCAGATTTACTAAAGTAGCCTCAGAGAGATCAACAGAATACCAATCAGTAATCACTTGGCCCGTCATTATGCAAAACTTTGCACTTCATGAGTTTTTGGTTGGTACAGAGATATTGACGACAAAGCCAAAAAGAATTTTTAGGGTTTATAAAAAATGAACTTTGTTAGGCTTTGTAATGTAAGACTTTGAGTTTCGTCGGCTTAGTCGTCGGAGAAGCTATCTCTACTCTTAAGTCGACGAAGTTTTCAATAAAGGAATTTTTTAACTAGTCGACTTACTCGTCGAGATAACTATTGCGACCCTCACGTAAACTTAAATTTCATCCAGATTTTTTTGCTTACTTTGTCGATGTTGGCGTCGTGATTACTAGCTCAACATATATAATTTGACGAAAACTTTTACCAAGGAAACTTGCAATGCGGCTTGACGAAGTTTTTCAGAAGGGAAAACTTGCATGATTTCCCTATCCAAGCTTAAAATTGCATGGATCCAGTATTTCCAGGAATTAAAAAAGAAGAAGCAAAAAAGTTTGCACCAATCCGAAGATTCCTCAAGGTAGATTGATGAAGAAGAACTCTATATCTAAGCTGAATTCTGAGTGACTAGTAGTGCTTGAGAACTTGGACGTCTTGTCAAGCGTGAGGGATTCGATTCTTCATGGCATAGTACTTGCAAAAGCCCAGTCTTCCTGTCATCCTACGGATTAGAATTCACAATCATCAGCAACACAACAAAAACCACACGATTCGGCGAACCAGCAAGACCAGAAGAAATAACATAAGAAAACTGCAATACTATTGAATGTCTTTCTTACCTGTGGGGGGTCAAATTTACCACTTTCTTTGTTGGTACTCCGCAGATTACAATGTATATCCTCCAAACATTCACGAATTTCACTGATTAATTCTGAAATTTCCTTCCAGAGTTTCGCGATTTCTCCCTTGAGATATTCGTCTTCTTCTTCGAGAATTCTCAATCTGCTCTCCAGTAACTTAACTAACCTGTTGCCTTCCTGCATTTTACTCTCACGATTACGCTTTACATCCCTTTTCTTCTCAAGTGAAATCACGCAACAAGTATTTTCATTCCCGACCTTCAACTCCAATGACTCCCCGCCATTGCTGCTTGACATACCTGCCCGGCGTCCAAAGACACGTAACTGAAACAGTTCTCCGTCTCCTGATGAAGTTCAACCGTTCTTTCCGCAGTCTGAAACTACAAGTTATCTTGGTAATACACCAAAAGTGGACTTAGGCTGCTAAAGTTTCGTTCTTTGAAGCTCCTTTTTCAGCATTTAAAGCATGAAAAAGGAGAAGCAGATGCAGGGGAGTAAGAGTTGTGATCTGAATATAATTATTACTACGTAGTGGTTTTGAAAGATACTGTCAGAACAATGTATTTGACTCAATTCTGAGAACCCATAATTTGTTACTGTCAGAAAATTTCGGCTGCTAAATATAGAATTTGCCAATTTAGAGTGGTGTGTTTAGGTCGGTTGACAGCTTTCCTAGGTTTGCTGCTCTGATAACTGCAAAATAGCATTCATGAATTTCGGCTTCAACTGAGCAACAAGATTTAGGTACTTGAGAAAAAACATTACTCCCATTCTATTGGCAGATAAAGAAACTGTATAAAGGACTTCATTCCATTCCATAAATACAACGAGGTGTCAAACTGTTCTTTACATTTCTATATTTCTTCCATACAAATTGCAAGAAAAATGATGAATACAGGCGGCATAGGTCTACGTTTTTCAAATGCCACAGAACAAGAACTTGAACTCATCGAGCTTTAGCTAGTCCCACTGGAAACAAGAACTTGAACTCAAGCTTTAGTTAGTCGACTGGAACTTCCACCTCCATTTTCGGATCTGCGTGGTCGAATATCTAGGCAAGGAACAAGAACGAGAACGAGAACGAGAACAAGAACAAAAACAAAAACATATTACCGACTATAGAAAGAGATTATTATATCAGATACAATGGGATAACATGGTTAGCTATAGTCAATCAAATGAGAAAACAACATGTTTTAGGCTTAAAGCAACACATGCATGATTGCTACATGACAGCAGGGTCAGAACCACTTTGCAAATCGCAAACTTATTGCGTTGCTGTTTTTTTGACTAAAAGGATACCAACAACGACGGGAGACAAACCTTGATGAAGTCACTCAACAAAAAGGTGGACTCCTTTGTATAGCCGGCTTCTCGTAAAAGTTGGGTCAATACTTCCTGAGGACATAACAGAGAAAGAGCTGAAGTTGGTTATGCTTTGGAAATATCACTTCAAGGAACAAGTTAATAAGCAAAGTAAGACTACTCAAGTTAATAAGTCTGAAACATGTTTAAAACAGATACATTTTGAGGACATTCAAGGCGTCTGTAATCCTCAATTGCTTGAAATAGAAAAGCATAAAGCAAACTACACTGAACATGTCAAATCCTAAAGACAACAGATTTGCCTTGGTCGAAACTTAAAATTTGTGCTGAAGGGTCATTCCAAGCGTGTTCACTAAGATTACCAGATCTCCAATGACATTCAGGGTAGATTATTTACAAAGGTGGAACATTTTTCCCCTCACATGCTGAAGTACAGTCGACTTGAGAGTTTGAAATACTAAAGAAAATTCAAGTACACCAATCTCTCAATTTAGGATCTTCAAGACTTCAACTCCACCGATGAAACTTAAATAGAAATTTGTCAGGAAATTGAATTTCTTACCCCAAATTAGTCATATCAGATTAGACAAAAGATTGCCCACATCAACCAAATCGACTTATATGCATATACTAAATGTGGAACCACTTCAGAATTCCAGCCAGTGCTTAGTTAACGAGCTAAAACTAGAACTGACAGTATATGCAGGTTCTACCCATCAACAGCCGAGTTAAACAAATATATAAAGCAGGAAACCAAGCTTGTGACAGAAGTAAGTACCTCTCTCTGCTGATCGGACATAAAAGAGCCAGATAAATCCTGAAGCACTTGAATCATGTCATTGAAAGCCACCTTCCCGTTGCAATCAGAATCATACACTCTAAAAATAACTGAAAGGGATGAGAATTAAGGTTATCTCTTCAATGGAGGGAAAAGTACAAGAAGATGGTTAGCCAAAAGGGTAGATTATGCAAGACGAACATGTAGCCATTACACTTGAAATCCATATTATTTTCAAAATAATGAAATTTGTAAATCAAATAGCATCTTTCCCCCCAAAGTAAACAAGAAAGAAACCCGACAACCACAGGAACTTGTCTCATTAAACAAGTCCACCTATATAAGTTCAAAAGACATATCTCATTCAAACTTATTCCCATATAAAAGTAAAAGTTTTCTGAAACAAAGTACTAAATTTCTGAGAGATTAAGCTAACTCACGTTCAATTTTCTGAGGTGGACTTGCTTTAGCACTAAAAGCAGATAAGAACGCCACAAAATCCTTAAAGTTCAAGCCTTCAACCATCTTAAGCAACCTCTGTGAAGATAACACAGCATTAGAAATAAATATCTATTGCCACAAAAACACAAATCAGAAAAGCAGGAGAAGAAAGAATTGGCACGAGAACTTCGAAAGATAGTTGCAAACAGCACATGAAAACACAAATGCAAAAAGAGTCTTCAAATCAGTCAAGTTGTACCTGAGAAAGTGGATTCATGGCAAACTCTGGAACTGATAGAAATTCATCAGCAGATATAAAACCCTTTGCATTCCTATCGAGTTGGCAAAATCTTTGATAGAGGGACACGATCTCTTGTTGGGAAACTATATATATAATTAACAGTCAATCAGGAATTCGATTCATAACTGATCAAAAAAAGGAACCATAAGAAATTGGACAAAGGGCACTTACACAGATTGTTACAGTGCTCCTGGACTTCTTCAATATCGTATTGTGTCAGCATTGACGAAGCATTACCCATCTTAGTTCTCACTGCAAAAATTAACCAATTCGCAAAATTCAGAGAAACCCATCATTCATGTGAAAAGGGGTTTTAAAAAAAACCATCATCAAGATTGAAACTTTTTCAAACAAATTCACATCTACAATCTCAAATAATAAATATCAGTAGAGAACGGAAGACAGCTTAATAATCACCATGCAGAAAAGCTATTACTAATACAGGCCAGTTTCAATGATCAATTTACATCAAACTCTTAGTTTCCTACACTCAAAAGAAGAATAGTTCATATAAGAACAGAAGGAGAAGAGACCTGAAATTCCAAGAATCCAGAGATGAGGAGAATTTCGGGGAGAGTTGGGTTTATTATAAATTGAGTGAAGAAGGGATAAGTTCTAAGAGGGGTGCATGATGATGAACGGAATTATTGAGGTAAAAGAGAAAGGATTGGGAAAAGTTTCGACATCAGGACAAAGTAACTTCGATTGCGATTACTTTGTCATAATCGGAACTCACGGACCCTTCTTTGTCTGATCAAAGCGTAAAAGAAGAATCTTGATGATTATCCCTGATTTACATTATTCATAACATAGTTGAGGAATATTTTTTTTCTGGGGAAATAATTGGGCTGAACTGGGCCAATTTCTTTGCTTAAGATATTTAGTGGTGGGCTTACCCAATTTGTAAATGACATTACTCCCCTAATTCAAACAAAAAGTGCTCATCATCTCATTGTTTTACAGAAGATGCTGGCTAGGAAATTGCACTTTTTTTTTAATCAATATTGGTTCCGCCTCCAAAATACTCCGTAATTGTTCTCTTTCTTGTACTCCATCCATCCTATAATTATTGTTCAGTTTGGATTTTCATTAGACAATAATTTTGGGATAGAGAGAGTACTAATTTCAGGACAAAAAATAATAATAGTAACTAACATGATTAAGGGGAATAGAAGAACGTTCGAGCGCAGAAATTAGTTACAATGAAAGGAAAACAATAGGTGAAACTTAGGATAAATCAAAATGTCTTATTATAAAGGAGCGAAGGGAGTAATTGTTTGTATATCACCTCTGATTAGGACTATCTTCAAAAAAAAAAAAAAACCCTCTGATTAGGACAAGCATGAGTGAATGAGTGATGGTTAACCACACGTACGAAAATAGTAGGAAAGGACAAATCAGTATGTGATCAACATGATTCCTGCGGCCATAATGATCCAAGGTTATCTCTGAACCTGCCCAACTATCTAGTTACATCATTGATCATATATAAGTAACGAAAAATCAAAGCAATACTCTTTCAAGAGCACAATATTTCAGAAGCATTAATTTGTTGGTTTGAATCGAATCTGATAAACATGGCGAAAGTTTCAACTGATGTTCCAGCAGAAATACTACTTGCAAAACGAGTCCAGGAAATGGTCATGAATGATGAAGAACCAGCAGCACAATACAAGTGTAGAACAGATAAAGATGATGCTGAAGATGATAACGATGATCCCATCTCTTCATCTCCAATCCCAATCATTGATCTAAGCTTTTTGTCATGTTCAGAAGCAGGTGAAGTAGCAACCGAGCAAGAATTGGTGAAACTAAAAGCAGCTCTTTCTTCATGGGGATGCTTTCAGGTTTTTTTTTCTTTTTTTTTTTGGCTCAGATGGTTGAATTTAATCTTCTTTTTACATTTTAACCAGCTGATTAATATAGAAATCCCTGAACAGTAGAAACTTTTCAGGCTGTAGGTCATGGTATTTCAAATATTCTCCTGAATGAAGTACAGAGAGTTGCTAGAGAATTCTTCGGGCAGCCAATGGAAGAAAAGCAGAAATATGGGAAAACAGTAGTGGATTTTGAAGGTTATGGAGCTGATCCAGTCCCGGAAGAAGGACAATCCCTGGATTGGTCCGACCGTCTTTTTCTCAGCGTAAAACCTGAAGATCAAAGAAACTACAAGCTTTGGCCGACAGATCCTGAGTCTTTCAGGTTAGATTAATGCTTCTTCAGTCTTTGTTTCAGGCTTTACATGGCACGACCTTTACGCCTTATTTATTTCCATTTCAATCTACAGAGCTATCTTGGAGGAATATACAAAGGAAATTGAAAAGGTAACAGGGATGGTCTCTAGGGCCATGGCCAAATCTCTGGATCTGGATGAGAATTGCTTCCTGAGACAGTTTGGAGAAAGATCACAATTGCAGGCAAGATTTAACTACTACTTACCATGCAAAAGGCCAGATCTGGTTCTTGGATTAAAACCCCATGCAGATGGAACAGGATATACCATAATCATGCAAGATGAAGTTGGCCTTCAAATTCGCAAGGATGACAAATGGTTCAAAGTTCCTAAAAATCCAGGCGCCATCCTTGTTCTTATGGGTGACCAGATGCAGGTAAGAATGCTAAAATATCTCTCTTTGAAATTTTAAATGCAAGAACACTTACTAAATGTTAAACAGGATTCACTCCTCTGTTCAGATGTAAGGAAAACTAGCCTTAAATCATTGAGACATTGACAAAGATTTACCTTTTTCGCATTGGATAGATAATGAGCAATGGGATATTCAAGAGTCCTGTACACAGGGTACTGAGCAACGCAAAAAGGGACAGGATTTCGGTGGCTATGTTCTATACTCCTGAGGTAGGGAAAGAGATTGGACCAGAAGATGGCTTAATAACTGAGGAATCCCCAGCGTTGTACAGGAAGGTAAAGGATTATGCAGATGTTCACATTGGTTATTACAATAAGGGGCTCAGATCAATCCACACAGCACAAGTTTAAAGCTGATGTCCTGTTACTGTCCTGCCCTGATAGGTTTCCATGCTAGGGTTCTTTGCAACGTTAGAAACTTCATGTTCCTAATTTTTACTGCTTGTAGCTTTGTATGAGATACAGATTGTGGTAGGTATCATTATCCCGAATCCCAATGTATTTTCTTCCTATAAGTTGACCTCTGTGCTTACCTTTGCTAGAACGAACATACAGCTGAACTACAAACCAAATTAAACACCTTTGACTCGAGTCATTTCCTTGCCTACAAACCAAATTAAAAATCGCACTCTGGTAAATTTGAGAAAGTAAGCAGCACAACCACCCACGCTAAGGGAAAGAATAGGAAAAGGATCAACATATTTCTCCTCCATACAAAAATTAAATAAAGACCAAGGATGAATGACTCCAGTTCCTTTCTTTTAGCTAAAAAGTAATGACGTACAAAGGGGGAAAAGTAGGCTAACAGTCACTAAACTGTCAAAAAGCTACAATTTAATATCGTCCAACTCCGCGAATGACTAGAATGACGATTCTCATCGACACTCTTGACATCATTACAAATTTATCACCATCATCACCGACTGACCGACTTGTCAAAAATAATTTTCTCAACTAGCTACCCAACTAACTTTAAGAAAAACTCATTTCTAGAGAGAGGGAGAGAGACAAGGAAATGGTGTTTGAAACACGTGGAACCTTGAGTGTGATCAAGGCTCCACATCCCAATCATTACTGACCATCACTCCCATCATATCTTGAAGAGGAGGCCACCGTGAGTGGCAAAGAAAGGAGCAAAAACAAGGGACTCGACAGCCATCAGCTTGATGAGGATGTTGAGTGATGGCCCAGAAGTGTCCTTCAGTGGGTCTCCAATGGTATCCCCAATAACAGCTGCTTTGTGTGGGTCGGATCCCTTGGGACCAAGGCTTCTTGCATGCTCAGAAGCACCAGCCTATTATTGGAGAGAAAAATCAAAGTTAATATGGTTGTTAAAACTAAAATTACAAAAACAACCCAAAGACTTCAAAGGCGTATAATTTTGCTGCAGAGGATGCACCTCAATATATTTCTTGGCATTGTCCCATGCACCACCAGTGTTTGATGCCGATATTGCTATCTGTAAAAAGAATAGATCCAAAAAGGCCACAAAGTTAATTCTACCATCTTTTTCGAGGAAAGAAAATATCAAAGCTCCAACTCCAAAGACCGGAGTGTAGCATCGTACTGAATGAAATTATCACATACCTGGACACCAGAAACAAGAGCACCGGCAAGAACTCCTGAGAGGGTCTCAACGCCAAAAAGAGTACCAACAATCAATGGTGTAAGCATGACGAGTGCACCAGGAGGGATCATTTCCTTAATAGAAGCATCAGTAGAGATCTTAACACATGTAGCATAGTCAGGCTTTGCTGTGCCCTCCATGAGACCAGGAATAGTATTAAATTGTCTGCGGACTTCCTCAACCATCTTGAGAGCTGCACTTCCAACACTCTTCATTGTCATGGCAGAGAACCAGTAGGGGAGCATGGCACCAACAATTAAGCCAATGAAGACTTTAGGGCTCAAGACATCAACTTTTGAAATTCCAGCACGACTGACAAAGGCACCAAAGAGCGCCAAAGATACAAGGGCAGCAGATCCAATGGCAAACCCCTGTGCAAACACAGCAAAAAATGATTAAATTGATTGATATGAACAAGAAAGGCCTGACTGACCCTAAACGCAAAATGATAACCTATTGATCTACGCTGCCATCCATTCATAATTTTGAGCCTAAAAGCAAAGATGCAACAAATTAAAAGGGTTCAGCACACATTTTAATTTAAACTATATGGTGGAGGCATTCCCTTCTTGGAAGCAAACTAACACTAAACAGTAATGAAGAAAACAATAGAATCTTTAAGCACCTTTCCAATAGCAGCTGTGGTGTTTCCAGCAGCATCAAGAGCATCAGTTCTCTCGCGGATTCTGTGGCTCATTCCAGCCATCTCAGCAATACCTCCAGCATTGTCACTGATGGGTCCATAAGCATCAATGGCTAACCCTGTAGCAATGGTGCTCAACATACCCAAGGCAGCTAATGCAATGCCATACATTGCAGCAAATGAGAAACTGACATAAATACAAACTGCGATAGCAAAAATTGGGATGATGACTGATTTATAACCCAAGGCAAGGCCAAAAATAACATTTGTAGCAGCTCCAGTTCTGCAGGAATCAGCCACGTCTTGCACAGGGCTGCAAAATGAAAAAAGAATTAGCAAAGTCCAAAGTGTTTCACGAGGACAATACAGAGGAAGCAAACAATAACATATAAACTCATCTCAACCTGTATGCATTGCTGGTGTAGTACTCGGTCACAAAACCTATGATAAGCCCAGCCCAGAGACCAACAGCAACACACAAGAACAGTTGCCTGTTGAAACAATAAAGAGTATTATATAAATCTCTACCACCTTGTGAAACTCAAAACAGCTACACAAGCATCTTTATCCAGGCAAACTCAAAAGTGGAGGCCATATGAAGTCGTTAACCAGTAAGCAAGAAATTCAGAGTTAATAACAAAGGCAGAATTCTGAAGCTATGTGCTCACCAGTTGCTCACAGCCTTTTGAGCACCAAAATTGAAAATTGTAAATGATGATGGCAAACATGTCCAGGTAACAATCGCAATTCCAACCGTCATAAGTGCAGTGGATATGATAAGTTGCCTTTTCAAAGCTGGTTCAATCTCCTTGACAGCCTTAATTTCGAAGAAATCAGTGGCAAAAAGCGTTGTAATCAAACACACAAGAATTCCAATGGAACTAATAAGCAAGGGATAAAGCATTCCAGTAAGATCATGATTGATTCCAAAAGATGAAATAGATGCCACGACAAGAGCAGCACAGGAAGATTCTGCATATGATCCAAAGAGATCAGAGCCCATCCCAGCAATGTCACCGACATTGTCACCGACGTTGTCAGCAATCACCTGCAAAAAGGAACCATTGGGTTATTTCAAATTCCCTTGGAAACCCCAAGATCATGAACAACAGGAGGATTCCACTTACAGCAGGATTTCTGGGGTCATCTTCAGGAATATTTCTCTCAACCTTTCCTACAAGATCAGCGCCAACATCAGCTGCTTTGGTGTATATGCCTCCACCAACTCTTCCAAAGAGAGCCATGGATGATCCACCAAGACCATAACCGGTGATGGACTCAAAAAGGCCTTCCCAATCATCCCCATAGTACAGCTTGAAGAGATTGATTGTAATAAATAGCACCAACAGACCATTGGCAGCTAGGAGGAACCCCATAACTGCTCCAGATCGGAATGCTACAATAAAAGCTTTCCCAACACCTTTTCTAGCTTCCAGGGTTGTCCGAGCATTGGCATATGTTGCAATTTTCATGCCAAGGAAACCAGAAACAACTGATGTGACGGCACCAAGCAAAAAGGATACAGTGCTAAAGACAGCAGTTGCAAGGGCTGGCTTGCACAGCTTTTCGGGGCTGTATGTGCAGGGCTGGCTCTTTAAACTGAAGCCTTCCACAGAGCCCAGGAAAAGGAAGATAATGATTGCAAAAGCAACCATGAAAACTCCAACATACTGGTACTCCGTAAATAAGAAAGAAGTTGCACCTGTCAGATCATAGAAGTAGGTGAGTGACAATATAAGAACCAGAAACGACCCAACTATAAAGCAGAAAATCAGAAGAGGAAAGCCAATGACCAGCCACATTAATATGAAAATCACACAGTTCATTTAACAAGCTAGATGCATGCATTTTTTCCGCCACTGCAACCACTCATCCAACTCTATATCTTCAACTCAACTATAGCATAAATTTGGCTCAGCTGCGGCTAATCATATGAATAAATAGCCTGTTACTGAGCATAATAAAAAGCAAACACATAAGAGACTCCAAAACTCAAACTACACATGATGAGCTGAACAATACAGATTGGCACATGAGAAGCCCATTTCAGCTAAAGGTAAGACTTTCAACATTTGGAAGTAACGCAATAAGGATACTACCTCAAATCAACATACATCAGGAATTCCACTACGAATAGATACTTTAATAAAAAATAGAACAAATTTCAGTAGTAAAAACAAAGAACCACCTGTTTAAGAGCAAGCCAATACATCTTTACCATATTCCATGTATATGGTTAAAGAAAATAAAATGTCTATTCTACCCATCACGGTGACAGGGCAGACACAACAAATGCACCAGTTATTATATCTCTGAGGTTTTATTTTTTACCCAGTGAAAACCACAAAAAAGGAGGAATTTTTAAAGAGTGACTAATGAAAATTAATTTGGGAAATGAGTAATCAGAATGATCACTTCTTGATATTAACAGTACAAAGAAATATTCATATCATAAAATGATCCAATGTAATTATTAGAAGCCCAATAAAAATGTGGACTAAAGAACTCTTTACATGGCAGATAGCACACGTGCCCTGGTGTTAAGACTTTAATTAATTAATAAGTAATTATTATTCACTGGACAAAAGCCAGACAGCTAGTGCAGACATAAGACAGAGGTAACAACTACCCCAGATACACCCACAATCTAAAATATACCAATCACCATTAAAATATCAATATCATCTTCCAAAGATCCCGGCATAATCAAGCCTACTATAAAATTAAGATTTTAAGTTAAGCCGATCTATAAGCAGGGCCAACTCAGCTACCACATACAGAAATGCATCTAGACCCATCATTTGCCAAAACCCTGAATCCGAACTTACACCGTCAAATAGAGGAGAAATGAATTTCTTTGCATTGCAGCGGCAACAAGTAGACAAAATTGAGCTGAAAGCTTATACTCACGAATAAAGATTCAATTTTTAAAGGTTATACCGATCACATTTTAATCCTATAACTAAAAATTTAAGCGGGACGGGCACAATCTTGGACAAAATTCGTCTCAGTTGAGACAACACATAATTCAAGATAAGATCTGAAACAAATGTATAATCAATTGCCAAGCTCCGAAAAAAGAAAACTTAAAGACGAAAGAAATATAGAGTAATCAGATCCAGTTAAACTATCGTAGAGATCTGGCGGAGCTGAAATCTCACCCTCAGAGATGGCGTTCTGAATTTCGGCGCACTTGCCGACGACGTTGTCTTCGTTGATGCCTTCCTCTTCCTCAATCAAGGAATCATTGTATCCATTCTTACTGTAATTGCTGGAGGCGTTTCGCTCCGGGGAGAGCTTCACGCGAGCGACAAGCATCCATTGAACTAGAGAGAAAACGATTCCGATGACAGCGCACACCGGAATCAAGATCTCGGTCCCTAGATCTGGCAACAACGCCATCCTAAATCCTGACACCTAGACGACTCGCCGGAGCTCACCGGCCGGAACAAAAAAAAATAAAAAATAAAAAATAAAAAAGGAGTACAAAAAAGAGGTGAAAATGGAAGTTAGGCAGGATTCAGGAAGAGTGTGAAAATGGAGGGTTTGCGAGCCGTGTGGAAGTGAGGTTTATATAAATTGGCAGTGTGTGTGTGTGTGTGTGTGTGAAAATCCGAGGATAAGGTGGGTAGATCCAGTGTGACAGGGCCTATGAAATCCGATCGTGCTTTTATCCTTTTCTGACCGTTGGATTTTTTTATGGTTTTGATTGGGCAAAATTAAGTAACAATCCAACGGTGTGAATTACGTTGATGAGGTTGTGACCTTGGGTTGAAGGAGGTCAAATAAGGTAATAGAAATAAGAAAAAGAAAAAAAAATTAAAAATCAAAAAAAAAAAGTAGGCAGGAGGTAGGAATCCCAAAATAAATGCAGAGCATAATTTAAGACGCATAGGAATTTTTTTCTTTGTACTGTGACTTTTCTTTTTTTTTGTCCCTTTTTAGTTTAGGTGTCAATTTTTGCTTTTATCTCTTGATCAGGAATCTATTCCACACTCATGGGACATAGTTTATTCCCAATTCATAAGACTTAGGAATCATGGATTAGGCTTTAAGCAAATGCCGGAACGAAATAACCTTTTTTTTTTTTTGGGTTTTCATTAAACTAAAACAATATTATAATAAAATAATTATTTTTCTTAGATGAAAAAAATGTTACCCGGGATCCAATAAGTTAGAGCATTAACTGTTCACCATTAGTCTGAATGGATAAGAATGTGATCCGTAAATATCCAATTTTCCTATTTGACCAATCGCGAAGTAGATTATTATTATTATTCTTATTTAGTATTAATATTGGATCATTTTACGTTTCTGTCTTAGCATAATCCTTATCCATACCATCACATTAAATAAAAGCAAACTTGACCTTCCTTTTTTTTAAAAAAAAAAAAAAATAGGAGTAACGAAATTCGTGTTAATCCTTTACAGCTCAAAACTAAATCAGCAACGACTAATAACTGAAAGAACAAATTGACCGCATCATTCATTGTAAAGACTAAAGACATGAACGAGTTTGAAGAGTATTATTAAAGTCTAAAGAAGACTTAATCCGTCTTAGGTAGTAGTTTTACTGCGAAGTAAACTACATTTTTCCTTTTTTTACTGTAGCTTTTAGTACAATATCAGGCTCTGTTTGGTTCGTTTTTTCGTTCATTTTTTCAGAATTTTTAATTAATATCTATCCCATCACAGTATACCTTTTTACATTCTCAATACACCTTTTTACATTTCTAATACAAAATATAGCCTCAATTTTATTACGGTAGGCATCCGATGACAGTTGTACAGTTGTAGTACTAAAGTTCATGAGACAAGTTAGATTCGGAGGAAGATGAAGAGCATATTGGGAAAATATGTAATTTTCCAAATTTAATCTAAATGTTTCATTTTCGACAACAGTAACTATACAATTAATAATAAAATAGATAGTAAGTAAAATTTTTTTTAACTTTTTTTTATCGTTGATGCGTTAATAACTCGTCTAAAAAAAAAAACTTGTACGGAAGGAGATGTATGGAAAATTTACTCGCACATTCGGCTGATGGACCAGTGAACACGTTAGAATTGCGTGTCTGCAAGTGTGGGGAGGATAAGCTATAAAAGAAGAAGGAGAAGGGGGTAAAGGCATTTTTGGAATCGCTAGAGATGGTCATAAAAACATCATCATCATCAGAGCGGTTCAATGACGTTAGGGTTTTTTGTGTTGAATCGCGTGCACTGAACAGTGTGCACCTCTTACTGTCTTCCTCCCGTCGGATGGATAATCTTTGGTCCTTTTTTTTTTTTCTTCCTTTATCTTTTTCCTTTTAAGTTGGAATATTTTATCTCAACTAGACAACTGGTCCATTTGTCAATTCCTTTGGAACACTGCAGATGAGATCCACTCTTTTATTTACCTATTGAAAGAAAAAAAATTCCAAAATGTTTTCTTCGGAGTTTGGATATTTATATGTCAACATTTTCAAGAATCAGGAGGAGCATTTGACTAGGGGAAAACAAAAGGGGAAAAAAAGGAGAATACTAGAGAAATTATGAACTTTAGTGGGATACACATTTGTCTAGCTGCTTTTGTTTGGAGGTTTGTGCCGAAAAAATTACTTTCAACTATGGGAAAGAAAAAATGTAAAAATCTCTCAAAACATAGAATATTCAAAAAGATTGTGGATGAGCTCGAAAATAAGTCTTAGAATCGGAATCGAGAACTTACGGTTTACTTTGATACGTAAAAAGAATAAAAAGAAATAGATAGAAGTGGAACAAGCCAAGTGGCGTTCAATATATAAGGAGAAAAAAGACCCTAGCGCCGATAGGTTACTCCCAAATCAATGGCACTCTATTATAAAGATACAGATATTAGCGCCGACTAGACGTAACCGGTGACACGCTATGACACAAACCAGAAAGACACTAGCGCCGACACAGAAATTCATATCAATGATACGCTATTACAAAGATATGGAATAATTGAAGTAGAAATCATGAACAACTACCTATTTCTATGAAGGAAAACAGGCAAACACCTATAGTAAGCTTGGGCCTACATTGAGAAAAATGTAATGAAGGATATGATAATAAAAAAGAACTAAAAGAAAGAACAATAAAAAAGAAGAGGCGACATTGGCCTTTGTGTTGTATTGATCGAAGGTGATCTGATTTTAGATGTCGGGGCTGCCTTTTCTTATATAGAGAAGATTAGGGCACATCTTTATTGGAGGAAAAGATATGTTAGCCGTCACTTGTTTCCTCGGAGGAAAAGAATTCAAGTCGCGTCGGACTCCGACTCCAAGTTGGATTTGCCGTTGCGCTCCAGTACTCATCAGTTGCGGGAGGCCTTTAGATCACTTGTTGGGCCGACACAATTATAAAATTGGTGTTAACAGATGTCAACATTTGTAAATAATTAATGAGTTTGATACTAGTTAAATACAACGAGGACGCAAAAGACTAACTCAAATCAACTCGTGTCGTGTTTGGAAAACAACCCTTAATTATATTTATTTCATTTTGAAACAATTTTTGAATTTAAATTATTTTTATACAATTTTATATTCCCTCGGTCCATAATTATTGTTCACTTTGGTTAAAATGTAAGATTTTATTTTGGTCAAACTCAATCATATTTTGACACAACCTTCCAAATATACCCCCACATACAAAAGGTTTTTTACGGGTAAAGATTTCTTCTCATCTGTTCGTCATTTCCAATTCTCTGAAACCTAAATCCTTCCCCTTCTTCTCCGTTCGCCAGATTTATTCCTCCGATCAGGTCGGAATTCGTTGCTTCCGAATTCGTTCCGATTTTCTTCTCCTCTAATCCTCTGTTTTCGATCCTTCATTCTTCTTCCTCTTCGATTTTTCTTCGAAATCGATCTCATCCTCATCCGTCTTCATCGAATCAACTTCTTTGAGCAATTTTTAGATCTAATCTTTTTTTACAGAGTACCCAAATTCAAAAGGCATGAATGAAAACCCTCATCTATTCTTCACTCAGGCGCCGGCAATTAAACAAAATTTTCAAATGAAGAATTTTGAATTTGAAAAAATCTCCTACTCTAATTTTCAATTTGATGCTTTTGAAGACCGTGCTCTATCTCATCAAAAAATTACGAACAGAGCTTTTCCACTGCAAGTCAGAAACATGGCTTCATCCAAATTTTGAGGATGTTCTTATTATTAGTTTCAATTTGATGATGCTCCAAGTATTTTTCTGTTATCGGGGATATCATTTGAATAGATCAGTTTTGGTTTCATCTGGATCTGTTCTGATAGAGTTCAATTTTGTGTTGATCCAAGGGTCATTAGGTAGATTGTAGGAAGGGTATAAGTGTAATTTAATTATTAAAAAGTCAAATCGGACAATAATTTTAGAACAAATTTTTTTGGACAAAATGGACAATAATTTTGGGACGGAGTAGAAATTTTTTCCAAAATAATCATTTTGGAAGTACTGCCATTTGTAACTGGTCAGCACAGAGTAGCTAGATCAATATAAGTATGTAACAAATTTAAGCGAAGTTTCACTAATTAATATTCTAATCGTAGTTAGGAGTATAGTGTCATACCATTTTCCACGAGGCTGCTTTTCAGCATTTTCTTGACAAGTAGGAGTTTGATGAGTTCACTTTGAAAGAGTCCATTAATATTTTATAAACTTTGAAATACGTAAGGGTTTAAGTAAACTTTAACGTATAATCTTAGATAGATACGCTTAATTTCCTACCAATTTTACCCACTTTTTCCCTCATAAAAACATGTACAGTATACTCCAAAAAGTCGTCAGTGCAATTTAATAATTCCCACTTATTGATCTTAACCAATCGCAATTCGTAAATATGAAAAGGATTTAGAAGAAGAAATAAAGTTATCTCCAATCACGCATCGATGATCCTACAATATGTATCAGTATCATCATAATTGTATCTTACTTAAGATAAAAAGCACGTCCTATGTCGACAATTCCATTGCCGTTTGGTTTTGGTTTTGTTTTTGTTTTCATAATTTGAAATATTAATAAATATGAAATGCTATAAATTGTAAATATATATCTAGATAATTATATAATAAGTGGTGTCACTCTGAAATTTATGAATAGAAAACCTGAATATAAAAGATCAAAAATAGGTTGCCAATTTCTGATACAATAACCTAACGCAGTATAATACGATTCAGAATTGAACTTCTTGTAACTACATTCATGTTCCGTATAATTGTATAGACTCCATAGAATTAATACATAACTCGATTTTGATCGAAAAATGTTTCAATTCAAATTTATTAAATATACTCTATTAATCTCCAAAGAAAATCCACATTATTATCTATGAATTGCTTGTACTGAAAATAATATAATTTGAGAAACAATTTTTTTTTAAAAAAAACGGAGAGAGTAGACGCCTAAA